CAAGTAAACGAAAAACACGAAACGAAACGAAAATTTTTGTAGGGGTCTTCATCTAAGAAACACCTCTCATCTATCTGCCGAACATGGGTTTTTACTATAATCTGACAAGAAAAGACGCGATATCTCGTCATATGTGCGCACGGCACTACAATGAAATAAAGCTTGTCGTGGGACTGGAATGGGCGATGAGCTGAGATGTGAAAAGTATTGTCTTCCCACCTTCTTACCTCGCCGTATTGTCTTGAACTCTTGTGATTTGGTGCCTGCAGTGGAACAGTTTACTTGACGCAACGAGGCATTGCTCTCCAAGTTGGACTGTAGGCATGATTGGATCGCTACTGCTCTCAGTGGTAACCGTTGAGCGGTCTAGGTCTGTCCCGATGCCCTTGTTATTGTGTCTGATATCAACCCGCCACTCAACCCTCGAGGAATAGGTCAAAAGATGCCTCACATATGCCGCCTCGGATACTTCACCAGTTTCGTCTGTTCTTGAAGGTGGCGATATTGACTGACCCTTCACAATCTGCTCAAGCTTTTGCTTGCTTCCGCTCTCATGCATGGGTTTATCACAATCCAATCCATCGCATGTTTTTCTTAGGGATGGATGTCCTGCGTCTCGCCTACTTTCATATATACAGCGGGGGCCAAACCAGTCAACCATTCCATGTGTGATTTCAATCTATTTTTACGTTCCGAGGTGTATGCGTATGTGCGAATAGTTTCAAAAGTTGGTTCGGTAGGTCGACTCGAGTCCGCTACCCTTGCGGCGAGTGATACTCCAGGACTGAACCTGCAGGGCGCTTTCGTGTCGTTCGTTCTCCCGAAGACGATATATTGTATGCATGGGACGAGGCGAATGTTCACCACCGAAGTAACTTGCAATAACAGATGAATACACCCTGAGTCGACTTATACGGATGCAAGCAATCCATCTCGAGCATGTTATGTTTCCAATGTTCTCACTCGAAATACAGTTTTATTCCGACGGGCGGCATGGAGCAGCAGAGCACTTGCATACGAAAGTGCACACATCTATTGCCCCGTTGATATATTTACATATATATTTATATAATTATAAACGAACGACGCACCCTGAGGTACAGAGCATACATACCCGGCATACATAGCCACTCAAAATCCCATCTCATTGCAGATGAAACCTGTACCCGCCGCTTGCGCACCTGGGATTGGGCAGTTAATATAGCATCGAGAGATTGTCAGGAAAGCCGCTGATATAGGGTGGGGGATAATGCTTCTATTCCCAGTTTTTCCGTTCCTTTTTGCTCCTCTCTCTTACTCATCTCATCCTTCCCTTGGGCATGCTATTCTGAGCTCGTGATTGGGGGCGGAGGAGCGGTGACGACATTGGGGGGGAGGGGGGCCATTTCCTAGAGGTGTTGGTTGGTGATCGGAGGAGTAAGAAGCCGGTTGGGAGAGCTGGGATTTCCACTTTCCTTTCCTTCGTGCGGGTCGGATTGGCGTTACGCTGCGCCAGAGCTTGGCGGCATCAGCGAATCTACTCGTATACGGATGCGGCACATCTTGGTTGGTGATATGCGGCTTGGACGGTGACATTCGTGATTGTGACCCTGAACGCATCACTCGAATTTTGAGGAAACAAGACCGCACATCTTGCCTGATTCTCTCTTACAATAAAGTATGAGTACGTGTATTATGCTCTCTCCCTAACGGACCAATGCTTGATTCTGGAAATGAATGGCATTCTGCAGTCATCATCTTGCGACTTCTGGGCCTCCTTTCCCCGCTGTCAGCTTCTTGTTTCGAGCTTTCACCGACTTTCTCCTGTTAGCCACCCAGGTGAGAACCCAAAGTGCCATTCTCACACCCTACAAGAGGCCGCCGCCGCGCGGAGGAGGGCGATGGACGTCCTTCTGTGGGGGAACGAAATGCGACCCTCACGGGAAGACGAACTGTTGGTGGCCCCCAATCCGGAGGAGGGTTAGTTCACAATTTGTTCGCTGAGGTGACATTGGTATCTCGCATATATGCAGCATCATGGATCCGAGATTTGATCTTTGCTCGCTACTGGGCTGAGCTCTAGAGAGGATCTGGATTCTCATGGTTCCAGCGAGCACTCGCGTACAAACATCTAGACAACCTCATATGCAGTGTCTGTGTTTGTGTCGACGTTAGAAATGGAAAATGCTCCACCGCCGTTCAATAAACGAATCGTTCTGGACTCTCCAAACAGGCCACGTCTCCAGTCATTGCTTCGTAGACCATCACCGGACTCTCCCCGATATGAGCACAGGCAGAGCAGAGTACTTCTGCCCTACCCAGAGAAATCCAAGAAAAATAAGATCGATGTAGGCGAGGAGCACTGCGTTTGAGGCCGGAGAGACCTCAACTTCTTGTCCTGCCCACGCCTCTTTTCCACGTCTTACATTGTCTCGGCAACCGGGGACCAAAATCTGGGCTGATAATCCGTCTCTTCTGTGTTTACTCTGCAGATGGCTATACACAGATGAGATAGGTCGTGCAGGAAGCATATTGTAAACTCCTTGGGCTAAGGGGAGGAGGGACGCAAGGAAACATGGAGGCAAGATATGTCCCGCTGCTACTGCCATCTCCATCCTCGTACATGAACCTAAGAAACATGCAGTTCAGAAGAAAACACCTACTAAGAAACGGCATCCAATCTCGATGCTCTGCAGGCAAATGAAGCCAATCTCTAAAGTCCAAGTCCAGAGACACAATATGCAAGTCCCCAGCCCGCCAAACATCAGCGGCGCATCCACGGGAAAACGGAATAAAATCATTCCCCCCAGCCTCAACTTCCTCCTGCTGTGTCACACCTCCCATCCATCTCCTCCCCGCCAAAAGGTTCTATTCGGAAAAGAATGCGAGAAGTGAGAAGTGAGAGAAACGCACGGCGGCTCGCCGACGGCTACGGGCACCCGTCTTCCCGAGATCTTGCCTCTCGAGCGTCCAAAGCGCTGAGCATGGGTTTCCCATTTTCAAAAATGTTGCTACAGTTCAGAGGTGGTTGGCTGCCTTACATAGGTGCTATCTAGGCAAACAGGGCATGACGACAAGTGTTGGTTCTCCCGACCTCTGGCTCCTCGTACGGGGGCTCTCCCGCCCGAGATGCACCGAAATATCATGGAGGTTTACAGAAATACTGAGGATTTCAGTATCCTTTCCCGGCCGGTGCGTAAACAGGTTCTCGAGGGAGGCAGGCTCGTCAATCCGAGAGACGCAGGCTCCCTTGGCATGTAATTGTTGTTTGCCTTGCAAAAAAAAAAAAATCTCTCCACCACATTCAGCTGAGCGGTTCACGGCTCACCGGTAAGGATATGGATACGTGCTTGTGAGGCAGATTATTCCGACTCCCCGTACGACATGTCCCTCGGAGTCGTACGCCATGTACGACACCGTTATGCCCGCGTGAGAAAAGAGAAAACGTTCAGCTGAGAGAACCAAAATGCAAGGGAGGTCATCAAATTCCTCCGTGGGACGCGCGCAGCCGTGGGGAGATCAGACTTCATCGTTTCCGACCTATCGTGAAAGTTGTCCCACGCGCAGGGTGAGATGGATACCTGCGTGATGCTTCTACCAGCTGACCAAGGTTTTCTCCATCGTATGGAAAAGCCGAGGCTGAACGAAATTCCTGCATGACGTTTGTTGGAATGCTATGTGCGTCGTTCACGTCGTTGAGGGAGCTCTACGCCGCCCGTTTGGGGTCCGCCGTTAGGGCTCCAGCCTCACCACCGTGGGCGTCTGTCGACGGCAATAAATCTTCCAACAGTAAAGATCGACGCGTCAGTCTTTCTGTGCCTTTCTCCGCCCCCGGTTTGAGCGCTTGACCTCATTGCTCAGCCCAGCAAACCTCGAATTGTATCAATCCTCGTGAGGGATGGGCCGTGGGCCCCGTTCATCTTCCGAACTCTGAGGGACCGAAACAACAAGTTTGACTCGAGACTCCAAGTCCTCACTCTCCTTCATCGTGCCCCCCTCCCCTTTCCAAAACTAGGCAGACGCGCCCACAAGAAGCAACTTCCCGAAACTCTGCTCCCTCCATCCCTCTTCCCCCCTTCTCACGGCTGAACAGAGACATCGTCATCATCTGCCTAGAAATCAAAAGAAAAATACTGAACCCTCATTTCGAACCATTCAATGCACCGGACATGACCCGCAGTAGCCTGTGTCAAGTCCTGGGATGCCACGCCTTGGTCCCATAGAGAATCCTCTGTAAAAAGAAACACGCCCAACGTCGAACATGTCTCGGCTTCCAACCATCAAATAGTTCCTTCGCCCCAGCCCCCCAAGCTCAAGACAAACCAAAACATTCCCCTCATCTTAGGCGAAGAATATCGAGGCCCATCAAAAATTTTCGATCCCAACCGTTTGAAATAAACTGAACCAAGTTCCCCACTTTTCCCACGACGACCTTGGAATGCATGGTAAATATTCACGGTGAACTGCTTGGACAGGCGTTGTACTCTGTGAATCAAGCATGACAGGCAAGTCTCTGGTGATTGTGCCAAGTTTCTATTCATCTCTATGCGTAAAATCTGTTAATGATCGGCTATCCTGATCTATATTGGCATTGATGTTATGTCTTTCGATCAGACAGTCTCAAAGGACTTGGTATTCATAACGCCCCCAAACATCGAACTGTAGCAAACGAGGACGTACCGTACCATCGCGTGTCTGCCTCATATCTGTGACTCAATAGGACCTCTTCTCCCTGTTTGACGTGAAAATGGGCGGAGGCACTCGACTGGTCGTCTGGGAGTCAATCCGCAAGAGGGCCACAGCAACTCATGGATACATACATCCCGTCTTGATACCGATCCTTTCAATCCTGACGCCGTAAAAAAAATCTATTCTTGGGGACCTTCAACGATCGGCTTTCTTGTCGTCTAGACCCTTCTCACCCCTCCCATCTCATAAAGCGTTGGCGTAGCTAGGTACAGTACAAAGTTAGGAGGTGCTGCAGTCATCATGTAATCGGAGTTTCAACTGCAGTATATTCGTCAGCGCCTAACAACACCCGTCCTCGACGTGAAGAACGGATGCCGCAAGGCCTCTGAGGGCTTGATCCGCTTGTCTGGGTTAAGGGCCAAGCAATGTTCGAGCAGGTCGATAAAGTGGCTAAGATCGCCGGTTTCTGCATCATCCATGCCGGATGACGCGGCCATGAGGCGTGTGCGGAGGTCGCGCGTTGGTTTGATCAAGGCGAGAGTCTTGACCGTGGTCTGGAGTCACGTTAGCGAGGGTCTCATCGAATAACACTGTATGCAAACAATTAACAGAGACAAGTGGAGAAAGCTGGAAACGATGGGATATTGCAGGGTGAAAGTGATCCGACAGGTAGGAGTGCTGCGGGCTGTGTCTCATTGAAAAGGAAGAGGGGGGGGGGGTTGGCGTGTAGTTTGCTCGAGCTTTCGAGACAAAAACAACGACCAGCTTGCGTGAGATCATAATACCACCGGTGCGGGCGGGTATTAGGGGGCGATGGGGATCAACTGGAAAAGAGAGAGAGTGATAGTTGAGGTGAGCTATGCATAAGAGAGAGGTTGGGGGCATCGAAGGATTCGGAAGGCCGCATTCCTGGCCATAAAGATTCCGATGTGAGTTCTGGGTCCGCTTGGCTGCGACCATGGTGGCCGGCGCTTAGGACGAAACCCAGCCCATCGGCATCATGCCATCCCGTCTCTCTCCGCAAACGCCACAATGCATTGGGCGGGTAAAAATAGCAACTCACCCCCGGCGATCCACCGTTTCCAAAGTGCAACGCAAACAGGGACAAACAAAAAGGAGGCTTAAAATAGTGACGAAAAGAGAGGAGAATAAAAGAAAGGAAATCGTGGGAGAACTTACTTTGCCAAGCACCTTGTCCCGCTCGACGGAGATGAAGTTCCCCTTCTCATCAAAGTGCATAGCCGCAAGCTCGCCGCGACGGTACGACTTGGGCGCGATCCTACCCCTAATCTCCATTATCGACTTGAGCATCTGGTTGTTGCTGTCGCCCGTAAATAGGATCTTGCCCGTGTAGAGTTCGTAGAGCGTGCATCCGATGGACCACATGTCGATGGCATAGTCGTACGGCATCCCGAGCATAATCTCTGGAGCTCGGTAAAACCTACTGACGAGGTACGGCGTGATTTCGTTATGCGCTGTTGCTGCATCTAGTCTGTCGATGGCCGTTCCCAAGTCGCAGATCTTGAGCATGTTGCGACTTTCGTTGACCTGAGAAAAAAAAAAAAAAAAAACTTGTGGTTAGCGAGAGGACTGGTGAGACAGCGCATAACGCTCGGGGTCAAACAGTTCTTGACAGGGAAGGGAGAAATCTTACCAAAATGTTGTCGGGCTTCAAATCGGCGTGGATGATACCGCATTTTCGCAGGTGAGCCAGGCCGACAAAGATCTGATGGGCGTAGGCCCGAGTGGCGTTGAGGTTGATGCCGACGTTATTTCCAAACTTTTTCAGCACCTCTCTCAGATTCAGGCTGAGGTTCTCAAACACCATGCAGAGGTGACCTTTGTGATCGAAGTGCCGCCAAAATCTGACAATGTGCTTACGATTATCCGGATCCGCCTCGTTGAGCTTCTGAAGAATGGCAATCTCCGTGAATCCGCCCTTCCTCAGCGCGTCGTTGTTCCTCATGATCTTGATCGCAGCTAGCTTCTTGTTCGTAATGTCGACTGCACGCACAACACCCGAGAACATGCCTTTGCCTAGAGTCGTCTGGATTTGATACCGCCCATTCAATACCTCACCAATACGCATCTTGTAATAGCCGTCCTTGTCCACATCCTCAAGAAGTCCGCCGGCACCGTCCGCGTCGGCGCCCTGTTCTGCGGCTGCCTTGCTCGACTTGGTAGCAGCGTACTTGTCAACGTCAAAGTCTTCTGCAAACATGTTGAAGTCGTCGTCCTCATCGCTCTCATCTTTTGCCTTGCTAGCCTCCGGGGGAACGGTAGTGGATGCTACGAGGGACGGGAGAGGACCGCCACGTTCTCCGTGGAGGCCGACGTTACCATGGCGCTTCTCGTCCTTGAGACCATCTTCCTTCATGTCAGCGGTTGGGTCATAATCAGCCGCAGAGGGGCCGTCTTCATCGTTCGCTTCGCCCTTGGCGTGGACGTTCATGAGGTCTTGGTCGTTGGTGATACCCATGGCGTCGAGCTCCGCATCGTCTGCATATTCATGCGAGGCAGGCGAGCCGACGTCTGGAGAGTTAGCCGAGATCGCCTTGTTAATGAAAATTCCTTTACCCGATTGCGGAGAGGCTGCCCTTTCATGAAGGCCAGCGGTACTTTGAGGCGATCGGCTAGGCGAAGTCACTGAAGACTTGTCGGCACCGTGGAGAGCGTGGACAAGAAGCGGAGTGGCGGGAGTGGACTTTGCGAGGAGAGCCTCACGACGCTTGCGACGTCGCTCAATCTCGGCATCCTCATCGAATGGCTCTGGCTCTGGCTCGGGCTCGGGTTCCTCAACAGAGTCTTGTTCTCGGATTGTTCTGGGAGGTTGCGTTAGTAGGGGGCAAGTAACCGAGCCGGGGATATGGATCGTGACGTACTGGGTGGTATAAGAAGGAACCTCGTGGTCGCGAGGCGACTTCCGCTCATCCGCATGCCCTTGACCTGGTTTAGCATCATTTTTGGATGTGGGTGGAATCTCAGATTCATCAGACCGCCTAGACACGGTAGAACCGGCCCGGGACTTGCGGTCGATGTTATCATCATACTTGACAGTTCTAAGATAGTCACCTGAGCGCTCGAAACGCCGCTCCTCCCTTCTAGGGCGATCGTCGCGGAACCTTTCGGCGCGCTCGCGACGATGAGGAGATCGACTGCGCTTGCGCGCACGCTTATCGGGATAGCCATCGCGATCCCTATCCGCATATCGTTCTCGGCTTCTATCACGGTCACGATCGCGGTCGCGACCTGAGTACGGCGTACTGTTGGATGATCGGGACGAAGGCCGGTCTAGGTCATGGTAAGTCCTGCGCGGACGTCGGTAGTCGCCGCCCCGATTGTCATCATACTGTGACCGAAAACGTCGGGAGGAGTCGTTGCCGAAGCGGCCTCCATTGTGCTCGCGGTAATCACGATCGTCTCTCGAGCGTTTGTATCCGCGTGGCGAGTTGCTGCGTCGATCGCCTGAGCTGCGGTCGCGGTCGGGCGACTTGGACGGCGAGTATCTACGTCGGGGTCTGTCTTGACGGTCAACACCGTTTCTTTCATTGCTTGGCAACGAAGTTGCCTTGAGGTCCTCCACCACACTTTCGATGATTTCGCCCTCCTCCGAGCTGGTTGGTGGCGCCATCCTACCAAGAGAAGAAAAGGCGATGATGGTAGGTACCAAGGTAAAACAGTGCTGGGCGATCCGAACAAAGAGGACGAGCCTCGAAAATCTTTTATTGCGATGAGAGAGCCAAGAAGTGTTAGTCCAAGAGCCCGCGGCAGATTAAAAAAAGACGATCAGCAGGAAATTGGTGCGAACCGGATCGCTTCAGCCAGACGGTCTCAAGGGGTTCATGTCACGTCACGAGGGAGGGTTTCTTTCTGGGCAGTCGCGAAGAGGTGGGACAAGTGTGTTCGATCGAATTGAAGAAGGAGGAAATTAATGAAGAAGGCGAAATGTAGGGATGTCGAGAGGGGAAGAAATCGCACAGGGGATGATCACCGATATCGTATCAGATTGTGCTTCGATGTTGATAGGTTTACTGAGTAGTTAGTTGCCTTCGTCATTTCTTCGGCATCTGGGAAAAAAGGGAACAAAAAATGGAGCGGGAACGATGTCAACAGCCAATAGGAGAATATTTCCGATAAATGCATACTTGCTCAGAGGTAATAATGGGTACAAAACTATCGGTTCATTTCGAAAGTCGGTGAATGCGGGGCAAATAATTCTGCCACAGTCCCCCACTTGGTCAGATTCAGAATCCTGGCGGCTAATCCATTTGTCCAGCGCTTGCTTCTCTTTGATCTTTCTCCCAGGAGCAGTGTTGTAGTTTTCCTGAAGATTTTTTTTCCTCTTCTTTTCCGCATATCTGATCAAGAAAGCAAAATGGGTGGCGCGGACAGACAAGGTGAGTTTCTGCCCCGGAATTACAGTCTCTCTTCCCCAAGACATTGGAGACCTGGCTAACAAAGTCTCTCAACCAGGTGGCAAAGTCAAGCCTCTCAAGGCCCCCAAGAAGGCCCAGAAGGACCTCGACGACGACGATCGTGCGTTCCTCGAGAAGAAGAAGGCCGGTATGTCGAAAGCTACCTATTCCTAAGCGGAGTGGATGTCAATTTAAGGAGTGCCAGTTCTGACGGCTTTACAGAGGAGAAGGCTCGCAAGGAGATGGCGGCCAAGGCGGGAGGCAAGGGACCTTTGAACACCGGTTCTCAGGGTATCAAGAAGAGCGGCAAGAAATAGTCAAACTCTCGGGAGACATGCGACGATACGATACGACCACGAAAGAAGAATAGACTCTGTGTGTGGGGCGTTTCAGCGATCTGCGCACATTTCTAGCTACTCCTCCTGTTGCATTTCCAAGGCACCTTGAAAACAGAATACCAATACCATATCTATACCACCATTTCCCTCCTGCAACGTGTTTTGGTTGTGCGTTGGATTTTCATCGATATGCATCAGTCCTATGCCATTTTCGATTGTCGCGAGCTGGCAGAACCTCGGATGAAGAAAAATGTGGTCTTGTAAGCAGTATGAAGTTCTTCATAGTCGTCAGGGCTTTCCTGATTGATGTGCCTTCGTATTACGAAGTACATTGTTTCATAGTCTCAACTGCGACCATCTCGAGGCCCAGGCAGTCCAGATTTTGGTTGACATCTTGAATACAAGTCCTGTCCTCCGGCAGGCACTCATCTTTCATTCAGACTTTCTCCACCTGGATTGAACCGCGGTAGAGTATGGGGAATACTCGAGAGTACCCACCTTGGCCCAATGTTGATGGGCTCCCCACTTCATCGCTGAGACCCGGCGCGCGAGAAGGCAGGCATTGCTCAGTAATCGTCACTTGGTGTAGCTTGAGAGCTCGAAATAACCATACTAGTCATGTATTAGCGGTTAATCCTCCGGCACAACGGTGGGATCCCTGTTCATACCTGAAATGAATGCAGCAAAGTACATGAAGCCTACGAACAGTTGTACACCAAGATAGGGGTAGGTAATATCGTCAGTTTTCAAAGATACGGCAATCGGCTCGCCAAAGGTGGTAGGGAAAACGAGGATCAGCCAGAATATCGATAAAGCTAATTGAAAGGTTATCAGATGGTCTGGAGAAGGGAGAAGGGAGAAGGGAGAGAAGAAAAGATTGGCAATTCTGACCTGAGGGAAGTGTCTGTAGACCTAATACTTCCGCCCCGACTGGCGCGACGGTGGTCCACATACTGCTGGCGAACACCCCGAATAGCGTGTATACGATAGTACCCGCAAACGACCTACCGGCGAGCGTCCAAACAAGGAGGGTAGAAACACTGGCGATGAAAGTGCTAATGCCGGCGACGTTTAATCTGCCATAGCGATCACTAGCCAAACCAAGAAGAGGTCGCCCAACCGCTTGAGATACTATAGAAAGAGGCTTAGCTTCAGGACCCTGACCAGATTTCACAGGAACAGACAGTTGAAAATGGCATTGGCAATCGAGCCCTGCTGAGAAGTAAGGCCCATAGTCTGTACAAAATCCGACATTGAGAAAATGGTTATGCCGAAGCCGAACTGCGAAAAGAAGCCCCAGGCTAGAAAAAGGCAGAACTCGGGCCGTTTAAAGAGTTCCACATGGAATCCTTTGTGGATGGAGCCAACGGCATGATTGCGGTCTTTGAGGAATAGAGCAGATAATCCGTTGACGCCAAACGAGACAAAGGCAAGAATGCGAAAAGACCATGATACTCCTAAAGAATCGATCATACGGTGGACAGTTAGTGAGTAGATGAGGCCGCCAGTCCCCGAGCCAGCGGTGGTCAGGGCCACTGCGAAGGAACGCCGTGCAACAAACCATTGCGGAGCAATGGCGACGGTGACATTAACAATCAAACCCACACCGGCGCCGAATACTAAACCTTGTGACAACACAAGGTGCCAGATCTTGGTACTGAAGGAAGCGGCTATGAGTCCGCCTCTTTACCACAGTTAGAGAAGACCATGTGGCATAGAATATGTTTAAAGCTCACGCCTGAATAGCTACCCCAATTAGAACCGTGGGCCTCGTCCCGATCCAAGGGCTCAGGCGAGTGGCGACTGGGGCAACAAAGAGAGCTGATAACTGTTAACGGCCGCTTTTGCAAAGATCTGTTGGGCTTTAAATCTGCGACATCGCCGATGTTGGGCATGCTACCACACATACCTATCGAGAAGGATAAACCGGCCACGAATGCCAGAGTCAGCGGATCTGGGTCTTTGAACACCCCCGAATGCAGAAAATAGCCCAGGAACACGGAGTATGACTATAACGATGAACTTTAGTTTGGACCTTCCGACAATGTTCTGTATGAGAACATACTCCGATCAAGCCCCAGGTGTGGGCGTTGATTAAAAATACTAGGACAACTATGACCCTACGTATAGGCTCAGTCTTCAGTATGAACCCCACCAAGGCCGTTTGGGTGTCAAGGGGATTCACCATCCATATCTTGGTTCCGCTTGAGGATCTGATTTGGGATCCGTGGCTGTCTGAGCTTCGGGCTCTTCCGCTATAATCGATGCCGGGCGATGGCTCAAAGTCTTCTTGGAAAGTCCGGATACTCGCTCTGATGGTGTTTGGGAGAAGAGATGAGTAGCAGCCATGGCGTGAAAGTGATCAGTAGTACGGTCCGTTGGTAGTGAAGTATAAATCGGGAGTAGCAGTAGAATTTCAGTTACACACTTCATAAAAAAAGCCCGATGGTGTCCTAGATCCAAGTAAAGGGGATTGGAAAATATGAGATGTTTTTATCATGGCCACTTTGTTCTTCTACGGTGGTATGGGGGTGCCGTCACTGTTGGTTGATATCATAACAGAGACCATGGTCGAGGAACATTACAAATCCCGAAGCAATCGGCGAGCAATTGAATCCACAATCACTGAGTCGGATCCGGTCTCTCAATTCGTAAGGGGGATCGAGCAGAGTCTGCGTCTCAAGTGCGCCTCATACAGTAGCGTGAATGCAACCCGGTTTCCACCCTACCGAGCATCGGCGGATAGAATCTAGATCGTAACAAGTGGGTCTTGCCAGCCAGGGGAAGAGGCGGTATTATTAAACAAGAGACAATGACCCCAGTTCATTAACCGTTTTTGGATTTTTGGATTAGTGAACATTTGAACGGCAACTGCGGCCGAGGCATATCGTAGGATGCATCAATTGTATTATTTGCCCAGGCTGTGATATTGTTGATTCGCATTGGCCACGCCTTGTATAGCCGCTTGTTTCTCTCTCTCTTCCCCTCTGTCTCTCCAAGGGCTCGGCTTAAATTGTGTCAAAAGCACGTTTTTTTTTCTTTTTCTTTTTATAGAATTGATAATGGCTCTCGTTACTTGTCTGTCCTAATTTTACTGCATATAGAGTTTGCGAAAGTATAGGAAACCTACCTATTTATATCTCTGTATGCAATGAATGCGATCGTAAAGGTTGAAGGCAGTCCAGCTGCTCTAATTTTATTTTTCTCTCTCTCTTTTTTAACTTCTCTTCTGTTTTATTTTTTTGAAGCTATTTCCATAAACAGTAGCCTTTTTTTGTTCTATATTTTTCGTATGAAAGGTTTCCACCCTTTCATTCCCAGCGGATCTAGACCACCTCCAACGGACGACAAGAATAGTATGGGCTCCCCTTGAAGATAGAGACTCCACAACGTCTACAGTAGATATTACTCCAGACGCTGTGGCAAAGGCACTAGGGCCAATGAGTGTTCCTCTGCGGGGACAAGACACCTCTTGGAGATGAGGCCTATGCAAGTGGAAAGTGATTAGTCCGTCGGAGAACTAGCCAGTGCTGGGCTTTGGAGAGAAAACCTAATACTCCCCTGAATGTTCTCATTGGTTTGGCCCTCAAGTTGTTGCGGCAGTATCTTAAGCTGTTCTTGGCACCGTTTTAACTGGTTAAATCCTGATAGTGCTAATGAGGAGGCACTTGACACAAAAACCTTGAAAGGTCAATGGAGTTCATTTTGACTTAAGCACTACTCGGAAAGCTATACATATCGGAGATATCCAAAGCATTGCCCGAGCAGAGTAGCTCCCGGAGAATAGCCAACTAGCCCCTATATCATCTTTGTTCCGAATCATCCCTGAACAATCTTGGAGACCATGTCCGTGGCCGCAACAACTCTCTCATCGCGGAAATGCTTTCCAACAATTTGAAGGGAAAGTGGAGCACCAGCAAATGTTTCAGGGACATCTACCATCGCAGTTTCAGCCTATGTCTTTTAGAGACACAGATGGGAACGGGAAACTTACACTTGGAATACTCTCGCTGCTCCGCTGCAGAACGAGGCTTATACTCCGTATCGGCAACGTCAATCTTGGGATCAGATTTCAACCCCGTCGGGAATACAGCGGCAGGCTGGTCGAGAGCGTTCCAGATTGAAGTGTAGTGGAAATACTGTCCACCCCCGAGCGTTGAAGCAGGGCCCATGTATGCAGGGCACAGGATGAAGTCAACGCCGCGGTCCGTCATAGCCTTGTGATAACTTTTGACTCATTAGCACTGCATCACCCTCAAAGAGTGGTAACTTACGCCTCCCTGTAGTTTTCTCGCCTCACGTTCATTTCCCAGTTCTCTGCCAGGGATAGCGGTTCAGGTTTTGCAAGACCGAATGCCCAGGTCGTTAGGAAATCGATAGGCTCTCCTCCCTCCGCCAGGATATCTTTCTGCGTCTTGGCTGCATCAGGGAAATAGAGGGCGGAAAGGATGTCGAAGCCCTCTTGGTGGTTGAGAGGAGCCCAGTCGACGACCTTAACACCGGCTCCCTTTAGTTTGGCCTCGGCATACTTCAAGGCGCGCAGAACTGGTGGGTAGGGGCGCATGATTCTGGTTTAGTGTTAGTTGGCAAAATTCAACCTTTGGCAGAGTCGAGGGCTTACTCGTCATCCCAAATGATGCCAATGGTGACCTCATGAGGTTGGATATGAGTCGGCTTCCACTCCAGCGGAACCAGTGACGTCTCTTCCTCCCAAGGCTCAGCGTCGAGGAGGGCCTGCTGGAAGAGATTGATATCCGCTAGGCTGTTTGCCAATGGCGCGATGATACAGCGGATGCTCTCATTGCCAGCGCCAGCCAGGATGACGCCCTTGTACGGGTTACGGAGGGCAGTGGTGCGAAGACCATAGACACCGCAGAAAGCAGCCGGGATTCTGACAGAGCCTCCAATGTCAGTTCCAATGCCAATGGCGGAGCAGCGGAGACCCAGCGCAGCACCCTCGCCACCGCTTGAGCCGCCAGATGTGAGCTTGCGGTTGTATGGGTTGCATGTCGCGCCATAGATGGGATTGCTGCAGTCCATGTGCTGTCCCATGATGAGCAATTGTTTTCATAATTCGGGAATTTTTTTGGGGGCTTACCATCAAGCTCTGTGGCTCGTTTGTTCGGACGTGAAAGACGGCACCAGCTTTCCCCAGAATTCGGAGGATCAATGCATCCTCTTCGGCAATCTTGTCGGTCCAAGCAACGTATCCGGTATGGCAGACGCGGCCTTTGAACCCAACATGCTCCTTTACAGAGATGGGAACACCATGCAAAGGCCCCACGAGCTTTCCAGTAGACTTGAAATGCTCATCAAGCTTCTGTGCAGCGTCGAGGGACTCTTTGACCAGGAATTCAGTGGCAAAGTTGGTAAGTTGGTGGCCAACGTGAGCGCGTTTGAGAAACGCAGTGACGGTTTCAACGGCAGTCAGGGTGCCCGCTCCCATCTGAGCGACCAGGTCGGTGGCATCGGTCCTGGTGATTTCCAACTCTCGAGGAGTTAGCAGCTTGCATGAATCAATAAAGGTTGAGACATCGAGTTGCTCTGGGGGTGGGAGGTCCTGAGGGGACAAGAGCCACTCTGGATTCATCGAATCTGTCAGAATCTTTCGACATCTTTCAGCTTTGACTTCCCAGTCAGCAGGAGCCATGGTCAGAGTGATTTTTGATTGATGTTTGAAAAAAAAAAAAAAATGGGAAGAAGAAAGGGATGGGCAGTTGAGTAGTACGTGAAGAGGTCAATAGGCCGGTTGCTGGATATGTGAACCTCACCTGGCACAGAGGACTCGGGGGTTGCTTTTATAATCCCCAAGAGGAACCCAGAAGTGTCGACCTCTAAGATCCGTGATGCGTGATCCGCTGTTTTCCCCGCACAGTTCATGGAGTATGTGCATTCTTGGTGATCGAGCCTCCCCCGCGGTCCATACTTGAAGCTATTCTCCCGCCTGAGCTCGTCCTGCTGGTTAGAACCCAAACCCCCCCCCGGGGGGCAAAAGATGGAATTCCTCAATTGGGCAATCGCGCCTATCTTTTCGCAATTCCCATTGATTGGCCGGAACGAGCCTCGCTATTTGCAAGGATTGGCCCATGATTCGTTATTCATTGCGATTGGTCCGTTCAGGGCCGTTGAGCAACCACCATCTCCGGGAGTATCCTTGTCAGATGGTCCTTGGAACGAACTAATTCTCGCAATACAATGTGAGTGGTCGGGATTCCACCACCTTGATCAACAGCAACCGATAGCGTATAGATTAGCCATGGACGGGGGAATGGGGTTGGCCGGTCCGTGTTTAAGGTGTGGTCTGTTCTATCAATGTTAAAACCATCGTCAACTCGCTCGGCATGATGCTTATTTATACGTCAGCCTCGTCGCTCGTCAATCTCCAAACGACTGACAGTAGTCCTAGCTCTCTCAAAGTCTTACCCTTGTCTCGTTTGACTCCCTAGCAAATATCACCCCCGAAATAAACACTTCAGCACTTCGACATGGCGCCTGCAACCCCGTCCTCGGACTTTGTCCCTGGGACTGTTCATCTCGTTGATCTCGAGGGAACGATGCGCTCTCGCCATGCAGAGGGTGGCCGTCGAGACGTTGTTCTTATTCCGGCACCTTCATCGGACCCTGACGACCCCTTGAACTGGAGTCCCCGAAGAAAGAACTTGTTTCTCTTCTGTATTTGCATGTAAGTGACCGTCAGCCCCAAGCCCCCTGCCACTGAAAGCCCATCTGCTCACCTCTCGTCCCGTTCAGCTACTGTCTCGCGGTCGGTATTGCATCAGCGGCCATCTACTCCGTCCTTGTCCCAATCTCGACGGCGACCGGACTGACCATCGAGACTCTCGTCTCCGGCACTGGCTACATGTTCTTGACTCTTGGATGGGGCTGCTTGATCTGGCAACCCCTTGCTCAAAAGTTTGGAAAGCGCCCTGTCTACCTCCTCTCTCTCCTGGGTACCATGGTTAGCCTGCTGCCATCACGGATCTCTTAGACATACTCTGACCTCTTTTTGAACAGGCAATCATGATATGGGCTCCCCACGCCACCACCAACGGCCAATGGATAGCCAACAAGGTGATCCAAGGCGTATTCGGCGCACCGATCGAATCTCTTTGTGAAATCTCTATTGCGGATGTTGTAAGTCTAGGTCCTGACAAGTTGACGTCTACGTCTCGATGATTGACTGTACACAGTACTTTACTCACGAGAGAGGAACATACGTGGGATTCTATGCTCTCTTCCTGGTTGGCAGCAATTTCTTGGCCCCAATTATGTCTGGATTCATCAACGATGGCCAGGGATGGGCATGGGTTCTGGTATGGTCGAATGAATGGAGGCTTCCAATGCTTGCTTGCGCTAACCCCTGGAACAGCATTGGTGTGCCATCTTCAACGGCGGCGGATTTCTGATCCTTTTCTTTCTGATGGAGGAAACCAATTTCAACCGCAAAGCCATTTTGGCTGTTGACGTAGATGAGGACACAGAATCAAGACTGACACCCGTCGATCAACCATCACGGAACCAGTCCGATTCGGAAAAGGCGGCTGCTCAGGAGCACAGCATTTCCAACAACATAGACACCGCCGAGGGACAGTTTCGGCCGAGGACAAACCTGACATTCCTTCAGAAGATGAAGATTATCCGCCGCCAAGACCTCCAGAATGACGTGCCTCTGATGGGCATGCTGACGAGGCCATTCGTCTTCTTCTCGCTGCCCATCGTCGTGTTCTCCGGTTTCATGTACGGGGCGATTGTTTGCTATTTCAATGTTCTGAACGGCACGGCGTCTCTCATATTGTCATCCCCTCCTTACAACTTTTCTGCCAGCATCGTTGGCCTTTCCTATGTGTCCTGCCTCATCGGAGTGTTCTTCGGGTACGTGTTTCTCTGATGACGAGATGTGGTAGGGTTACTGACGGACAAAACAGCGTCGCATATTCCGGACCTTTTGGTGACAAGTTTATTATCTGGAAAGCCCGCCGCAACAACGGCATCATGGAGCCCGAGTACCGATTGTGGCTCTATAGCTTGTTGCTCATTACGATCCCTGGCGCAATGCTCCTCTGGGGAGTTGGCGCGGCCCATAAGGTCCATTGGTTTGGCCTAGTGTTTGCCATGGGCGTCTTGGCTGGGTCGGTGGCAATCGGATGCCAGTTGCCCATCAGCTACTGCATAGACTGTTACAAGGACCTCGGCGCTGATGCCATTGTCACCGTCATCATTATCAGAAACACGATGGGTTTTGCAGTGAGCTATGGGTGAGCTTTCCCTGACGTCTCCCCGGTGCCAAAGAACGCTCCGCTAACCAATGCTGGTAGAATCACCCCCTGGGTCATGAACATGGGCTACCAGGATGCGTTCCTTCTTGCTGCTTTCACGGCCCTTGCTCAAACTGCCGTGTTCCTTGTGTTTATCAAGTGGGGTCGTCAGATTCGCAAAGCTAGTGTTGATAGATACTTGAAGTATGTCCAGCAGGTGAAGGATGATGGGCTGCTGCATTAACATGGAGAGCCGTGGTGGTATGGCCGAAACAGCCTCTTGTCCGAGGAACCGAGGCCATGAAACGAAGGAGTGAGGCGGACCGGTTGTCTATGATTGGATAGCCATCTTAGTAGTCTTGAAACGTGACGATTCCCTCCGTACCACATCGTGAACCTCCTTTGCCATCTGGAGACCAATCCAACTGAATTTCCTTCTCGCGGATCAATCTATGTCACTCTTCTCGTGCTAGCCCCTAACATGGTATGATCTGCATGCGTAATCAAGACGCCCTAGAAGTGGACTCTTCCGCTCTTAGTTAGACCAGCGACCCCAAGAGTCCAGACTGCAGAGTAGCGTGGACAGGGATGGAGCTAGATCTGAATCGCTCTGCACTGTGCAAATTAGACCATAGATTGCCCGCGTGCGTTTGGCAATTCGAAGATGGCCGGCCATCAACTTATTGGCGGCCCCGCATCATCAATGGCTGCGTTCGCTTTAGAATCCACACCGTTCTTATCATGTCCCAATGCCCCGGATCCCACCATCTCCAAGACTAATGGAGGCTAGATAGATAGCGCTAGTGCCTCCCCGCATTTTCGCCATCGTGCTATCTCCTCCTCCTAACCGAGAGGACCAAAACTTCATCCTCTTCACCCTCCCATGTTTATTTCTCAGGGTAACACGCTCAAGCTTCGAAAGCAGCTGCCAAAGAAAGAGCCGCAACAATGGGGAACTCGAGACTGAGGACTAAGACCGGGTGCTTCACATGTGCGTCTCCATACTCTCGCTCCTCCGCGAGTCCTAACGTATCCCAGGCCGAAAGCGCCGAGTCAAATGTGGCGAGGAGAGGCCATCCTGTCGCAATTGCTCTTCCCACAACCGGCATTGCACCTGGCCCACGCTGACTGATCTCTGTGACCGACGACATGGCCGTCGAGGGCCCCGGCGCCATTCTGCATCTAGTCAAGGTAATGCTTCATCACCCAATGGCGAAGAATCCAGCTATGAGCTGGCTGTCCGGTACAAACATGCCTTCTTCACCATGGCGTTCACCGCCGGGAGCGCTGCACCATTCTCCGAGATTGAGTTCAGGCTCTTCAACTACTTTCTTGACAGTGACGGCCTCTCGCCGCGACTCGTGCTCCCAACATGGAACAAGTCCTCCTTCCAGGAATACCAATGCGAGATCGCCTCCATGATGCTACACTGCGAGTGCGTAAAATACGCAGTCATGGCTGCCTGTGCTGCAACCCAATTCATACGATTCCAACAAAAACGGCACCAGGCGGTTGCGCTCACATGCTATTCGCGGGCCGTCGAGGAGGTGAATCAGGAGCTCAGCAGGGTACAGTCGGGCCAGACGGTTCCTGGGATCTCGCTGCTTACCGCAGTCATTTATCTCTATATCTACGATGTAGGTCATCACCGCAAATATGTCTTGCATCTCTTGGATAGCACACTAATGCCCAACAGTTGTGGAGTCTAGACAACGTTGTCGATCCCCGAAAACACGTCGCTGGTGCTATGAAGCTACTCAACGTTGTCTTCAGCAACGAGTCCCATCAGCCATTCACGTCGCGGGCCACTGGGAGACTTACAGTAGAGAGCGTACTCTACCAGGCCTCCTTGCTGTCGATGAGGAGGCCCTTCACAGCCTATTTTCCTGTCGAGGGCCAATGGTTGGACCAGGTCGAATCCATGCTCGACTCAACCAGGACGAATACAGCAACATCACGTACAGATTCGAGTCCAGTACTCGGTATGCCTCTATCACTATACCGCCTCATTCTCGACGTTCTGAACTTTCGCAACTGGGCTTCGCAACAGAGCGCTGACTCATTGGCCCGGTTGAGAACGGAAATGGACTTCTGGGAAGCTTTTGTATTCATGGACAGCAACACCGCCTCGTTGTCGCCAGAGGACGGAGGCTCCTCTTCCGAGACGACCATTCTATATGTTCTCGCGGCTTCGCTTCTCCTAGACTGGATCACCGAGGCTTCCACATCCGGATTGTGGGCTGCCAACGCCCCGCCCCCTGATGAAGTCATCTTTGGGAGTCGCAGGCCAGGAAAAGGCCCTTGGCAACTCTGCCAGGGGCTGGAGATTTTGCGTCGGCCCAACGCTTCCAGCGCTTGGTGCCACGGCTTCCTAGGGGTTTGGCCAATTCTCATTTTCGGGTATGCCGTTTCTAGCGAGGGAGAAATGATGCTATTGCGGAATTTGCTGCGCGACATCCTGCAACGTCTGACTTATGGGGAAGTACAACGGACTCTTGACGAGTTGGAAGATGTATGGAGTGTAAGGAAAGCTCAAGTCGAGGAATGGGGTGAGCGAGGGGATGTTGATACACAGGAGCTGTTCTCCCCTAGGATGAGTGTTCAGGAAATGTGCTAGAGTGTACCATAGTTTTCCGTTGATGCAGTAGTGATGTATGTACGATTAGCTTGGGGTAGCGGTCAACACTCGCGGTGTTATGGCTTGCAAACGAGAACGCGCTCCTTTTCGTTTGCCACCCCGCCATGTTCAGGAATGTCACTTTTGTTTATTTAGACTGTGACCCCGAAACTAGGGGTAGGATAACTCTTGAGTGCTTCCCAGTATACCTCTTAAAAAGAGAAATCACGGAAGTGACAATGGGCGTTACCGGGAAAAGATACCGATATCACTGTGGTCAATTGTTGACTGCCTATGGACGGTTGGCGAAAACCAAAATCTTTCTTAACTGGTCGTAAACCTCCACTATGTCAAAATAGTTCTTCCAACCAACCGTGGCCGGCTTTGCACCCAGGTTTGCCGGGTCCGCTTAGTCCGTCGTTACTTATAGATCAACGATTATCTAAACGACGAGATTCAGGTTTGAAAAGCCTCCCAGGCATCCATTCTCACGCGATTAGATGCTTCATGACATTGCTGCAATTGGCAATTTACATCAAATTTAAAAGCCAAGCTCCAGACCTTATAAGATAGCACCATAGCACTTGCATCGCTTTCGCCGCTTGATCTCGATGCTGCACGCAAATTGTCTCGGCTCTCAAGTACTGGTTAGCTGAAGATGCTTCCCGTTACGATCCGAACACAAGCACGAGGTCTCACTAAGGTTCGTAGGGTTAGTGTTGGGTTGTGTCGTGCCTGTTATGAAATAAGCGGGGCAGTCAAGCAGTACTTCGCATTTACGGTGTTCGATGAGAAAGTGCGTATTCAAGTGTAGGGGTGTCGTTGTACTTTGAATTGGCTACTGAAGAGGCTGGAAGGCAAACCGATAGATACATGGTAGAACTTATAGAGATGGTCAACGACCAACCAACGAACTAATATCTTTCAACCTCGTGGTCGGACTTGGTCCCAACTTTCTCCTGCCGGATCTTCACGTGACTTTCAATTTTATTGTGCCACGCCGCACCGCCCACTCGTGACCTGCTCGCGGACATGTTGTGACACTTCCTGACAACAGCCTACAGCCCTGCCAGGTGTCGAGTAGAGATATGACGCTTGAGGTCGTTTCCATTAAAGATGGTTTCACACAGGTAATGTAGATTAGATGCTGACCGTTGCTATCTTTACTCTATTATGCAGCTGAGAATAACCCGGAAGGCTAATAGTTCATAAGGCAGGGACGAGCCGCTGGATGTTTTTTACCCAGCCTTTCGGGTCAGGAAAAGGTCCAGTTAAACGATATTCGCTTAAGTCCACATGCCTCTTGAGTCCAGCCCAAACCAAGGCCTCGGTCCCCACCAATATTCAAGCATCCCACTCTTGTAATCTGTTGAGCTCACCCAAGTCGAATCCTGGCCGCGCGGACTCTGCGCTTTTATTAAACGTCTTTTCCACCTTTCCGTCAAGATGATTACCTTTTAATTTATTTCCTACATCCCCGTTAAACTGTCCTAGATTTCAAATCTCTCACGCGGCCATGGATCCCAAACGCGCCGAAGAAGAAGAAGACAACCCCTCGCTCCGGCGCCGCCGGCGCCGCTCCTCCGTAGCATCCATCTCCTCCGTCGCCTCCATCGCATCCATCGCATCCGTAGCCGACTCCCTCATCGCGAAAGCAAAACACCTCGAAGCCGAAGTCGAGCGAGCCTTCCTTCTCTTCTGGGACGACCTGCCCGCATGGCGCCGCGACAACTCCTACATCCTCCGCGGCTACCGCCCCTCGACGAACAGCTTCGCCGATTGCCTTGCTTCCCTGGGCTACCTCCACAACGAGACCGTGAACATCTATTCGCACCTGCTCGGCGCCGTCGCATTCTCGTCGGGCGCGACGTTTCTTTATAATGTCATCGCGCCGAGGTACGAGGCCGCCACGAGCTCGGACGTGCTTGTCTTTGCATGCTTTTTCGCCGGCGCCGTATGTTGTTTGGGTATGAGCGCCGCTTTCCATACAATTTCGAGCCATTCGGAGGTTGTTGCGCGGGTGGGGAATAAGTTGGACTACTCGGGCATCATCTTTTTGATTGTTGGGAGCTATGTTCCTGCTCTCTACTACGGCTTCTATTGCGAGCCGAAGCTTATAACGCTTTATCTCGGGATTGTGAGTTTTTGCTGGGTTTGTTCCTTCCAGGGATTAGTCGCTAACACGATGCTAGATGTGCATACTCGGCCTGGGATGCGGCATCGTCTCCTGGCTCGATCGCTTCCGAACGCCGACATGGCGGCCCTGGCGAACGGCCATGTTTATCGCCCTGGGCACATCAGGCATCGTGCCCGTGATCCACGGGCTGCAAAAGTACAGCTTCCAAGAGCTTGAAGACCGCATGAGCCTTAGCCTCGTCCTTCTTCACGGGCTCATGTATATTTTCGGTGCTGTTCTCTACGCAGTACGTTCGCGCTATGTGGAATAGGATCCAACAGATCTCGATTTTTTGGACATCTTCGCTAACTAGGTTGATAGGTCCGGTGGCCCGAAAGAAGCTTCCCTGGCAAGTTTGATATCTGGGGCAGCTCGCATCAGCTCTTCCACTTTTTCGTCTTGTTGGCCGCGGTTACACATTTATACGGAATGAGCAAGGCCTTTGATTATCATCAGAGAGTCATGGGCAGGCAATGTTGATAGACATATACAAGACACGGCGGAATTTTTTTCTCCTCTCTTCTGGTTTTGGTCCTTTTTTTTTTGAGAGAGAGATAATACTCGTGACGAGAAACTTATACACATAGACGTGCTCATGGTATCATAATTATAATACATAGAAGGTTGTTGGGAATGAAAGACAAAGTTTTGCTTCCTCGAGCGTTGGATACCCGCTCACGTTTCACCCTTTGCCAAATCCATGACCCTCACAAGGCCAGATGCAGTCGCTATAGCCGCCCAGAATCCGTGCTCCAGATTTGGATTCCACTCCATGACCATAATCCTGGTGAAAGGCTCGTGGTTGATCAAAGCCCTCGTATCCTTACTCACAGGCTCGTCATCCCCGTCCCCGCTCACCTCGGCCGCAGAGTTCTGTTCCTCGTCATCAACCTCCATCGGGCCACCGTCCTCTTCTTCTTCATTCTCGCCCTCCTGGTCGCCTTCTTCATCCTTCTTCATCTTCTTTTTCGGCGTCCTCGTTGCCTTCTTTTGCCCCGTATTCCGAATCGAGCGTCTCCGGTCTATCCTCCACACATTCGCCTCCTCCTCCCACCCCTGCAATATCCTCGCCGCACCCCTCACCCCCTTAAACTTCTCCTCCGCGGCAGCTTCCTCCGACCCCGGCCCGTCAAACCTTTCCGCCGGGCGAAATTCATGTTCAAACACCTTTAGCTTCAACGGCCTATCCTGTCTCGACGCGAAAATCTTCTTCGACCCGTTGCAAGCCCACACCGAACCATCCCTAAGGCCGGTGAGAAGAAACGGGTGCGTGTATCCCGCCGCAAGACAGGTGAGCAGGCTAGGAGAATCGGCGACGCGGCGCACGTGGGGGAAATATCGATGGTGCATGAAGCCCACCGACGTCTCCGTGACGGAACCAGAAGGGTAGCAGGATAGGAAACCCTGGAGGTGGTCGTGCCATTGGAGGAGGTTCGGCTGCGTGGTGATTGTTGTGCGGGTGAAGCCGGTGGTTTCGTAGGCTGGGCAGGTGAAGTCGATTAAGGCGGGGAAACCGCTTACGGGGGAGGAGGCGACGAGGTAGGGGCGGGAGGGGTAGCCCGTGGCGATGTCGACGATGTAGGTTGTGTGGATGGGGTGGCGGGAGAGGAGGACGAGGGGGTAGAGGGACCAGAGGGCTAGGGTACCGTCGGTGTAGCCGACGACTATTCGGTTGGTGTTGACCCAGGCGAATGCGGTGGCTTCGACTCCGTCCTCATCGGGGATGGATAGGGTAAACATTGATGTTTCGACCTTGGCTGTTTGGATTATTAGTATCTGCAGTAGAGTGTGGAGTGAAAAGAAGGGAGGATATGAGTGGCGGTGCACTTACAGAATGTTGAGCGTTCCTTCGGCTTCACATTCTCAACCTCCAACACACGAACTTTGCCATCTCCCGTAAGAACACCAAGTAGGCCAAGCAGAGATTCGTCAGCTGGCGCAACTGGGCACCACTTAATCCGCCTTGCCCTCCCCCAGTCAAACATCAAGGTCCTCAAGAGAATCGCAGGATCCGCCTTCGGCACCATGATGTCGAACTTCCCCTTCTTCGCACTAAACTTCCAGAATTGAATAATGCCATGCTTCCGAGATCCCTTGTATGCGTCCTTCTCAGCCGTGTTGGGGTGATGTTGATCCGAATGAGGCACGACGCAGAGAGCGAGGACTTGGTCGGTTTTATCAACGCGGGGCGCCCAGGCGAGAGAGAGGACGAGACCACCCACATCAAACATCCACCCTTTTGGATGCTTGGCCCCTCCACGACTCGTGTTGCCGTCGATGGGGAGGTCGAGCTCGTTTAGAGAAATGGCTCTGTTGGCGCCTCCAGGAAACGTGGCTTCCGTCTGCTCACCATAAGGACCTAGTAGGACCACGAGATTCCCTTCTGGCTTTACCAAATACGGCGCCATGCCGGCCTTACTCAATTTCACACACTTTTGGCGCTCTCTGATGTTCTCGTCCTTCCTGTACCTTTCTATCCACTCGCTCCACGCCTGCTGTTGCGACGCCTCAAATCCAGGTGGCAGCCATGGCGTACGGATTGGTATCGTAGAGTCGTCGTCCGTAGGCCGTTCGGGGAGTGTGTCGAGGCCGTACCACCGGTTGAGCATGTTGTAGGCCAACATGGTATGCGCCTCATCGGGTCCATACATGTACTGGAAGATATGGGGGGTTTTGCGCTGGCGCTTGAACGGGCCCTCGTAAGCGCGAGTGGTTTTCTTGGAAAATGGATATGGCTCAATTTCGTTGGGGTCGACGTCTGCTTTCCCAGTCTTTTCTTCTGCTTTGCGGACACGAATTTCTGCCGACGCGTCGCTTTCGGCACTTGATTCTTCCTCTTCGTCTTGGTCCTCGGACGAGGCGCTTTCAACCTCATCCTCGTCCCCGTCCTCTTCATCGCCTTCCTGCTGGTATTCTCCACCTTCAATCTCACTTTCTTCCCCCACTTCTTCGTCCTCTCCGCTAGCCGCCTCACTTCCAGCGTCCTCATCACCCGGTGCCCTCGCCACCTCAGAATCACCCCTCTCCGCATCGTTTTCTGATCCCTCGACGGCCGCTCGCGCAGCGGAAGCATTCCTCCTTGGCTTCCTACTCTTGGGCATCAATGCCAACACTGTTACCTCCTCTTCAGGCTCAGACTCGGGGTCGGCGCCTGCAGAGACTGGCCTCCTCAGCCTCGTCGAGCGTCGGAGAGGAGGCATGGTGGAAATGTGCGGAGTTTATTTTTCTTAGAAGGCGCTTGTGTCGCGTTGATTGGAGTTCTTGATGATAATAAACGACATTCTCAAAAATTCTAGTTGGCCGAGAAACTGAGTTGTGAAGATGAGAGTTTCATGTGAGATTGTGAGAGGGTGGACGAGGTGCATGAGCCGTGGAGAAATATTGCTAAAGTCAAGCGGTTCATGAGATCAATTGATTGATTGATTTTGGTGGGGGTCGACGTCAGTGCCAGCGAAAATAGAGTAGCCTCAGGTCGCTCCAAGCCGCTGACACTAGCGGAGTTTGGTGCTTCAATTGAAGGATGCGGATGCGACACACTCTACGACTGATGATAGACAAACATTAAGAAAAAAAAATTGGGGAATATTTCCATGAAAATTATCTTTCGAGTTCATGATCAATTGACTATTCTACTACAGCTTAAAGTCCACATTCAATCTCTCCCATCCCCTCTCGGACTCTTCCATGGAAGCAACCTTCTCCGCTAACCTCAACTTGAGGCCCTTCTTGTTTCGTTCAGTGCATAGCTCATAGATGGTCGACAAATTTTGCAGAAGAGTGTGCGAAGAGAATCCTTGTTGCACTAGATCCTCGAGCAAGACCCTTGCCTATGGTGACTTCAGTTAGCATGTGCCAGGGCAGAGAATAATAGTAACGGAGCAGGCTCACCTCTGACATCTTGCCCATGTATAAGAGGCAAACGGCCATGTTCATGCCAACCATTTCATCTCCCTGCTCTTCATCTTCGTTGATCGCCCGCCACTTATCCAGCGCGGCTTCAAATTCCCCATCTGCCATGTCGGCGAGAGCGAGGACGACCTTCTCGCCCACCTTCGTCGAGGATCCGCTTCTAGAGATCACATGCCTTGCCTCATCGGCGTTACCAATGTGAAGCCATAACAGCGCCCTTGAAAGCGCCACCTTGCCATCCTCGCGGTCCTTCAATGTGGAGAGCTGATACGCCGCGCCGGATAAGTCATCCATCTCGATGAGCGCACCGGCGATTTTAATCCCCAGTGTGTGCAATCTGTCCTTCCACAGCTCCCTTGCCGAATTATCATGGGCAGCCTTGGCCCTGGCGATATTGTCCCGCGCTTCACGGGCCAGGTCGTGGAAACTCATGACGGCCCTCCTCGGGTCACCAAACCCGAGGGCTTGAAGCCTTACGTTCAACACGCGAAGGTCCCAAGGTACAAGGTGCTCTCCCGTCAGCTCATCAATGTACAACATGGGATTGTTCATGTCCTCGAACGCCTTGACCTCCTGCGCCGCCTGAGGCATGGCATCGATGAGGGTTAGACATGATAACCGTACGTAAAGAAGGTTGAAGATTTTCTTGTGGTCCGTGGGATCTATGCGCGGGGACCCCGGGGCCGCCGACGTAAGCTCTTGGACCGCTGCTATCGCGGCGGCGCGGTAGAATCCCTTGGCTAGTAACTCCTCCAAGGAGGTATCTGGGCTGGGCTGTTTGGGTGAGTTGCGGAAGGCAAGGGGGACGTTCAGAGGAGTGAGCGGGTGGTATATCTCCGGGCGGAGAAGGAAACTAAAGTCCCTCACGGTGGTGTCTTGCTGCTCCTGCATTATTGGAACTGGAGAGTTGACACCAGATCGAGGAAGCGGAGATCCCTGTCTTGATAGCGAAGTGCGATCCCGAGCTATTCTTATTGCTGGGGACTGTGGACGTGGGGTAGATAAAGGCGAGCTTTATGGAGCGGTTAGGTCTTGGGTTTGCCGATTAAAATTAAAAAGAAACAATCTCGAAAAGATGTTCTTACTCTTCAAGATCTAAAGGACCTTTAGTCGATGATCTTGGCCTCGCTAGAGATACGTTGTGACTCCGATTAGTTTGACTATCTCGAGCTTGTGTAACCCCTCACCATCTGGACGGCGCGGTGACGCATGACTCCCAGTTTGGAGTTCTATGTAATGATACATACCCTTTGTGACGGACTTGTTCCTGGAATGCCCGTGGCTTCCCAACCTTGGTGAACCCTCCATGGGATCTCGAGGTTGATCACTGACGGCCAATGGCGGTTTACTGGGGACTGGGAAAACCCGACCGTTTTTGTGCAATACAGATACAGCCTACCACGCAGTATTGGATGGCCTGTATGTTAATAGCAAGGAGGGAGTTTAAGGAGATCAAATAGCTATTATGAAGTGCATTTGATACTGTTCGTTTGCGGTGGTCAAGGCAGAGAGGCCCAAAATGAGCTGCCCGTTGGTGATTGTGATGTTCTCACCGACTTAGTCATCACACTCCATTCAAATTCCGAGTCTCATTTGATTTGATTCCATCTCATCAAGACTTCAATCTTTTCAATTCTCACCACAGTTCATAATGCCCCGAAATAATTTTCAACACAATTAAAATAAAATAATCTGTGCAATGAAAAGCCCGTGTTTTAATAACCTTGTTTGAAGACGATGAAGATGCGTCACTGCTAGCTCGTACTTGTCGAACCCAATGACTGGTCAGCCTCAGTCTTGTCCATCAGGGAAACTGACGTCGCATTCTTGGACCACAAGAAGAGCCGTTTTAGGGTGGAAGAACCCTCATGCCACACGGTTGCGGGAGAGAGTCCGACGGGGAGGGAGGAGCTCTAAGCTTAAGGGGGATGAACTTAAGATCATCGTAAATCCCACTGCATTAATGGGAGCCAAGCATTGAATATGCGAGATATTAGAAGGGACGAAGCGGGATTGGAGTTGCTACCTCTAACGATCTCCGAGATTCCCATGATCAGTCCGTGGCGAAGATTTATCTGGTCGATCTACATACATAGCCTCTGGTTGATCAGGAGGAGCTCTTATGCTAAGCATTGGGCTACCATGGAGTGAAGAATAAGGGAGGCAGACTCCATTTTCCGTTGAACTATTTGTTATGCGCACATCCGGCTCTTCTGTTCATTGCCATGTGGAGTATCAGCGATTTTGCTGCACGCTGTATGGACTCATTCCAGCAGGTTGACCTTTGCGAAGTAAACCGGGCGAAGGGTTTAGATCCAACTAGTAATATCCCAGGACCAAAAAATACCCCTTGCGGGTGGAATAAAACAGACAACTTGGCTTTTCCGTGATGCCGGGCGACTAATGACACCAAAAGAGACGCAGAGCCGGCCGGCATAGCCATGACCTGGCCTGGCCAGAAGGAGCACGGCTTTGCCACACAATAGTACGAAAATCTCTATGCGAATCTTCTCGGGTTCGCATGAGCGCTCAATCCACCGATGTTTGGATGGCAGAAAGTATTAGTGGTGCCATGGCACTCATAGGAGCGACGCCGGCCGGGCAACAGTTTTGGGTAACATCACAAGGCAGCGCTCGGCACATCGCGCCGAACTTGATCGTGATACCATATTCGAAGCAGAGTGCACGCCCGAAAATTGTTCCCTGGAGAGGGGTTCAGGGGCTGGCCCGTGAGGGTGGTTGACAACATTGAAATCCATCAATGGCCAACGGCGCCTACTGAATCTCGTCCGAGAGAGCACGGGGTCACGCTAGATCAAGAGACAGGCCTGGCCGGAGACCCAAGGGGTTGGCGAGGCCGTGTTAGAGTCTCTTTTGTAAGAGCCTGCCCGTGCTTGTGCTTGGATGAAGATTGGGATGATGGGCGGGTGGGTTCGGTTTGGACCCAGTGGTCAGAGACAGGAACTGACAGGCACAGAGGAGCAGGGATTGGCTCCCGTCCCCGTCAGGGCAGGGAGGTGTCAAACAAAGGTACAACAGCAGGGGTATTAATAGGTACAGCTGGAATCCGGTAAACCCAGCCGATACAGGTGAGAGGATTACGAAGTCCGAAATCATCGACTTTGATGGAAGGACAGGACGACAGAGGCAGCATACGCATCTTGGTCCGTTAAAGGGAGCTTTGAAAATGCATGCTTATAGTAACCCCCGGCGATGTGGTTGTGATTGAAGATAGAGCCTCCGAGAGACTGTGAACGTGAAGGTGAAGGCCGAAGTGGTGATGAAACTTGGGGAAGGAACCCTGCACTAAATTGTTTACATGATCAGGAGTGGCAGGCACTTGCTTCCACAACATCATCACTGCCTCGGTAATTCCCAGCTGGCATCTTGAACTATTATTCTATCGTTCTTATGCGTGCAAGCTAAAATACGAGGTAGCCATTTCCATCTTCATGAATTCTTCCCCTGCCAATTTACCATCCGCGGATCTTGTCGGATCCGCGCTGAGATGATCTGGTCTTGTCAAACCAGGTTCGAAGAGGGACTCGGACCCCTGTCGAAACGTCGCTTCAGCACAACTTGCGGCTCACCGTGTCTGATCTACATCTCAGATCGACCCCAGGTTTCCTGCCACACCAAAAATTTCTGTTTTGGGGTGTAGACGTTCACTAATAGGCTGCGAAATGTACGAAGTAGTCTTCCATCACCGCCCGCTTGAGCTTGCCCTTGCTTGCCTGATACGCTACCACTCAACCATCAGCTTGGGACACTCGGCTCGCTTAGGCATTATGGTTAACTTATAGGATCGTCGAGGGTGTCAATTCTTTGGGAAATTATAGTCGACTCGCTGCTATGCAGAAATCATCATCGTCCTGCCTTACCGTGCTGGCATGGAGATCTTGAGAGGGGGGCGAGGATGAAGTATCGTGGAACTGGCACACTCAGCCCCTTCACTCTCTTACATTAATTCGTTCGGTCAACTTCTTTAGGCCGGCGCTTAGATCTTTTGAAGGCCGCGATGTCTGCCCTTGCACCCTTGTCAAGCCTCACCCCAAACCTCCCCACCCTTCAAGGATGCCTCAAACCCGGGCGACCCCTTCTCGACGGCCGCGCTTCTTGCTTTAACTGGCAATGCTAGTAACCTATCTAATGTTGCCAGGTTCATCCGGTGGCCCCGTTCATGCCCCTCCGCCTGGTTCATGCCTTGCCTTACCCATGTCGTGACAGACCTGAATCCAGGCCCACCTTACTAGGCCCCGACAGATCTTGACATGCCGCACCGCATGTGTTTTGCCTTCGGCTCAACCTCCTGTCAACCCTTGTTTCCTCTTGGGCAGTCACCCCAACTTACCCAAGTTCTGTCATCCGATGTGCTGAGAGGTAAAATTGGTTTCGCAGATCGCCTGGGCATCGTCGCTCTCCCAGGATTCCCGTGGACTATATTATCTCGGCTGCTCCCTCGCCATCACGATGCCCTTCACTTCTTTCCTCTCCAGGCTTTACTGAGCTTGACCTTTTCAAACACTCGGTCTTTAACCTTTCGTTTCTTTTCTTCTCTTCCTTCTTTTTCTGTGCCCCGAGTTCTGTGAACTCTTCCATTCTTTCCACTCATTTTGGATTTTATACCACATTTAAAGGAGCTTTTTTGTGTGCGTCTATCTTCTTCGATTCGTCGACTGCAGCCAAGACAGTCTCTCTTTCAGAAATATATCGACCAGTGTCTACACATCTAAGAAAAGAAGAAAAAAATGAAGTACCAGAACCAAGTCGTCGCTGCCCTCTTGGGTCTCGCCTCCGCCAACCCCGTCATCCACAAGCGCGAGGTCCCCCAGGAACAGTCTCACCTGCTCTATCTCCAGATTGTCAAGGAGTTCCTCGACCTCAACAATCCCCTCGGAATCGTCGACCCTGTCTTTGGTCTCCTCGGCAACGCTGCCGCCGCCGATGGTGTCACGGCCGATATCAACCTCGACTGCCTCAAGCAGTTCACTGCCGACCAGGCCTTCACGAATGCTAAGGAGATTGGCGATGTCCGCGGTATGGCTGCGGCCTTGGTCTACCAGGCTCTCGAGCGTAACACCGGTGGTGTCGGTGTCAAGAGCGTCATCTGCCCCGAGGACGCCGTGAACCCTGAGATTGCAGCCTTTGACCAACATCAGGACCCTGCCTCGGACGGTGCCACGGCGCTCAACACTGGCATTACTCTTGAGCTCGCTAAGCAACTTGCTCTCATTGGTGTTGATCCTTTGGTGGCTCTTGAGTCGGGCACTTTCGCCCCCGGTGATGTAAGTTAATTTCTGTTAGGCCGCGGATCTCGGATGTGTCAAAGGATATTAGAGCTAACAAGAACGCAAACAGGTCAACGACCCCACCGGTGCAGGCAACACTTGTGATACTGCCGGTGATCTTCCCGGCTGCATCTTCACGGAGAGGCTCCTTGTCCTCGACGCCTCCCCTGACGAGGTCCTTGCCGCCGTCGCTGATATTACTCCCACCTTCACCGGCACCGGCGTCATCTCGGCCACCAACATCGACTTTGTTGGCCTTGCCCTTGCTACCGGTGGTGTCTTTGAAGGAAGCGATGCCGTCGCTACACAGACTGCTGCCGACACTGCTGCCGACACCGCTGCCGACACTGCTGCCGCTACTGAAACTGCCACGGCTACCGCAAACCCGTGTACGGCTGGCGTCCCCGCCGCCACTGGCGGTGCTAAGACCGGCAAGAACCGAGGCAATGGCAGGAACCGTGGTAACGGCCGTACCCGTCTCCGAGTTGGTGCTACCCGCGGACGTGGCCGGACCGGTGCCACTAAGAACAAGGGCAACAAGAACGCGGGTGCCGCTCAGACTGCCGCGGCCACTGCTGCCGAGACCGCTGCCGCTGCCTCCCAGGTCTGCAGCGTCGTAACCAGGACGATCCCCAACTGCGCCGCCAAGTCCACCGCCGCGGCCGCCACTAGTGCCGCTGCCACGGAAGCCGCCACCGCAGCCGGCGTCAACATCCAAAGCTTCACCGGCACGCTCGGCGGCGCCCCTCCCCCGGTCATCTCTTCAGCCGGCGACCGGCCCTTCTCCGTCAACGGCAACACATTCACGGGCCAACAAGCTGCGCTCAGCCGCTCCTGCGATATCCAGCACAACGCCTGCGCCAACGCCGCCAACAGCGGCCAACTCGCCGGTGGCACGGCGCAGTGCGAGCAGCAGCTCCAAGAGTGCAAGGCGCAGAACAGCCTCCGCAAGCGTCAGGCCCTCGACTTTGGCAGCTGCACCGATCCCACGATCAAATTCGGTGTTGGCTTCGATGGGCGCCGTGAGGCTTCTTTCGCGCCTTCGAACAACGCGGACTTTAACCATGGCAGCGCGCAGAGGATCGGGATCATCTCTTCGTTCATTTGCCAGAGGCTGGGTAGCTCTTGCAAGGCGTCAGCTGCTACTGTTGCTGCGTGCGAGGATGCTAGTGCGCAGGCGCTTGCCGCTACGCAGGACCAGACTGCTGCTGATCTGTTCAATAGCTTGCTTACTGGAGCTGCTGCTGTCGGTGGTGGTGCGGCCGAGGAGGACGTCGCTGCTACCGCTACCGCTACTGCTACTCAGGCGGCGACCGCTACTGCAGCTTCGAACTTTGTTGTCGTCACGGTTACTCAGTGCTCGTAAAGGAGGGACTGGATTCTGGAATCGGAGTTTTGGGCTGGGAGTTCTCCTTTTCGGGTACGAATGTGGGATATCTGGTGGGAATTCTTGTTTTTAGCAGTTTATGTGCCGAATAAACTCGATTTACAGATGGGGTCTGACGGTGATCGAAAAATATAACGGTCTTGGGGACATGCTGATTTCTTTCGGCTTTTGTGAAGTTGCTGGTGAACTGTGATGATATAATGTAGAGCTTTTTGGTGATCGACCAATGTTCAAGAGCATGCCCCCTGAGAGGTGTCTCAGATTCTATCTTGCATGGAGTAGACGAAAGAAGTTCGGACGGGCGGGATCATCCGTTGGTGTCATGGTATGTTGAGAGGTTCTCCGTACCTTTGAAGATGATTAGAGATTAGACCGATTTCCACATCGATACACTTTCTCATTCCTGTATCTTCCTGCCTCATTCAAGAAATTATTTCGAGAGTGTCGTATCCAGGCTGACCGTAGAAATGCCGATATCGTTCAGTCATGGGATATGCTACCAGCTAACGGGGAGGCAAGAGGAGATAGGAACCCAGCTTTCGGTCACGAGGAGGAAAATGAGGAATAGGGAAATCCTAGATAATCAATCTAGATCTCGAGATATCTGAATATTTACCAAGATCGAAACTTTATGTGTCAGCATTCCTGTTCTACCCCTTCCAAGCGCTTCTGACGAGCAGTTCCCGGCGAGCCGACTATGATGGTAATTGACAATAAGTGTAGGTAATAACGATAAATACGGATAGAAAGCCGCTCAGCCGCCCGCTCCTTGTCCAAGGCTTTGGGTTCTCCATCCACCAGCAACTTCAACTCAGCCGAGGCGTCCGGGGGACGAAGGGCCCGGTTGTCTTAGGCTCGAATTAGGGAACGTTGTTGACCTCCTAACCTGGCTCGGAGATGGGAGAGTACCCCGTAGCACAGAGGATGTGTTCCCAGTTGGCATCCTTGCCATAGAGCACTGTCTTGGCCAGCGGGTTCCGGGCAATCGTGACAGCCACCTTCCGAGCCGCTTCCTCAGTCGCGGCCTCAACGACTCGGAATGATAACAAACTTGGTAGCGCCATCGCCGTCGGTACGATCCGTTTTCGCTGGGTTGGAACACATGAGTTGATCTGTTTTCGGGAAAGATTGTGATATTTCTTTTCTTTTCTTTTCTTTTTTTTTTTTTTTTTTTTTTTTTTTTTTTTTGGATGGGAAAGACTGTCAAGTGGCCAACTGTTTCTGAATATCCACTACCAGCGATCCTCTCCTACGAAGCACATATTGACAAGCAAGAAACCATCCACCAGCAAGAGCGACCATCCTTACAAGGCTAGTTTCCCATTAGTGATTGACGCTGTGATTAGGGGATGCCTTCAATAACGATTAGCGATTTCGTGATCCGGGCTTTTCCGTCACGAAGCAGGCCGGTCGTCCTGTTTCCGCGAACAACGCCTCCGAAAACGATGCAGTGTATTTGATACTCAGCATCGGGACAGCGGCGGGGGTCCACGCCTGTGGTCCCAATAATTTCATGACCCGTCGTACTGACATGCAGCTGTTTGAGGCACGTGTAAGGCTGCTCCCATTCGTATTCGAAACTGGAGCTCCGGAATAAGAGGGCAAGGGACGCAGCCTTCCCGCACACTTCTTCGAGATCAGCGAAGGCCTGTTCGTGATTCTGCTTATCCCTATGGATGCAATAATCTCGCAGTGCAAAAGAGTGCTTGCCCCTGTCCTCCCTGTTCATCCAAATACAATGCGCCCTATCACTGACAAATTCGGTCATGTCGTCTGTTGGGTTCAACGCATGGCATGCCTTGACGGAGGCAATCCGCCACTCCCTCAGAATTGCATCTAAAAATTGCACTGGGGTTAGTAGGAACATGTAGCATGCCGGTTATTGTACATACCATCGCATCCAGCGTCTTGTAGGCTTCTCTCAAACCTCTTGAAAGGACTCTGAGCCAGCATCTCATCATCGAGACCGAATAGCATTGCGTTTGGGGAAAAGAAATGTGTGTGGAGTTGATCCGCGATCATCTGCCGCAGCAACAACTCGGGCATGTCTGGCGAGGCTGCTTGAGGGTACGCATCCTGAGGCAGTGTCAACGAGAAATGGCGTCTAACCAAACTCTGAAGGTCGCTCTTGAGCTCTCCAAAACGGCGCTTGATTTCTTCGTCGATCATCGGATTGTCGCTTCTGCCTGCCCTTGTGAGGGCCTTGGATATCGTTTGCATCTTGCGCTCCTTGATTTGCAACTCTCGTTTCAGGCCTTCATTTGCTGTCTTCTCTTTTTGAAGCCGATCACTCAACTCATCCTTTTCGTTCTTCTCCTTTTCGAGTTTGTGGTTCAGTCCATCCACTCGCTGTGAGTGCGTGGATTCGACTTTGGCTATTTCGATGTTGAGCTCTTCTTGAGTGTACATAGGGGAGTATTCGGGGGGAGCCACGCCCTGGGTCGATGAGCTCGTATTAGCAAATGGCCAGCGAATAGGAAATCTAGTTGCTTTCTCCGACTCGGCGGCCCTACGAGGTTCTTGTTCGTGACGTGCTGGGCCTCCGACGGCGTCGCCCAGGGAGACGGCAACCTTTGCCGAATTCTCGCCGCCGGCTGCTTTGCGGGAGCCCCGGAACTCTTGCCGGAGCTCTCTCAACTCATTTCTCATTTCATTGAATCCACAAATGAGCTTGGCGGTAAGCTCAGACCAATCCGCGTCGGACATCTGGACGTCATGGTCATTCGAGAGGACCCCCGGAGTTCCTGGTCCGTTGCCGGGCCGGTTCAGCGCCTGACGCGGGTTGGGTTCATCGTTGGGACCTTCGCGACGGTCGTTCCTGATAGAACCTAACGGAGGACGTTTCTGAGCTTGCAGCTGCTTCATCTCGACTGTTGTTGATTTGGTGTAGTTGTAATTTTTTGACTACTTGTGTGTGGTGTGATATTGTCGACTCTTTGTTGCAAGCACAAGACGGGTTTTCATTCCTGGGGTGTTTAATGAGAGGGAAGCAGCAGGTGGCTCTAATCTGTCGTAAATCCCGTGCGGAGAGATCCCGGCCTGGCTCAAGTGGATAGGCCGGACTTATTATACCGAGTGTTCCTTGCCCGTTGAATGCCGCATCCGCTACAACGGGTCCTGGCTAGTCTTGACCCTAGTCTTGACCGGGGCTCCGAGCTCGTGCATGGTATGACTGTTGGTCGCCCGCAACGCTGTGGTTCAGGTTCGAAGATGGCCTCAGCCACCTATTACGATTTCTGATACCTGTCTGAAACGCGAAATCACCAACATCTTTTGTAGAATCATGTACTAATCTACTTCGTACTTTATGTATCAGTACATCGACCCGCCCTTCTCCAAGCCTTACATAGCTGTGTTGGAGTGTCGATAAACTTCTCGGATCCATTCACTTTCCACGGGCGACGATGCACGCATTCTCCGGCGGAAAGTCTAGACTTAACTTAGGCCATTGACTCCGACTCTGTGCTCTAACTGAACGGCGTCTGCCGTCGCGGTGTGGTAGCTGACCCTTGTGCAAGGGGCGCAGCCATCCCGGCTCCCTCCAACGGGCCGGTTCCAAGCATTGAGGGGTAGATAGTTGGGCGCGTATTCGGATTGAAGTGAGGAATCCTCTATCGAGCTTTCTTACATATATACCCTGAGTGGCCTGTGGCCACACGTCATGAGTCTGAATCATGCATAGAAATATTTAGACGTCCCAGCCTGTCCCCGAGCCGTTTGGTTACGCCTATCCGAATCCACCCCCTTCTCCGTGTAAGCTTCTCGCAACTTTATTTCCTGCAGCAACTCAAAATCCGGGTGACCAAGATGGATGAAAGCGATACTGAGTCGAGCGGCTGTTCCGACGCCCTTGAGGGCGACAAGCTCGTCATTGGCCTTGACTTTGGCACGACGTTTAGCGGGTCAGTCACTTGTCCAATTTTGGTTCTCACGTCTTGAATAATTAACATCCGTGACCCATTCAGCATCGCCTATGCCTTCTCCAACGACCCTGAAAAGATCTACTCCATTACGAACTGGCCTGGAGGCGAGGACCGCATCGTCCCCAAGGCGCCGACAGCTCTCAGGTATACGAAAGACTCGACTTCCGAGTTCCAGTGGGGATATGAGCTCGAAGGATCCCTAGAAGACAAGATCACAGGGCTCAAGCTGCTGCTCGATCCCGAGCAGCGTCGTCCATATTTCATCCCGACTAATATTCCAGCCGAGCTTGCCAAGCTTCCAAAGTCAACACTTGACGTTGCCACGGACTACCTGCGAGCTCTGTATGACCATGCCATGGCGGAAGTGAAGGGCGAATACCTCGATAGAGAGTTTTTGGAGAACTACCAGCAGCAGTTTGTCTTGACTGTGCCGGCTGTCTGGTCTGACAAAGCTAAGGATATGACTCTCAGGGTAATGCTATCTAGGTTCAGCTGCTCTCTGTTCCCATCACCTCCCGCATCCAACTGCTGACAACCGCAGGCTGCCCGCGCTGCTGGCATTTCTCCTGTGGAGATGATCACAGAGCCTGAAGCTGCTGCGCTCTACACCATACTCTCTGTGAAGAACAAGGGTCTCAAGGTCCGTATCTAGATCTATTCTCATTCTGAAACGGGCGGCTATCCTAATCTCGCTGCTCCATGGCTCACTCAAATCAGGTTAGGGATGCCATTGTGATATGTGACGCCGGCGGTGGTACCGTTGACCTCGTCTCGTATGAGATTATGAGCCTGAACCCATTCGAGCTAAAGGCTCTGACAGCGCCTTCTGGTATGTGGAATTCGTACCCAAAGGGGTATTTATATATTATTATTTGCCACCGGAATATTCTTTCCGCAAAATGAATAATTTTTGGTCTCGTTGAAGCATTGCGAGGATAAAAGTTCTGACAAGGATGTGTAGGCGGAGTTTGCGGTTCCCTGATGTTGAACAAACTCTTCGAAGACGAAGTCCACAAGGTAGTCGGAGACGATGCCTACGTCACGCTGAAGAAGACGGAGGCTTACCGAAGTGCCTTGAGAGACTTCGATTCTACGATCAAGCTCGCATTTCGGGGGAAGACAGACACCGACAAATATGTCAGCTTCCCCCTGGCGAAGCTTCAAGACAATAAGCCCATGGGTCTGGAGAGAGACTCACTGACCCTTAGCGGAGGGACGCTTTTTAGAATCTTCGACCCCATCATCAGGGAAATAGACAAACTGGTCACAGAGCAAGTCACTTCGGTTCGCATGGAGCGTCTCCAGCTAGGAAACACTGCCGGCGCCAGCGTAAAGGTTGGTCTTCATAAGTCGTATCTATGGTTTCGATGCCACGAAATTTACAAGCCGTTGTATAGGCAATTTTCCTCGTTGGTGGCTTTGGGTCAAGTGCTTATCTGAAAGATGTCATTGAGAAGTCGAACCCTGGTGTCCTGGTCGTCCAGCCAAAGGAAGCGTAAGCCATCTCCTCGCATTCTCACGGCGCCATGCGATACGTTGACCATAATTTAAATTGTGCAAAACTAACAAATCTTTCTCTACAGATGGTCTGCCATTGTCAAGTAAGAAGCAATGGAAGCAGCGAGTAACTATGTCCTGGAAAACTAATGCATGTCTCTAGGGGGCCGGTAATGAGCAAGCTGGGCATTGGCCCGACTGTCACTTCCACCAGGGCGGCCAAGCACTATGGTACCAGTTGTCACTCAACCTGGCGGCCAATTCGCGATCGCGGTTTTGCCAAAATTCATGACGACTTGGACGATGAAGACAAGTGTATAATTATGAGTTGGTTTATTTCCAAGGTAAGAAACGGTGGCTCGGTAATCAAACTGGCCTGCAGCGTGATAGAAAAGAATTGGACAGACTGACGAACTGCTCCGTTCCAGAACGACGACCTATCTCGCGAGAAGAAAATTCAACTATCATTCTACCGCAAGTGGAAAGGCAAGAATCCCACCGGGGCAAAGATGAAAGTCACCGACGAACTCTTCGAGTGTAGCGACCCGGTCGCGCCAGTCCATCCTAGCGATGGTAAGTCAAGCGTACCTTGCGAAATGATAGCCGTCATTCTTTGTCCGCCGCGATCCAAGATTCTCGCTGACTTTTTTTTCCAAGATGTCAACATCAACTGTAGGCTCAAGACGGACCTAAGCCAAGTGCCCAAGTCCGCCTTTATTTTCCAGAAAAGGCCGAGGGATGGACTTGAGTATTTCGAGCTTCATTACGAGCTTCAAATAGAGAACAACCCGTCAGGTTTGATGAAGTTCTCACTCCTTGTCAACGACGAGGAGTACTCGGCAGTGGAAGCAACGTATTAGCCGTGAGCCTTCACTCCTCCTTATTTTTTCTAGAGTTTAGTTGTTCACGCGTCTTGCCCAAAGGCCATATATCCGTTCGGTGGCTCTTGGAATGCTTTTGGGGTCTCTTGTATACTCTATGAAGGCTGGATCTAGGTGGTTGTTGTCCCAATTATCATGGTAGACATGGTAGATGGCAGAGTTGGGATATTTTGGATTTCCTACATCGCGGCACACGCGTCCCCCCCCCCCCCCCCCCCCAGGAAAAAAAAAAAAAAAAAAAAAAAAAAAAAAAGGGCAAGAGAATGAAAGTATTGCTCCTTCACAAAGAGCACGACTACCGTGAAGAAGATCCATGTTCAAATAACTGAGGACATTGGGCTGGCATCGAGTTAGATGATTGGAAACAGATTACCTCCGATTCCAAGATGTGCAAATGAGACAAAGTGAAGCTAATTTATTGCCGAGTAGAAAATCGGTGGGCCTGCAGAACAGCCAAAGACGACGCCTAGGACAGGCACACTTGGACTTAGGGTGGAAATGAGGCGTATTAGCTGGGCCCCCAAATGCGAAATTTTAATTCCTCTTAAATATTTCGTCACATGCGGGCCGGTGCGCCTCACCCTGTACCGGTTCGGGGATGAGGCCGAGTTTCTCCACCGAATACCAAGACGCAGTTCCGCCAGAGTTCTTTATAAATCGGATTGAAGCAACTCAAGTGTGTGCCCGAAGGGCGTAATATCAGTTTCCATGGACGTTATGCGAACCAAGGATGATGCCAAGCTCTTTGGCCTGCTCTTGTCTTGACACTCAGCTCCGAGCTATCGGATGTGGTGGCCAACTTGGGATGGTTTCCCTCTCGGGACATACAAGCAATATATTATAGATAGTAGCTTGGCGGGATGAGAGGAGAGCCGCACCATCTCGGACCCCAGGCTCCGAATCTTACTGTCGGAGGGACCTGTTAAGCTCCTTAAACCTCGTGGTTTCCCCATTGATCTTTAATCTAAGCATTTCCCTCGATTAATGCCGTACTCTCTTGACTCAATTCGAGTGAGCGAAGGTAGAGGAAGAATCATTGCCAAGAGGAAGCAAAATTATAGAAAATAGTTGTCTTCCACGGTAAATCTCCCTTTTCAGCCGGAAACTGGGCAAGGGAACAAAATCACCAAGACGGCGAGGGGCGTGTGTGTGATGATGTAGTTAAACGTACCTCTCTTTTCCCGTTTCTTCTATTTCTTTTCTTCGTCTAAGTTTAGAACCTTTTCCGTTCCTCGCGCATCGTGTTGCTCTGTTTGAGGGTTTCCCTCTTTCATATACCTTTCCCTTTTATTGGACTTCTGCAAAGTGCTCGACTCTCAACTCGACTCTCATTTCAAGCTGTTCGAATTCCTTTTCCCCTCTTCATTTTGCGAGCTGCCATTCTATCGCAATAGTGGAGCTCGCAAGCTTCGCTTTGTGTCAAAGACGAGGCCATTGAGTCGGGTCATCTTGGCTGGAGCTTCGAGCTTCTCATATTTCGATTCCGAGAATAAAAGAGCGACCTCGAAGACCGTTTCTTCACCGGGGGAATCCTTTCTAACACTTTGACCTTTGACCATGGTCTCCTTAATTCCACGCCGCCGGACAGTCCGCCGCCTCACCTTCTACACGATCATCCTCTTCCTCATCTACCAACTCGCAAAACTCACCCTCCCCGCCGACAACATAATCTTCGTCTCCCTACACTCCCAAAAAGTCTACCTCCAGTCCCTCTTCCACTCCAAAGCCGCCACCGACTCCTGGATCCGCTCCTCAACGGGGCCATATGCCGTGGATTTCTCGTCCCGCGTCGGCCTGCTGATCAAGACGGGCTACGGCACGCGCGAGAGGCTACCCGCGCAGCTCGAAGCCCTAGGCCTGGATAAATGGGACCCCGATCGCGCTGTTGTCGTCGGCGACTTTGAGCAGGACGCCAACGCTACGGCTGGGGCGCCCGTGATTCAGGATGCTGTCGGCTCGATCATGAGGATCCTCGCGCCAAAGGGTCTTAATAGGATGCATAGATTCAAAAGGTACGGGGCGCTTAAGAAGGCAATTGATGATAAGGATGAGAAGAGGGCCGATTTGCTCGCTTCAAATGTTGGCTGGGAGCTTGACGCACTAAAGGTAAGATGTTTACTTTCCTTTGTAGAATCTTGTCCTGTGTATCAATCTGCGCCGCAAGAGTTTTATCCTCCTTCCTTGGGTTTAAATCTCACTCGATCAGCACCGCGCTAACATGGAGATCTCGACTTGGTAAGACCATCTGGGGCCTAGGAGCTCTTTTCAGAACCCTACCACCCAAAGACTGGTACATCATCCTCGACGACGACAGTTTCCTCGTCACCGAATCCCTCACCCGCCTCCTCTCGCACCTCGACCCCACGAAACCCTACTATCTCGGAAACACTCTCGGCAGCACGCTCAGCCGTTTCGCCCACGGCGGCTCAGCCATCGTCCTCTCCCGCGCAACGCTCGAAAAGCTATTCCGCGCGCACCCCGACGCGGCGGCCGAAGCGCAAGTGAATTCCCTCTCTGAAACATGGGGCGACAAGCTCGTGGCGGCGACGCTGCGGAAACTCAACATTTACATTGATGAGAGGTTCAGCCACTTCTTCAATGGCGAAGTACCGCTTGACACGCAGATTGCATCGGATCGGTTCTGTTCGCCGATCGTGTCGTTCCACGACCTGAAGAAGGCCGAGGAGATGCGTGAGCTGGGGAGGAAGTTTAGGGAGAGAGGTAGGAGGTTGACTGTGTGGGCTGATGTCTGGGATCTGTTTGGCGGGGCGAATACGCGGGGGTTTAACGATAGGCCGATGAGGCAGGATCACGACTACGTGGGTAAGAAGGTGGATGTGAGGAAGGTGAAGATGTCGAAGAATGTGCCGACGGCGGAGAGGTGTATGAGGTTGTGCATGAGGCAGAGGAAGAAGTGTTTGGCGTGGAGGTGGGAGATGAAGAGTAGGGAGTGTTATACGAGTGAGTGGATGACGGTGGGTAGGAGGAAGGCGGGGGTTGTGTCGGGGATTAACGGGGATTGGGCTACGGAGATGATGGAGTCTTGTTCGGATCATTGATGGGTTATATGGAGTGGAATTTTCAAACTTGGCGTTTATATGGATCGGAACCGGGTCATCGTGATTTTGATAGAACCGTGTTACACGTCAAGAATTGACAATAGCTGCCTACTCGGGCTGCTCAAGGGAATCTCTTCTCATTAGCCTCGGCGACAGCTCCATGAATTTTCCAGGCCAGAGGCAAGAGTGATGGATGAATGCAGATTATTCGAGGAGCTTTCCATCTGCAAGGCAAGACCAGTAGGTGTGAGGTTGTCTTGATGTCTTGAGATGCTGGACTGTTTTGGAATAGATGCCACATGCCGACAGCTGCCATCCGGGGTCGCTCTAGAGCCCGATGCCGGCGCTGACTAGCGCTAAGACAAAGAAGGAGCTCGGTCGCATGGGCTCCGCCAATGTGGTCGCGTGCCCCGCCTCAGCTTGGGCAGTCAATCTCATTTGATCCCACAGAGAACGTTAGCGTCCGAAAGACCCCCAGATTCGCCTCCCGTCAGGACCCCTTCAGTGCTCCTAGCGGCCTGGCAAACCGGTCCTGTCCAGTGTCCACCATGGCAGATGAGATGACGCCACTCCGGAATCACGCTTTCCTTCAACTGACGTCAATTTGATGGTCCTTCCCAATCCATCGCCAACTGCAAACGTCGTGGCAGAGATGACAGAGACCGGCATCCAATGATTGATCGATTGGGCTCCGGATTGTCTCCCTGTCGTCGTCACCGCCTTTGAACTTTTGGGCGCTGCCAATCCCACTCTAATATCCCCAAGCGGGGAGTCGTTCAACAAAAATAATAAGAAAAATATCGTTGCCTGCGCCCAATCTTACGGATCAACATTACATTGAACTTTTTTGTTCCAGTATTGGCATGAATTTGATCAAGCTTCTCGGAAATCCCTTTTTGATTAAACCCCTATTTTACCTCTCAGCCCTTGACACTTGAATCCTTTCTGAAGACGAGTTTCCCGTTAGCTCATTGCTCAATCATTGATCTCGTGCCCATCCGAGCCATCTCGCCAGCTACAAATCAATAGACCCGCTGGTATTAATTATACCTGCCGTATTTCTTTTGGGGCCTTGGCGGTTGAAACCCCCACCTTCGCCTCTCCCCTTTCAAAACATCCTCGCAAGATCTACAAAGCAGTAGCTGCTAGGCAGTCATTCTCGCGCCCTTGGACGCTTCGTTTCTCGTTCTTCCTCCTTCCCTTTCGCTATTCTCTCTTTTTCCTTTTGCTCCATAGTCTATAGTCAGAAGTTTTAGCCATTCGACCCAAACCAACAGACGCAATGTCCCGGTCCGCAACCCCCAACCCCGTCGCGAGCAGCAGCAGCTGGTCCGCTTTCCTCAAGGTACCGCTCTCCTGCTCAACCACTCTGCTCTCTCTCCCCTCCTTGCAAGCTCAATTTGCCCCATACAAAGAACCCAAAGCATACTAACACGTCAGTTTCCCCCCATAGTCCATCGCCTCCTTCAACGGCGACCTCTCCTCCCTCACCGCCCCGCCCTTCATCCTCTCCGCCACCTCCCTGACCGAATTCAGCTCCTACTGGTGCGAGCACCCGCCTTTCTTCGCCGCCCCCGCCGCTGAGTCCGACCCGGAGAAGCGCGCACTGCTCGTGCTCAAGTGGTTCCTCTCGACCTTGAAGCAGCAGTACGCGAGCCGTAGCGAGAAGTACGGCAACGAGAAGAAGCCTCTGAATCCGTTTCTTGGCGAGCTGTTCTTGGGGAAGTGGGAGGATGAGGCGGGGGTTACGGAGCTCATTAGTGAGCAGGTGAGGTATGTTATCTCTCAATCTGAGCTGTAATTGGAGCTAGAAGAAGAAGAAGAAGAAGAAGAATGGACACGACAGAGAAACGTCGAGTACTAACGAATTACAACAGCCATCACCCACCAGCGACAGCCTACAGCATCACCAACATTCCCACCGGCACCCACCTCGAAGGCTATAACGCCCAAAAAGCCACCTTCTCCCGCACCATCAACGTCAAGCAAATCGGCCACGCCATCCTCACCGTCCCCTTCCCCGACAAGACCCTCCCCGCCGAAAAGTACCTTATCACCCTACCCTCCCTGCACATCGAGGGTCTCATCTACGGCGCACCCTTCGTCGAGCTCAACTCGTCCTCCTTCATCACCAGCTCCTCGGGCTACACCTCCAAGATCAGCTACTCCGGCAAAGGCTGGCTCTCCGGAGAGAAGAACAGCGTGACTGCCGTGCTGTACCACGAGGATAACGAGCGCGACGTGCTCTACAACGCCGTGGGGGTCTGGACCAAGTCTTTTAGCTTTTACAAGGGCCCCGCGAAGAATAATTCGTCGAGCACCCTCGTCGAGACGTACGATGCCGCGAGTTCCCCGGGCACGAAACTTACTGTCGCGCCCCTAGAGGAACAGCACCCCCTCGAATCTAGAAGGGCCTGGAGTAAGGTCGCCGCCGCCGTGGCAAAGGGCGACATGGACGCCGTCGGCCTCGAAAAGGGCAAGATTGAGCAGGCGCAGAGGGATATGCGGGCCAAGGAGAGGAGCGAGGACAGGGTTTGGGAGAGGATTTACTTTACGGCGCAAGACGGCCCCGATGAGATTTTGACGGAGTTGGCGCCGAGGGTTGGGCTCGGCGTTGATGGGGATGCTGATAAGACGGGAGGGTTGTGGAGGTTTGATTGGGAAAAGGAAGCAAAGGTTAAGAAGGCTGGGAAGCCTTCCGAGGAGGAGGTGCTAGCCATTGAGAGGGATCTCTTGGGACAATGAGGAGAGGGAAAAAAAGAGGAGAAACGATAAGCGTCGTCGGCGGGCGGTTCCTGACTGGAAAGTGTGGGGAGTAGCTGTTCTTTTGGCTTGGAAGGGGGAGGGTTCTTTATTTTTGGGAAACAAAGGGGGAAAAAAACATGCATGGGGTTTTGGTTTGGGGTACTACATAATAATTGCTACGACACTCTGTAGATGCATTCGACATTCGACACGAGGAATACTCTTTTAATATACTTTAAGAGTACGATTCTGAGCAGAACATCTTGTTGATCAGGTTTCCATCGTGTTTCTCTTTTAATTTTTTAGGACGTATTTTCCTCCGTATTCAGTGCTGGCCGTGTTGTTTTTATTTCTTTCCCATCTACATAGTGTACACTCTTTTTCCATTCCTCCTATCTATGATTGACTAACACCTCTCTCCGATCTTTCTTCCCTCAGTATTTCTAAAAGCCATGTGAATGCATGACAAAAACAAGATATCAACAGAAGGCATACTCCATAGTCGTGTGTCCCCACAAGCAAATCTAACGTGCCCAAAAAGGCCGAGACTCCTAGTCATCGGCCTCCAGCTCATAGAACAACAAATACACCTCCCTCTCCATGTCTAAAACCTCACCCGTCCTCGCCTCACGACACTTCTCGTCGTTTATCCTCCACCACTTCTGGTTCTTCTTCTTGACCGTCTTGGGTTTTCGTGGGGCCGCGCTGCTTCCGTTGGCGCCGTTGCTGTTGTTGTTATTGGATCCGCTCTTGACGGGCGAAATCTTCGATAGTGCCGATGCGGCCACGGAGCGTATGCTGCTCGAGTCCGATTTGTCCTTCTCTTTAACCGAGGCAGTGCTCTTCGAGGTTCCGTTTTGTATGGACGGGGGGGTCGTCGTAGAGGAGGCATAGGAATAAGGGGAGGGATCGTCGAGCATGGAAGGGGCCGCTGAGGCTGAGCTCTCGCCCGATGAGTTGCCGTTGTTGTTGTTGGGGAGTGGTAGGTCGGGGGTAGAGGCGGCAGGGCTGGCGCCGAGGGGTGTTCCGTCGGAGCCGACCCCTCTCCGTAGAGAGCCTACGCGGGGCGTCGCGGTGGGGGTGCCCGTCTTGCTGTAGACTCCACCCATGAGGTGGGGGTTCGAGAAGGGACCGGCGGACACGGGTTGACGTCGGAAGGATTGGTAGTGTCCGCTCTGGTGGCCGCCTTTGTGGGTTACGGTGGCGAGGAGGCGGTAGCGCTTCTGGTCGCGGAGGCCTCCGAGGCGGAGATGCTCGGGGAAGGAGACCTTGGCCATGTTCTTCTGCGACGTGCGGTCGTAGATGGAGCGGGAGAGGTGCACGACAAGCACCCGTGGGAATCGGGTGATGCGGTGGGACCGCGCAATCGTGGACTTGGGAGTGTGGCGACTATCCGGCAAGGGCACGTCCTTGGGGGGATTCTCGGGGTCATGTTCGATGGCAGCATCGAGCTTGTCGAGGGCCTCCTGCATCACGGCGCGGGGGTCTTCGGAGGCGGGGGCGCCTGGGAGGGAAGGGGGCAGTTTAGACATGTCCGAGGCGAGAAGCTTGCGGGCGTAGAGGAGACGGCACTTGTCGCATTTGTAGTCGGGTATGTGCTCGGTTTTGAAGAGCCCGTCGAAGCAGGCGGCGAGAGTGGTGGAGGAGACTTGTGGGACGGAGAGGGTGAGCATGCAGAAAACTTCTTTGCGGGGCGTCGTCTTGAAGCCGCAGGTTTGGCACTGGGATTGGGCTTCCTTCTCGCCTTCCAACGGGAAATCGTGCTCTTCTTCCTCCTCCTTTCTTCCTTCAAAGTCTTCTTCCTCCTTGGATTGTAGTGTCGGGTCAGCTTTCTCTGACAGAGGGGTGGCGCTATTCTCGGCTCCGTTTTCTTGCCCTGCTGCTAACCTCCTCCTATTAATCTGCTCCTCTCTCTTGGCGTAGGCCCTCGCCCTCTTTCCAGCATTATACTCATCCTGTAACCTCTCGACGAGCAGCTGCAAAAACTCTTGCGCATCCTGCTGTTGGCGATTAATCGTCTGACCAAAGGCGCCCTCCAACACGGCGACGAAACCCCTGGGCGAAATGGCCTTCTTCCAAATGGACCTCTCGTTCAGCTTATCCAGGATATCCTTCAATCCGGCCGTCACGGCGCCGCTCTGCAAACTCCGTATCTGCCATTCCTTCAGCTCCTTGCCGCCAAAATTAGACGGAGTATCGGTCGAGCGCGTAGGTCGCACAAGGCGCTCGTAGACGTCGACGTCGATGGCGCGGCGGTGGGTCTCGCGGATGAGGTACAGGCGCAACTCGCCGATGCCGGCGAGGGCTTGGAGAATCGAGTTGATGAAGCAGTCGTTTCCGATGTTTCGAAGACCAACAGCATGTGCGGAGCGGCGAGCACCATTCGGAGATTCGTCGATGAGGTAGGTGGGGCCGAAGACGTAGACGAGGGCGATGGCAGCGAGGCCGGCGCCCGCGGCGTAGGTTATTACGGAGCCGTTTTTCGCCATTGAGGGGGGGGAGTAGGCTTTGAGAGATGGGAAGGTGAGAGTATTGCGGCAATTTTTATGACCGGTGCCACAGAGGTGACCGGGTATTCGCGGATAGGGACTGTTTAGGGGTGACGGTGTGACACGGGGAGTCTCTCAGTAAGGCTTGTCTGTTCAAGTATGGGAAGAGGACGGGAGGATGGGCGCTAGTGTCGAGCAAGCATAGGTTCCCCAGATGGAGGCGAAGGGGTGGCTCCGAAGAAGATCGCGGTACAGCGTAAGACAGAGTGGGAAGGGGGAGGATTACACGACTGCCGGGAGGCTCGGATAGATCGGCTGCTGGAGCATGGCTAAGTAAATTGGGAATGGCAGATTTTGGAGAGGATGTGGAGATGCAAGAGATACGAGATTCGATAGGGGGATGGGTTGCTACGGACGCAAATTCTTCATAGTAGGCAATCTCGAGAAAGTGAATACGGGGTTAGGTTGAGTGTTTGATGGTAAGATGGGCGAAGGTGAGCCAGGCTAAGAGTTCCAGTAAGGCGGAGAAGGGAGAAAAAGATGGGGTGGTGGATTGGGATGGCAGAGGAGAAAAGGGCCTTGTCCTTGTTCAGGAAGGTGAAGGCAATTGAAATTTCAATGGGTGGGGGGCTTTAAGAGGATTCTGGATAGACAGACACAGACATGAACATGACGAGAGGATAATACAAGTGGTACAAGTGGTCTAGAACTGGGGAAGGGAAAGCGAATGGATTCTGAGGCAAAGTACCCCAGATGGTCAACCAGAATGGATTTGACCAAATCAGAGCAAGAGGTGGAGGATTGGTGAAAATGGGGGCCGAGAGGATGGGATTGAGCGGATGTGACAGTTGAGGTTTGACACCGGCCAGAAAAAAAAGGGTCCAGGATCCTCTGAAAGGGGAGCGAAGAAAATTTCGAAGGAAAAAAAAGGAAAATAATTAAGAAAGGAGAAAAAAAAAAAAAAAACGAGAAAAAGAAAAGAAAAAAATTCAAATAATATTAATGGGGAGGAAAAGTTCCCGCAACATCGGACTCTACAATGCAAGCAATCGGAGAATGGCACAATTCTTCAATGTTCATGTTGATGGAAGGAGTCTCTGGACATTCAATTGTTGCTGAGCTGGGGATACCTTCCAAGTTGAACAATTCAAATCTGTTGCAAGAGACATTTGGGGGCTCCTTCCGATTCTCATCGAGGATACGGAATACATCCGTCGATGCGAGGTACTATTTCGTACTTCGTACATGCGTACATGCGTACATCAGAGACATACGGAGTACATCCAGGCAGACGGACCTCAGCAGACAACTCGCGAATAGAAGGTGTCACCGCCAGTCTCCTTCCTACTCACTCCTCGAGATGCTAGATCGGTCTTTCCTCTTCCACTAGAATAGACAGCTTCTTCAGCTTCGGGACTTTGGAAAAACGGCAAAGCCCTCCCGGTTTCCGATTCCGGCCAACCAATAATAGCAGGAACATCCACCCCGATGGATTGCGGAGAAGGAAGGAATCATCGACCCGGTTGGCAGCTAGGAGAACTGGACTCCAGCAGGTCTAGATCTGGTCGAGATCTGGCTGGGCATTCACCAGGATCCCCTAATTCCCTAGTCTCGTCTCGTCGTCCCGACTTGATGGCGGTCCTGAGTTTCCAGGTTGTTGCCGCTCTGAGGTCCTCGATCACATGAAGGAGAGAGACCCCCAAACTCTACATTGCCGATATCGTGCGGAGAACGAGCCTCTTGACCACAAGTCTTGGACCCAAATTTGGAATGAAGGTGACCCCTGATCCTCGCGACACCGTCAAACCAATGCTTCAAGGAACCCGTGCCCGAAGAAAGAGTACGTGATGAGAGAGTGTGTGATAGAATGTACCTAGTTTAGTTCATTGCGCTCCTGTTCTAAACAGGGCTAGACGTAAGATGAGATCGGAACATGGAGGTCCTGTCTCCCTTGCCGCCCGCCCGCTACCGTCCATCCTTGATCCCGCCCCAACCACATTTATGTAGTCCTCTCCTCTCTCACTCATACCACTCACACACACCGATCTCCTTGCGGGCACATCCATGTCTTGCTTCCTCGGTCGCTGGTCCAAAACTCATGTGCTTGTTCCGGTGGGTGGAGCGGGTGCAACAGGCGGAACAGCGGGATGGCATGCGTCGTGGCATACAAAATAGTGTAGCGCAAGTGTTCTAGCCGACAGTGACAGCGCAGCCAAGCAGCCCAAGACGAGTTAAGCCATTCTGGGATTGATTGAAAATGCACGTCGACGATGCGATCGAACTATGACGGCATCGAAATTCCGCCTCTAAAATACAACACCACTTTTAGCCCAATCGGATGAATTGTAGCGCCCTACGAAGTATCCAGCGCCGTTTTTTCCTTCTTGGATTCTTAGGGACTTGTTGCATTTCTGTTTCCGCTCTACTCTGTTGTGTTGTTCTGTTTTGTTTGTAGTTGTGTACTTTCTGGTGATTTCTGCAGCAGGAAAGAACTTAAAGTTGCCCCTTCCCTTTTGCCATATTCTGTCTTCTACTCACATGTTGTTGTACTTTGTAGATTGTAGATTCTGGATTTATGGACTTTGACATTTGGGGCCTTCTCATCAGGCTTTAAAAGCCAAGATAACAGGAACTTCACCCCACCTGAAAAACACTCCCTTCCACTCCACATTTGATATTTCTCGCTTGTTGCATGCTCTTTCTTTTGCCAGCAAACTGTGCTCCGCTCATCTTTAAACATCAGAGCTATCGGAGATTGAGGTGTCATGTCCCTTTCATGACGGACTCCTGAATGTCTGATTAATGTATTTATTGTCAGTTCCTTCTTCTTCTTCTTCTTCTTGTCATGCCTCCCAGGTTCTTTGTATTCCAGCCAATCCATTATAGATGTCAACAGTCGGAAATCAAGCAGTGGTAACAGAAACATTGAATCCTAGCCTCGCCTGCTAGCCGTCTTTCCGACCTCCCCACAAGCCTCATCTCTTATCTCCGTCCATTGATGCTTCGACCTTAGCTGTCTCCAAAAGATAATGACAGTCCTAGAGACGATGCCGGTCGTAGCGCCCGCCAATGCTAAGAAAATGGGCTCTCCCCGCCTCCCCATGGAAATCATCCTCCACATCATCGAGGCCATCGTTCCCGGCTCTCCCGACGCCCTCCTTCGTCGCGACGACCCGCGTTCGCGCCTTCTTCTCTCTTTCACCCTCGTCTGTCGGTCAACGTACCTTGTTGCCACTCGGCTCCTCCGTCGTCACAGCGCATCCGTCGAATCAAGTTCCCAACTCAGCCGGTTCCTTCTCACTCTTGACAGACCCACCCACAGCCCTGACCCGGCCCTCTCATGGAAGAACATCACCTCTCTCTACCTCGCCCCCTTCGGCGACGTCCTCGACGACCCCGCCGTCGCCCACCAAACCAGGGAGCTCCTGCGGCACACAGCCGACACCCTTCGCCGCCTCGTCATCCACATGCCGTTTTCAACACTACCGCGGGTTGATGACCACAACAACGTCCGCCAAACCCTACGCGAGGGCTTCGAGAGCCTCCTGGACCTCGAGGAGTTCGTCTGCCTGTCCGACTATCCCGATCTCTCCACCTCTAGCGCCACCACGGACATTTGGGCTCTGTGGCCCAAGCTGAAGCGTCTGATGCTCTTCCACGTGCCTCTGGCCGACCATTGGCTCTGGTGGAACATTGCCCACCTGCGCAATCTCGAGTTTGTCTGGTTTATGGAACCCAAGCCCGGTATTTACGCGCCTCTACGGGTCAACGTCAAGGAGGTCTACTTCAACACCATGCCGCGCGATAGCCCTAATCTGAAGAAGAAATTCACCGTTGCCGTTGCGGGGGGTTGGTACACCGAGGACATTTATCTCATGTCCAAGTGGGATGAGCTCGACCCGGACGAGTGCATGACCTTCCGTTTCTTTGGCCAGGGTTTGCCGGACGATGTTGGTACGATCCGGAGGAAGTGGCTTGCTAAGAACATTGAGAATGGGAGCTTGTGGGACTTGGATGTCGTGTCCAGGTACATGGCCGGTGGGGGAAAGTCTCATGCCAGAGGACCTGGGGGTAAGGACCTCGGTGATTTGGTACTGCCGAGGCTTTTTCCTGGCTGGCGATATCAGTGATTAGTCCAAAGAGGGGGGGGGGATGCCACCTTTCTTTGCCGCCCTTTGCAGTTTTCGTCTTTTTTCCTTTTCCTTTCTTTCCGGTTGTTTTATAGGATTTCAATCTACATAGCGAAGGCGCTGTTAGACTGCGGAATAGCCTCAATGGGCGAGGGATCTCCTACGCCTTGCACCGAGCAGAGGTTTAAGCGGCTGACACTGGGGTTTTGCATTTCAATGGACATTCATACACTCGCTTCTGTTTAAATTTCAGGGATCCGGGGGGTTATATTCAGGTTTCCCGAGAGGAGTTTCTCTTTTCTTCTCTTCTTCCTCTTCTCTCCCGGTTGTTATCATTCGGGGCATGTATTTTAAAGGCATCTGTGTGTATATTTACAGAAGAACTTGGGCAGCGAACAAACGAGATGCCTTGATATCCTCTCTTGTATATGGCTTTTCTTGTGGTGGAGATACAAGTACTTACTCATCGTGTTCAGATCCCTCGTCGTCGCCAGGAGCCTCCTCGACTGGTGCCTCTTCTTCAACGGGCTCTTCTTCGGTTCCTTCTTCTTCAGGTGCCTCGGGAGCCTCCTCGACAGGCTCCTGCCCTTCCTCGCCCGCCTCGGGCTCCTCAGTTTCGGCATCTCCACCATTGCGGGCCTTGATGAGATCAACAGCCTAAAGCACCCAGTTAGCGCATGAAGCCTGTCGCACACGACATCCACACCTCTCTCCATCTTCAAGAAAACTCACCTTCTCAGCAAGCATATACACAGGTTGTTGCGTATTAGCACCGGGCAACAGTGGCATAATCGACCCATCCACAACCCTCAACCTCTTAACGTCATGCACGAACAACTCCTCATCAACGACACCGCCCTTCTCCTTAGGCTTCTTCGCCGCCGTCGCAATAGGATGGAAATTCGTCGGAATCAACACCTCCCTTATCCACTCCCTCAGCTCCTCCCCCTCGACATCGATACCCGGCATCGTCTCCTCTGGCTCATACTCGGCGAAATCCTCGCTAGCCATATACCTACGCAGGAATCTAATGTTCTCAACCATGATGTCCAAGTCGACGGGGTTCGAAAGCGCCCGGTAGTCCACGATGGGCTCGTTCTCCGGGTCCGCTGGGTCGATGTTGATGGTGCCGTGGCTGACTACGTGCATGCTCATGACGATGCCTCCAGCGCCGCCGCTAAGTGGGTACCAGAGGATGTTTGTGTTCTTGCTGCGGAGGAGCTTCGCGTGCAGCTTTTGGAAGTCGGCGTATCCGTCGACCACCCAGGGGTGGCTATTCGGAGGCAGAAACTCGGCGGGATCCTGCGCCTCGTAGCGGGCGGCGATTTCTTCAAAGTCCTCGGTCACCGTGGGCAGGCCAACCCAGGCGCCGAGGTTGGGGGAGGAATTGGTGCGTGGGTCGCCGTTGACGGTTACGTTGGGGGCCGGGGGAGCTCCGTTGGCCCAGCGATATCCGACGCTTAGGTAGGCGTGGTCCTGGAAGTTTTGTCCCACGCCGGGGATGTCGACGAGGACTTCGATGCCGGCCTCTTCGAGGAGATCCTTGGGGCCGATACCGCTCAGCTGGAGGATCTGGGGCGTGTGCACCGTGCCGGCCGATAGGATCACCTCCTTCCTCGCCTTGACGGTCTTGCTGACTGGCCGCTTCTCCTCCTGCTCCCCCTCCTCCTCTCCCTCCTCCGGCTCGGCGGCATCGGAATCACGCGGGAAGAACTCGACGCCCGTGGCGGCGAGGTCGTCGTCGAACAGGATGCGACGCACTTTGTGGCGGGTGATGACGGCAAGGTTGTCGCGCTCGTCGATTATGCCGTCGTAGTGGCCGGTGCGGGCGTACGAGCGCCAGTAGGTTTTGGGATCGAGGCTGGAGGGGAACCAGAAGAGGCCGTTGTTGCCGTTGGCGCCGTCGAGGGGGACATCCATGTTGGGCATCTTGGTCATGGCGTTGTACATTGGGACTAATTAGAGCGGTTAGCGGGGTCTGTATCAATGGCATACGCCAGAGGGTAGGAACTCACTGATGCTGGGGTTCTGGTACGTCGGGAAGGAGGCGTAGATGTGTGTGTCTTCTTCCATGCCCCACGCATCGGGGTCCCAGGTGATATTGAACGTTTTGGCGAGCTCTTCCTCCGGCGGCGTAAAGTGCATGGCCTTTCGGAAGTAGGGGATGACGCCCTCCCAGTTCCAGGTAGAGTCGGGGCCGCCTAGTTCAGCCCACCCGTCATATTCGCTCCTCGTTCCACGGACGGCAACCATGCCGTTGATGGCGGAACTTCCGCCGACGCAGCATCCAATCCGGACGGCCTGGGTGCGGTTGTGCATGTCTGGTTGTTTGACGGAAGTGATGTTGTAGCGGATTCCGGGGTCGTTGAAGTTGCGTCCGCCGCCGGCACGGGTGACCTCATTGGAGACTACAGGCATTGTTAGAGACCCAGTCGTTTTCCTTTTCGGGTTGAAGAAAAATGTCTTGAGGTAACGGTAGAGAGGTTCCTACTTACTAACATGGCAGTACTCGATAACCAGAACAGTAGCTTTTCGCTGATTGTTAGCCTCGCACAAGACAATGCCCACCGTCTGAAGAGAACTTACTCTTCCCATCGGCTGTAAGTCGATCGGCAACAGTCAACCCCGCCGTTCCAGCGCCGACGATGATGTAGTCATATTCTTCATCGACTTCGTCGGCTCTCTGGAGGATTTTTGCGCCGCGTAGCTCGTGGGGACGGCCGGAGACGACGGATAAGAGCGTCGCTAGGACGGCGGCGATTCTGAGGGCAGTCGTTCGCATGGTGGATTTCTCTTCTCTACTTTCTTTTTGATTCTAGCGCTGAGAATGGCCGAGGGGAGAGTGTCAAGGAACTAAAGAGGAAGCGAACGCAGTTCCCAAGGGAAGGAATGGAGAAAATTCAATGCTTCAATGCCCAGAAGAAGACTCCTCCTTTCCTCCTTTCCGCCAGAAATGAAAAAGTTGTCATTGTGGCTCCCGCAATGGTCCGAGGCCGACATATACCCGTCCCTTTCACTATATCCTGGAAGGGGGAAAATTGATGAATTGTGGATGTGAAGATGCAATATGAGCGTATTCCGCAGCTTCGTGTTAGTGGGTTGCCACCGCCCCGTCAAGGCTGGCCAATATAGCCGACGAATATAAAGTGGATGCGGGGAAATGGGGGTATGTTTACGGCTGCCAGTTCAGGTACGAGGGGCTTGGGACTGATTGGTATATCCGAGAAGGGCAATGGGGTGAGGAGGTGATTAATGAGAGAGCAATACCAGGCATGAGGCTATGTGGAGAGGGTGTCGTCCTGCCTCTCACGGAGACTAGAGACGGCGAGGACATAGGAGTCCCGACTAGCATTGTCCGGGAGTGATGGGCCAATTGACCAGTGAGATGGAGGATTCTAGCACTTTAACCGTGGAGGAATCTAGAAATACCCTGTGAGAATCGACTGATCCTTCTCCTACGGAGAGGCAAGATCGCGGGATGGCCTCACCAAGAGATCATCGTGATCCAAGCATAAAAGCTCGCCTAGTTACCAAAGGAAACCGTCTCTATGCAGCGACATTAGTGACTGCAAAGAATGCGAGCTTCTGTCGAGCTCTCCACATATTCCCTTAACTCCCAAAGACCTCTTCTAAGAGTTGGCTGTCCTGATTCCAATGATGCTGCCATGGCTGCAACCTGCATCCCTACGAGGAGGCTGCGACGACCCGTCTCCTCCTCGCGACAGAACCTCTCTCATTGGCAGCGCAAGAACACTGAGGATGAAGGTTATCCAGGCTCATCTGAAAGCTGTTGAGATTCGAGACCCATCACAAGGTCTGGAGCCTAAAGAATCTCGCCCGGTTCTCCACCGACTCCGAGACCATCCTCCCTTTTGCGGCTATTCTGCAGGAGAGGAGTACACGACTCATCTGTCACCCTACATGTGTTTACGAGACCTGGGCCTCTCGCTGCGACAGATCCCTCCGACACGCATCAATTCCAAATTGTGTACACATAAGCTCTCTTTTTTCTTGTATAGATTAAACAGTTTTGCCCAATCTCCCCTTCCAGGGCATAAAAAGGACTCTAAGATGCCATGCTCCTCTTCTATAATCGATACACACAAAAGGTAAGAAAAAACCCGCCAAAATCCCTCCCTTCTTTTTTTGCAACTTCAGAGTGGTGTGTTCCCATGGCCATGCGCCCGGCGACCCTCCCAAGAATGTCAGGAAAATGAAAATGATAGACACCAAGAAAAAGAAAAAGAAAAACACCCCATAAAAGTTCCTACATGTATTGTACAAGTAATTGAAACAAGACGCTCCAACCACGCTAGATAGTGGCTTTCCAACTCATCGTCCCCTTTCCCTTATTTCTTGTCGGTCGTTTATATGTCAAAAAGGCTCTATTGGCCTCTAGTCGTTAGGCGTCAAGTGTAGTTGGACTTGGCTCTGTTTAGTACCAATCCCTTCCACTCTTCTGCATCTCAATCAACCTCCACCCCCTCGTCTCGGGGTTGTTTACGTCCTCAGGCACACGAGTCATGCCAATGGCGTACGTAACGAGCTGCACCTTGTCTTCCATACCGGCCGCAAGCTCGTTCGACTTGGCATTGCGGTAGACGTGCACTTCCTGAGTCCTGCAGGTGATGATGAAGACGGGAATGTCACCGGGATCGAGCATCTTCGCCTTAAGAATGTCGACGTTTCGAATATCCAAAATCCTACCATCGGACTTCATGCCCATCTGGAGATACTGCTTCGTCAAGGCCTCGTACACAGAGAACTGAGCCGCCGAGAGCCAAAGCTTCAAGGTCTCGACGTCGCCCTTGACGTACGCGTCGAGGACCTCGGGGAGGATGTATTCTCGGAGCTCCTGGAGGAAGGGCTCGACCTTGAACTGGGGGTCCATCTCGCGGAACTTCTTGATGACCATGGCGGTCTCGTTCTCGGCGAAGAAGCTGCCGATTCGGTCGGTTATGCTCCTGGCTGTGCTGATGAGGGGGTTCTCGGATTCTTGGTAGACGTTCTTGGCGTTGAAGAGACCCTGGATGACCTTGTTCGAGTCCCTGAAATCCCTCCAGGCCTCCTTCCAGGCGGCATCCTTGTGTAGGGTAACGTTTGTGCCGGCACTTTAAATTAGTTAGCGAGATAGTTTCTAACAACTCCGGCGGAGACATTGGGGGAAAAAAGCAACTTACTTGGGATCCTCCTGGAAGACTTCAGGAGCGGCACCGCCATTCTTGTCCTTGAGCTCCCGCCTCCTTCGGCGCTCTTCCTTCTCAACCCAGCCACCGTATCGGGAGCTAGCACCATCATCGATGACGTCCTTTACGCTCTTGTACGCCTCGGTCTCTCGGATCGGCTTAGTCGCTTTGTCGAGGGCCTCGCCGGTAACGTTCGCCGCGGATCGCACACCTTTGACGACGGGAGTCTCCCACGTCCAGGTTGCACCCTTTCCGATGGCACCAGCCGTGGTCTTGACGACCTTTGAAGTAGTCGACGAAACGGCACTGCTCGTCTTCTCATAAGCCTCACGTGCGCGCCTGACGGATTCGCTCTCGGTGAATTGGTGCGCCGACGAGGCAATGGCCTTGGTCGATTCGTTCCACTCCTTAGACTGCTCCATCTCGGATTGGAAGGTCTCCTTGAATACCTCCCATGGCGTCTTGTTGCCGTGGGGCGGCGGCGGGGGTAGGTCCTCCTTCTTGGTCTTTTGTTGCTTCTTCTGCTCCTGGTTTTCGCCTTCCTCGGTCTTGGATTCGGATTCTTTGTCCTTTGCTGGTTCTTCCTCGGTCTTGGTCTCCGACGGCTTCTCTTCGGCTGGCTTCTCCTTGTTGCCACGGATGGATGTGGCGTGGAATTGGCGGGATTGGATGGCGACCCTGGTGGAGACGTAGAGGGATTCCGGGGTGAATGGGGATCTTAGTCGGGCGAGATGGTAGCTCTGGATGTGGGATTGCTCTTGCGCTCCTGCCCTGGTGGTAATGGAAAGCTGCGATATCCGCCGGTAAGCAGAGGATCGGCCGTGGGCAATAGCTAACCGGCTGGTTGCGCCCGAGAACAGGGCCTGGGAGCTTTGCCCCGTTCGAGAAACTAGGGAATTCATAACTGATGGAGATGACAACAAAAAAATAGGACTCAATTAAGGATTGTCCAAGCCCAAGATAGGATCGAAAAGGAGGAGGGAAGGGGGGAGAAAAGAAAGGGATCAGCGGGACTTGGAAGAGTTGGGAAACCACAGTGTAGAATTGACTGCGCGAGAATCGGATGTGCTGCTTAGACGCGGAAAAAAAAATTTCGAAAAAAAGAATCTGGGGGAAGGACGGTCTTTACCGAGGTTTTGCCACACACCACCCAAGGAATCAAGCCGAATGGAACCAAGCTTCCTTGTATCCAGAGACGGAAAAAAAAAATTAAACATCAGCCCAGCATCCAGCAATCCGCCATTCCCCCCAATTGAGCCATGAGCACAGTATTTACGAGGCGCCTTTTGGCGCGGCCGAGTCTCCGAAATGCCATAGAATCAGCGATTCCCTCAAACCGAGCACCTCAGCTCGTCCGCACCGTCACCACGACCCCTACGAGCCAATCCAAAGGCAACACCCGCAAAGGCACGGGGAATATCGCATCGAGCCTCTTCAGTCGGTCGGGACCGGCCCAATCTGACGATGCGACGTCGGCGGCGAAGAAGCAGCAGACACCCGCTGGGTTCGCCATGGCCAACCTCTCCAAGGTGCTCGGCCCAGCGCCGGTTGGATTCGAAGACGGTGATGAGCCGTCGCCCCTTGCGAGCCTCACCAACGAGCTCACGGCACGACGCGCCGTCGAGGAGCAGGAGCCCTACCACTTTCACATTTTCTCCCACAAACACAACACCCACGTGACAGTCACGAAGCCGAACCGAGACGCCATCATCTCCCTGTCGTGCGGCAACATTGGCTTCAGGAAGTCGAGGAGAAAGCAGTACGACGCTGCGTACCAACTCACCGTGTACGTACTCGAGAGGCTGTACGACGCGGGGTGGGATAGGAAGATTAACAAGATGGAGGTTGTGTTGCGAGGATTCGGTGCTGGGCGAGAGGCCGCTACGAAGGTGCTGCTTGGAAACGAGGGCAGCAGGCTGAGGGAAAAGATTGTGAGGGTGGCTGATGCTACGAGGATCAAGTTTGGTGGAACGAAGAGCAAGAACCCCAGGCGTATTTAAGGCTCGATGGGGCGATGTTAGAGCTGAGCTGATGGACCACCATGTGTATACTATAAGATACATGTACAACTACATACACCTATTTCTTAAAACGGATGTTTTTATTTTTATTGTATCACATAGATCGACGACACTTCTACGATGTGAAAAGTTGAACAGATTCAAGTCAATTGCCGTCGACGTGTGGTGTCAAGTGGGTATTGAGAACGAAAACAGAGAAGCCCCAAAGAAACGAGAAACGCCGTCCACCCATATGTCCCAACCATCCCATGATGCCCATCCAAGGGAAGAAAAAGAAAAGGAATAACGCCTAGTCCCTAACCATACTAGCAGAAAATGAATGCCTATGCATGATCCTATGCATGTTTCCCCATGATCCTTTCTTCAATCTTTCCTCGGCTGGCTGCTTTCGACCTGGGGCCTCATGGGCCTCAACATCCGCGATGACTCGTCCGCATTGTCCTCCTCCTCAACCAACTCTCCGTCCGCCGTATCCGCAGCAGGCGGCTCCACCCATTCCTTAGGCACGACACAGGGGAATGCGACACCAATATTCGCAGCTCGGTTCAGCCAACCCGGCCCGCGGCGACCGGTAAGCCTTTCGACGAGGTATGAGGTGAAGTGGTTGCAGTTTCTCGTGAGCAAATTGTACGAGGTGCCCATGAACTCGGCCGACACGTCCTTTATCGTCGCTTCGATTTCGGCGGGCGCGGCAAAGGTAAAGCCGTGAATGATTTCGCATTTGAATATCGCTCCGGGAGGGACTTGTCCCGGCTTCGTCCAGTATACTCCCGAGAGACCCGGCCTATCGTGGCCTCCGTAGGCATATTCTTTTCCGTTGATCACGACGCCGGAATGGAGGAGCGCGGTGCCCATGGTCCATAGTATCGATGATAGTTTTCCTGGCTATAAAGAAGAACAAGTTAGTATCATGTTTTCGCAAAGCTAGCAGGATTGGGGCTGCAGGGGGCGACTTTGACGAACCGGCAAAAGGTCATACACGTTGATTTTAACCTCCGTCTTTTGGAGCGATAAAGTCGACCGGTGAGATCGCCGGGACGATTGTGGGGAATTGCGGCTCGGCATTGCTTCCTTGGAAAAGATAAATGTGTATCGATATGGAGAGAAAGTAGTGATATGGAGGGAGAGGGAAAAGATGAAGTCAAGGAACCAGGCGGATAAGCGGGCTTATCGCGATATCGATATTTAAAGTTGAGTGTGTGGCGAAGCCGGTCCTGCACTCCGCTGCCTAACCAGGTGACAGAACCCAATGATAAAATGCTAGGAATGGTTTACTGTGGGCTGGTCGTCGGTACAGAACAATTGAAGATGAAGAGGAGTGAGATCGGCTGCTCCGTCTTTGTTCTGCTTGCTCGGGGGATGTCGGTCTTTGTTTCGCGCTTCTTGTTTTAGTCGCAGAGCTTAACATGAATTATCCTGACGCACAGATGCGAGGGAGGAGCACAGTATCCAAGGTTGTGCATATCCACTGTGAGATGCGTCATGGGCCGTTGCAAGAGGGAGCAGATGGCGTCAACTGTGACTGGTTGGTCTGAAAAAAGTGATTGCCGGATTATCATTCAACCATGGGCCGACAACCTTGTGCCGACCTTGAGGTCCAACAATTCGAGGCACGACTGAACTTGACAACGAAAGAGATGAACTGCGGGGCCTTGGAGCGGGGTCATCACGTGATCATTCTCCAAGCACCGACCAGCTCTGTTTTTTTCCCGTGCAAGGATTTTGCAAAATGCTTGTCGCGCTCCTGTTAAGAAGCAAATTTCTTCCCTTCCCATCTTCAATCCACGCGAGAAAAACTTGCCATCCCTTTTCACGACCGGACTGGGATCGTGTCCCGGTCGCTCGTTACTCAAAAGTCGTCTTCTCCTCTTCACGCCGACCTAAAGGCTGGTTTCACTACCAGCCGAGTACGTCGTCACCGTGTCTCTCCCCGTCTTCTCCTCTTTTTTCTTCACTTCTCTCTCCCGTCCTTTTACCCATTGCGCAGCTCGGTCTGCCTTTGCCGCAAGGCCTACCTCCTCATCCGCCGTCGGTTGCACCGTCGTCTACATCACATCCCGTAACTACGCCAAAGGAAAAAAGAGCAGAATGCCGCCAAAGAAGCAGGTTCAAGAAGAGAAGATCCTCCTGGGCAGGCCCGGTAACAACCTGAAGAGTGGAATCGTGCGTCTGCCACCGCTGCTGCTCCTGCTGCCTCGCCGACGGGCCTGGATGCCCAAGCTCACAACAGCCTATGCTTAGGTCGGCCTTGCCAATGTGGGAAAGTCAACACTGTTCCAGGCCATTACCAAGTCCAACCTTGGCAACCCAGCTGTAAATTACCCCCCCGCCCTAGCTAGTTCTGCCCTCCTCTTATTCAGCGGCCGATGCTAATGTCTCAATGGCGTATAGAACTTCCCCTATGCCACCATCGACCCCGAAGAGGCTCGCGTGATCGTTCCCGATGAGCGGTTCGATTGGCTCTGCGAGAAGTTCAAGCCCAAGTCCAAGGTGCCCGCCAACCTCACTGTCTACGACATTGCCGGATTGACCCGCGGTGCGTCGACTGGTGCCGGTCTCGGAAATGCCTTCTTGTCGCATATTCGGGCCGTAGACGCCATCTTCCAGGTTGTGCGTTGCTTCGACGACGCGGAGATTATCCATGTCGAGGGCGATGTCAACCCCACCCGCGATCTCGAAATTATCGCAGACGAGCTCCGACTCAAGGATATCGAGTTTGTCGAAAAGGCGCTCGAGAACCAGAAGAGGAAGACTCGCGTGGGTGGTCAGAGCCTGGAGGTCAAGAAGGCTAGGGAAGAGGAAGCTACTATTGAGAAGATATTAGCTTTGTTGAACGAGGGCAAGGACGTCAGGAAGGGTGACTGGTCTCCCAAGGAGGTAAGAATAGACGCTGAAAACGTCGCCTTTTTCCTTTCCTCTTGGCGCTACCTTACTTCACGCATACACCCCTTTTATGATGAACAAAGGCCACATGGCCTGAATCTAATCCCAGCTCTTCGAATGCCTCACTAAAACAACGCTCGAGTGCATACTGAGATAAACTCTTGTCCTGATTTCTTTTCGAAATGCGTTTTTCCTACGAAGCACAATCCAACCGCCTCTTGGGTTTGAGTACGCTAACCGAATGGAACACTCCACCCCTCATTTAGGTCGAGGTCATCAACTCTCTTCTCCTCCTTACCGCCAAGCCCGTCGTCTACCTGGTCAACCTTTCCGAGAGGGACTTCATCCGCAAGAAGAACAAGCACCTACCCAAGGTCGCTGAGTGGATCGCAACCCACGCTAAGGGCGATCCCGTCATCCCCATCTCCGTCTCCTACGAGGAGCGCCTCACGCAGTTCGAGACCGAGGAGGAGTCCCTGGAGGAGCAGAAGAGGGTCGGCGCCAACTCGTGCATCCCCAAGCTCATCGTCACGATGAGGAAGGTCCTCAACCTCGGCAGCTTCTTCACCGTCGGCTCCGACGAGGTCAGGCAGTGGACCATCCGCAACGGCACCAAGGCGCCCCAGGCTGCCGGTGTCATTCACACCGACTTTGAGAAGACGTTTATCCAGGCTATTGTATATAACTTTACCGTCTTGAAGGAACTCGGTGATGAGGCTGAGGTTAAGGCGAAGGGTAAGGTTATGACGAAGGGCAAGGATTATGTCGTGGAGGATGGAGATATTCTACTGATTAAAGCGGGTGCCGCCAAGGGTTAATCTCCCCTATCTGTATTCGGATAGACCTGACATGACACTATAAAAGAAAAAGTTGTAACCGAATATCTTGCGTCCAAGCCTCGTGCTCTGTGAATTGTGTCGTGATTACTATCTTGGCCTACACTCAAACCAAGTGGTTCTCAAAAAGAGCATTATCTCCGAGGACTCACCTTCTTCGTCTCGAGGGAAGTAACACCCGCCTTCACGATGAAATGGGGACACAAGAATTGCAAAGTAAGATCCAAGTTCATAGCCGACATTGAATTAAGTACGTAGGTTAACTACCGTAATTGCCATCATCTCCATAAACTGCATGAAACCAAACCACTTGAGCACATATTAAGAAATAAGAAGAAAGAGAACAACCAAAAGAGAAAAAGACAACAAAAAACTGTCGAGATAGACCAGGAAACAGAACCAGCCGTTTCCGGCCCCTTTGGAAAAATCCCCCTAACATTGTTTTGCTTCCTCCAAAACAACCAATCTTCCAAAACTCCTTCAACTCCCCCACCCTCAACTCCCCGAGTGTCTTTAAAAGAACAAATCAAAAGAGAGAAGGTTCACATTCAGCAAGCCGAGTACCTAACACCCCTCTTCCCCAACTCCTTCCTCCCAACCGGATCCTCGGGCAAAACCCACCCCCTCGCCCTCTTCGCCTCCCTCTTCTCCGCAAGCTGCGGCTGCGGCATCCAATCATCCCTCGGGAGCGCCTTCCTCCTCGACCCCTCGGCGGGGGCACCGATGTCGCTCTTCCAGTGGACGGCGTTCGAAGAACCATTCGCGGCAGTCGTAGCGGCGGTGTTATTATCCGAGGCGAGCATGCAGAGGCCCCAGAGGGCAAGGCAAGCGGTAAGCGGCACCTCCCCGGTTTCAAGGGACGAAGCATCAACGGCGGAAGAAGAAGAGTTGGCGAGCTGGATGGTGGTGACCTCCAAGTATCCGAAATGAGGCGTAGAATCCGTCCCGTTGCGCACGAGGACGAGCTCAATCTCCGTGAGGATGAAACCATAGCGACACGAGTGCTCGCGCATGGCGTGATGCAGGGCCGCCAGGCCGCGGAGGTACTCTACGCGCTTGACGTTGCCCTCGACGCGCATGCCCGTGTTGAAGCGGTCGAAGGAGCGCACGAGGCCGACGACGCGGGCGGTGGGTTTTCCGCCGAAGATGGCGGCGGCGGAGACGGATTCGCCGGGACCCGTGGCTACGAAGAGGTGGTCGTTGATGCCGGCGGAGTTGGAGGGTTTGGGGGGCACGGAGAGCATGAGGGGGCGAGTGGAGGAGACGGCGAGGGCGGAGTTGAGCTTGGGGAGGTAATACGAGGCATAGATGGAGTGAAGAGCAGCTTCTGTCTCCGGGTGGCGGTCGGACAAGGTAGGCGGGGTAGGGAGGAGGGGCAGGGGCAGAGAGCAAGAGAGGAGAGCGGAAGCACCCGGGATGGAGAGGATGGTGGAGGCGTTAAAGGTGGACCAGGGGCGGACCTGGCGGACGTCCCACCAGAAGTGTTTGGTGTTGGGGTCGCGGTGGTGGAAGGAGATGGTGCGGACGAGCGAGGGCGCGGGGTTGGGGGCCGTTAGGTAGGACATGAGGGTCGTAGTGGGCGTGGGCTCGGACGAGAAGGCGAGCGGGGAGGCGTCGCGGGAGCTGTAGCCGTCGACGGGGCCGTACATGTAGCTGGGCTCCGGGGGAGGAGTCGGGGTCTGGTGGGAGGCGGTGGCGGGGAGATAGGTGGGCATTTGGCGGTAGGTGGGGAAGCCGAACCTCTCGATGACGGCGGTCTCGACGCCGCAGGAGGACGAGCGGCGGGATTGGTCCTGAAGGAAGGGCGCCGGGGAGCAGAGGAGAGATGAGGTTTGTTGCTGGGGAGGTTGGAGAAGCTCGGGCTCAGAGACGAAGGAGCACGAAACGTTGTCGTTGTTGTTGTTGTTGTTGGCGGCGTAGTTGAGGGTGTCCGGGCTGGTGTAGCTCCTCATGTGACTCTTGCGAGCGGGCCGAGGAGGGCAAGGCGAGGTGGAAGTCCTAACCCTCTTGGCAGGAGCGGCGGCAACAGCAGCGGAAGCATCGAGGGCCTGGTCCTGAGATCGAATCTTGGGCAGAAGGATGGGTCCATGATGACGAATGGGGGGCGAAGCGCGGGGAGGGGTGGTCATCCTGGTCGAGACCGAGTCGGCGGTTGAGACGGCCGAGACGGCTGAAACGACCGAGTAGGCAGACCCGCGAGAGCTTGACCGAGCGTGACCTGGGTTGTAAGGCATCTGGAGGAAAGAGGAGTCGAAGGAGTACTCGGGAGTGGTTGTGACGGGAGACTCGCACGAGTTGAAGTTGAAGTTGAAGGCCATGTCTGCTGCCAGACTAGAGGGTTGGGTGCTGTGTTAGTCGGTGAAGTGTATAGTAGGAGTCAAGGGTCACATACGTAGACATATTTGGGGTCTAATAAGTTAATGCCGGGATTATGGGATTAGGGCTGTAAGAAGAGTTCAACTCTCGGTGAAGAGAAAGCCTGTTTCTCAATGTAGTCTATGTTTTTGGGTAGGTGGATGCGATGTCTTCTTGTTGGATCAACAACAAGAGGAGTGCCTCTCAAAGATCCTTTCGATGTGTGAGGGGATAATGGGAGAATGTAATGGCTTCAAGCGGACACCAGTTCCTCTCGAGTCTACAAGGTAGGAGGGGGAGAAGAAAGAGATGAGTGGTGGTGGACGGGGAGAGAAGCGGAGAGGAAGAGGAAAAAGAGGAGAGAGGAGAAGAGGAGAAGGTAGCTTTACAAAGAATGGATGGCTGAGATTGATCGAGGATAGGATGAGAATGGAAGAGAGGTGGTGAGAGGAATTGGATGGATGGACGAGAGGAAACGGGCGATTCTTATCCTTGATGATTCGAGCCCGATGATGGGTGATCTGGGGTGGGAGTGAAGGGGAGGGGTGGGAGTTGGCCGGGCGTGTGGGTTGAGGATGGGCGGTGGAGCTTTGGGGGAGAGCTTGTAAGTCCAGATAGGGAAAACGGGTAGCGGCAATGCAAAAAAGATGGCGGCGACAAGAATAGCTACGTGCGAAGCGACAGGCGGTCGCGACTACGGGAAGCGCGTTGCTCGAACGAGGGTGGTACCGTGGCGTGACCCGCTCTTCCACCAAGGTCTAGGGCGAGAGCTCAAGTGCGCCCCAGGATATGGACGGTGGTAATGGGGGAGGGGGACGTGAGTACATGGCCATGAACTACAAGCACGGACAATGGCTCTTGCTTCCATGACGACGGGAGCACAGGGAATGGATCTCGGAGACGAGGACTCAATGCCATCATCGGAGAAAGAGTGTGCAAATGGATCGTCTATTCTGGACCCTGGGGGAAGGAGAGGGGTGTGTGTAGAGGTCGAAATCTGAAACACAAGCTCCCAAGCTAGCCAAGTAGCAAAAAGTCGGGTATCAGCAGCACGATAGCTGCAAAAGAGAATGGAGCCATGTCTGGAGGAAGCAGCACCGAAAGCTTTGCTTGGGTGTCGTTGGCCATTGTTTGGGCCTCGAGAGTTGAGGTTGAAGTCGACAGGACGGAGGCTGAGTGGCTCCTTCCGTGGTCAGTGGAGCCCCGGCGCCAGGGTCCAAAGTACTTTGTACTCCAGGCGATGGAAATGGATCCATTTCTCGTCCAATCCCGGGTCTCCAGGGCGTTTAGTCAGCGGGGCCATTTCTCTCGATTTAGGTACAACCCAGGAACAAGAACCTATTCGCCCACTGTGGAAATACACTGTAATCACCGGCAAGATTAACCTAAAACCCCACAGTGTCATTTGGCGCCACACCGACTGATCGCTGGGAAGGAACAATTTGAAAGTCTCTTCTACCCGCCCTTGGCTTTTTTGCATCCCCACCAGATTTTCGCACCACCCAAACCGGCTAGTATCCTGGGGTTGTCTTCGTCGATGCAGGCTTCAGCACTCTGACTGGCCAGCATGCAAAGCGCCCTGCAGGACCTACGAAGGTATGCATACGCCTAGTGTCCCTTCGCAGTTGTACACGCCTCTGTCGTCCTTCGCTCAACTGCTCTTCCCGACCACCCACACACGCCACGCTTCACGCTCCACGCATGGCACGTCGCACGCCCTCCAAGAACCCAGAGGTGCGTCGTGCACCCAGGCCCAATGCGTGGCCTGCTTGAGTCATTTTTAGACACATGTCCTTGCAGCGAGAAAAAAGGGAGGGAAGAAACGAACTCTGCATTAGTGAGTGCTACTCTTCGACTTGTCCAAGTAAAAAAGAGCTCAGGAATGTCCCTTTTTGCCTGAGGAATAGTGTAAAAGGGACTTCGATGCCGAGCTCTTTTTTTCATTGATGCATCGCGAAACCCCACCGAAAGAGGAAAGGAAGCATTATCTCTCCCCGGCATTTTTTTCTCGCTCTTCTATCACGAGCACGAGAGAACGCCAGACGCGGGGTTTTCTCCAAGATATGGCTACCCGACGCGACGTGCCATTTTTTATCCTGATGCACGCATCGAGTTCTTGATGCTGTGGCAACGACCCCACGTTTTCGTGATGGGACGTGGAACCAGTAGACGAACGAACTTGATGGGGCGATCTCTTCCTCGTCCTCGTCCCTCTTCCTGGGAGGAGCGAGGACACTACAGTTCATGCGTAGTTTTGTGGACTTCCCTTGGATATGAGTGCCTTACAGTTTGGGCATCGAGGGTCCGGAATGAGATGGATGATTCCACTGCTTTCTGCTGCAGGTTCATTGTCTCTCTACTCTTTTCTCCCGTCCCACTCCCCAATTTCCCCACGTTTCTCTGAGATGGCCGAGCCGATATGAAGAAAGCGCTCTCCCGTTGGGGAACATGAAGGAATGAAAGAACCCAGAGGCCGGCGCTAAAGAAGCACTGAAATTACCGGGAAATCCACCAGCATGCCATTGACCAATATTGGTTCTGTTAAAAAAAGGATAAAATGGAAGAAATAAGATCCACAGTCAGCCGACAAGATCTGCTTTCTTCAAAAGCAAAATGGCATATGACCGGCAGAGGCGAGAGTCAGGCAAGCGGGTCGTCGCTTGTTTGGGCGGTTAGCAAAATGAGACAGGAGTCCAGGATTGTCTGTGCTTGAACCTGTCGGCCGTGCTGTCAGCCAAAATGAAATGTCCTTCTGTCCTTGAGACAAGCTGGCAGCATCAGCCAGGCGGTTAAGCAATGTCCTATTTTATGGGGAAAAAGCACGGAGAACACAGCACAGGACTGGTGACAGCACACCAAAATGTCGGCGTGAGCTCTGGGTTTCATCTCCGGACATCTCGGGCAGTGCCAGGCCGGGTGTCGACATCTGATTCAGTTCCTGCAGCTTTCTCAGGTAACCCACGCTGAGCCTGCATTTGATTTGATTTTAATTGTATTGCAAGTGCGATCCTATCCCTTGCCTCGTTGAAGAGTGTGATCAAGTGCATCAATTTGAATTTGAAGCCAAGCATCTCCTCAATGTCCTCATATACACCCACCTGAAAGATCGGACGAAATATGTTCGCCGCATACGAGGCCCGAAACTTTGTTGGTCCCTCACCTGGGCCGGGTCCACGGCGAGTCCGTGTAATACATCTGCCTCAAGAAGCTCGATGATACACTGCTGAAATCCATCCTTCGTATCGAAGGGGCGGGCGTCTAAAGTGGGAAGAGAGTAGGCAGTACACCGGGCCTGGCTTGGAAAAGGGCCGTCTCAGGTTTTACGGAAAAGCAAAAAATAGCATCACTAATCTTAAAAACAGGCAGCCTAAAAAATTAAAGCCGATCAACAGTGTATGAACAATCTCCGCTGGTCTAGCCCTAAGGAAGAGAGCGGCGCTTAGAACGGATCCTGTAATTCCCGCTTTTGTGTCGATGGTGGCAGAGCACAACATATTTATGCCCTCGTGCTCAACTTGGCGATCGAATCGGTCAGATGAGCCTCCCGCGGCCCAGACAGGCGGCCAAGATGATTAATATCTCCTTGCTCAGCCCTTCGCCTTACGAATCGCACGTTACGTATGCCGGATGCCGTATCCTTATTTGGCCCGGTAGGCGAGATGACTTTCGATCCAGGCGCTAAAGAGGACTTCTGGAATGTACAGCAGGGCCGAGAAAAGCAATGGACTTGCTAAAAATAGGAAAGATACAAAGGGATGAATAACGGCGGCAAGAGAATGGAGGGCGAAAAGAAAAAGCAAGGATACGAACAGCCGCGCCAGAGGTCAAAGGCGGCGCTTAAGGAAATTGGCCAGGGTGTGTCTCGGTGCGAGACCGAGAGCGGTCTGCCCACAATCAGGGCGCAAACAGCATGTGTCATGTTCATGGAGTGCGCGCCTTCGCTTTGGTGGCGCCGGCCAGGCCAGGGCCCAGAGTCCCACAAGCCGTCGGTCAGTCGGGAATGGAGATCTTGGGTCCTTCTCCTTTCCCAGGCTTCGTACACCAGCACAGACTGTGGGACCATACGCAGATCCTTAGCTCATAGCTGCCACCTCCAAAACGCACAGCCCCAAGGTCCCACCAGCTCGGGCGCGTAAAAAAAAAAAAAAAAAAAAAGAGTTCGCCGCTCGGTGCATCACTACCCGCTTCCTTCGATTTTTCGCGCCCGCGACTCTGGAGCATCCTATTGGTCGCCTGTCTCGATGGAAGAGCGCGAGCTGACACGGGTTTTGGTGCTTCGCGAGCCGACCAATGGGGATGAAGAAGTGTTTGGAACGGACATCCTTGCTCTTAAACCCTGTCCGAGCACGGCTGGGGGGTGCATTTTAAGATCGAAGGTGAGGGTCTTGCCGAGCACATGAAGAATGTCGTTCGGAGCCTGTTTAATCTGGATGGCGGGTAATTCTTTTAGAATTGCCTGATTTCATGTGTGCATTGGCTGCGCTGCACACATGCGTCCTGTTTGTTTACGATTGATATTGGGAATAGTAAGACGTGCAGACCCTAATGTTCAAGAGATGGTTCGCGCCCGAGTCGTAGCTGGGGAGAAAGAGAAGCCGGCCCATGATATAGACATAGCGAGGGTGTTCGGCATTTACGTCGATCATGCTCTAAACACAACGCTCTTTTATTCCTGCCTTTTTGGTCATTACTTTATCATTTTGCAGCCACTCTCTTCTTCACTTGGAGGAAGGCTGTTCTTGGTGAAGTATCTTCCCAACTCGTGTGGGCCACACCCTCCGGTCCTTTCGGCTTACAACTCCGGATCACGCCGGGTCGTCGCCCGGCACTTTAGCCCGGGTCCCGGTCCCTCTTATAGAGCTCGAAAAGTTTCGGTGACGGCGTACAAATTCGATTTTTTTTTTCTCGAGATAGTGAAGGGGCCCCTAGACTTCATTCCAAGTTCCGGCAAGGATGCCATGGGCTACAAAGTGACCCTTGAAATGCGTCGAGGAAGTAAAGACACATCATCTCCCACGATGCATGAATCCTGCTCGCTCGCCCCTTCGAGGCAGCATTCAACTAACCCATGCCATCAACATCGTCCCTCCCAGAATCAACCCCATGTAACGTATCTCAAACCCAGATGGCGACACTATAATCCTCGCAACGAAAGAAGCCCTCCTTGGTATCTTCCCTCTACGCACACCCCATCATCCACCAGAGATCTTGAGTATTTCTCCTAGTATCTCTCCTAGTATCTCTCCTAGTATCTCTGCTAATGAGAGAAAATCATCGTCATCGTCCAAACTCACACCGCTTCGTTTCATCAAAACAAGAAACATCCCACAAATCATCTCCCCCCAAAAATCCCACCCTTCACTCCCAGCCACCCAAACCGCCCCAATCCACACATCGAGAAACACCCAGCATATGCAAGCCCCTCCCTCTTCTTACCCCGCCCACCAACATGTCCTCCCCACGGTGAACCGACCTATCAGAATCGAGCAAGAAACACGAACGCCAAAAAACTAGTTCACGTCTCGGTCGAGTTCAAAAAGGCGCGACGATTCTTTTGCGCATCGCGACTTGGACGCTTTTTCTTTACTTTGGCGTTTTGTTCGTGATAAGAGATTCTCCCGGGCAACCACCGTCGTCGGCATCACGACATCTGTACTCCGTAGGCCAGATTTCCTTTAGATCACACACCGCGCAGAGAATGCCAAAACAGGTAACGGCTCAAAATGGGGAAGAAAGAAAAAAATCGGGAGTATTCCGTGGCGGTCAAGAAGAAATAATAAAATAAATAAATAAAAATCGTACAATAAATGTCTATACGCCAGAGCCAGATTGTCTATTCCCATTTCTCCGCCCAAAACCCTGACTCTGACTCACAGTCCTCGCTGATGCTGCCGTCCCCGTCCCCCTCTCCCGTCCCCCTCCCACGACCACCCCTTCTTTCGCCTCCCTCACCTTCCTCAACGCCCTCCCCAAAGCCTCCAACCTCACCCTCTCCCTAACAACCATCCCCCTCGCAAACTCCCTAATCGCCCTCCGACCCATCCCCGCCCTCATATCCTGCCACCCCGCCAACTCCCCTGCCACCACCTGCTGCGCGTACCTCAGCTCCCTCCCCAAATCATCCACCTCTCCTCTCGCCCTCCTTAGCTTTTCTTCTCTTTCCTCGCTGGCCCGCTGTTGCTTGCGCGGATCGTCCAGAAAGGCTCCGAACCCGGCCGTCCAGCCTAGCTTGGAGCCTGAGGATGATGATGAGGAGGTAGATCGCGAGTTGCTGCCGTTGCTCATGGCGCTGCGTTCGAGGGCCTTTTGCGCCGTGCGGATCTGTGCGATGAGGGAGGGAGGTCGGGAAAGGGCTGAGAGGAGGGCTGTTATGGTACTTTGTTGCGCTTGGAGGGTCGTGTGGAGCGTGTCGTAGGGGTTGCTTTGCGTGGGTTCGAGGGAGCGCGTATAGATGTCGAAGGCGAGCTTGTACGGCTGTGGGAGGAACTCAAGCGTCGAGACGGCCCGACGCAAGAGTTTCGTAGCATCGTAGAGGTCTATAATATATTCCGCATTAGTATACTCATGCATGCAAGATCGGTCGGCTGTCGCTCACCTGTATTCACCAACGCCATGCGATTCGTCCTCCTCGTAACACTTCTCGTCGAGTGATTCACAGACCTCACCATCTCCCTTGCATGATCCACAAACTGCTCCACCTCCCGCACATCCCTCACGGGCTCCATCTCATCACGAATCTTCTCCAGTAACGTCTCAGCCTTGAGCTTCGACCTCTTAGTCATCATATCGAGCCGAATCTCCGGCACCAGGAAAAATTCCCACAGCGTCTCATGTGCCGCAAACGTCGGATGCGCCAGCATGATCTTCATGAACCAGTCCGTCATCGTTTGGATCTCGCGCAGCATCGACCGCGACGGCTTGACGGGGATCTGGAACGGCGATCGCGCCACCGCTACAGAGGGTATCCACGACGACGGGTTCTCGAGCGCGAGGAGGTCCGCCAGCGCCTCGAAGTCCGTCAGAGATCGCCGGCACGTCGTCACCGTGAAGCTGTGGCCGTCGGCCGTGGGGGCCGCCGACTTGAGCACCAGCCGCACCGTGCCGTCCTCGACAAAGAACGCGCGCACAACGCCCGTGATGCGCCAGTCGGCCCCCGCCGGCATGCTGAACAGCGTAAGATCGTCGAACTTGTTCCGCACGTCGTCGTCCTTGGCTAGTTCTACGGCCGTGAGGCCGCGCAGTTCCCGCGCCGCGACGTCCACGCGGGGGTCGGCTACGAGCATCCGCACGAGGTCGTACCGGCCGTACTTGCTCGCGAGCATAAGCGGCGTAAATTTTCTGTCGTTGGTGGCATTCACGTCGACATCGCAGCGCTCGAGGATGCGGTGCACCATCAACGCGTCCGTGACGATGTGTAGCAGCGTGTTTCCCTTGTTGTCGATGTGGTCGTCAAGGTGAAGTCTCTCGCCGTCTCTCTGTGCGCGGCGGGCAGCGTCAAGCCCGGCGGCGACCATGGCCGCGTACTTCTCCTGGTCGTAAGAGCGGCATAGGGCGAAGAGCGGCGTCTGGCCGTTCTTGTCTCGCTGCCTCCAAGGAACCAAAGGCCCGATTTTGGCTATTAGGTATGGCGCATGGAATAGGTAATGGCCCAGGCTGCGACCCCAGATATCCTGCTTTGCAAAGTATTTCGTGACCTGCTCTGTCGTCGCGGTCGATAGGATTAGGCTTAGAAGGGTATCTATTATCTCGTGGTTGCCAATCTGTACCGCGGCGCTCACGAGCGTCGTATCTTCGTTGTTAATGTCCTCTAGTAGTACTGAGAGGGGGTAGTACTGCGAAAGTGAAAGCAGGTATTTTAAAGCTTCCACTCGTTCGTTCTGGACGGCCTGCATCACGACCGACTCCCCGAACGAGTCGTGTGTTTGCGATAGCCTCTCCACCGATAAGTCAGCCTCAAGCGCGCTGTTAATCGTGCCGAAGCTTGTCGCTCTTGACCGATAAGATATCTCAGAATTGCTGGACAAGCTGCGCGTGTCCATAGATACCTTCTTTAGTCGTTTTACAGGCACCTGGATCTGTTGTTGTTGTTGTTGTTGCTGTGATAAATAAGGACCTCCAGCTGCGGCCTCGCCCTCCTCCATCGCCTCGAAGGGGAAGACGTGGCCTAGCCCAGACCCTAAAGAAAACCGCTCCGACACCGTCAATGAAGACCTCCTCGACGATCTACAAGACGCGTGTCGACTCGATCGAGCTGATGTGACATTCACGTCGGAATCAGAATCGGAAGATTCACCATCCTCGAGGGCCTCGTCTGAAGGCTCCATCATCTTCCTCAGCTCCCCTAGATTCCCCTTGGCGGCAGCATCCCACAGAGCCTTGTTCCGCCGACTCGCTTTGCGCAACCCCGCAGAGTCCAGGGTAAGATACGCGAGAACCGCCTCAAACGTACTCAACGCATACCCCTTCTCGCCGGTATCAATGTCGTCGATGAAAATAAAGTGCCGTATGTAGGTGAGACGGGCCTGCAGATTCTTGACCTGCGCCCTAATGACCACAAACAACAGCAATGATACAAGCGTGTCAGCCGTAACCGTCATCACGGGCTTTTCAGAAGCCGCGTCCGAGCCAGGTTGCGTCTCCTCCCCTCGGCCCTCGGCCGCCTTCGTGGCGGTCTTCACGGTCGAGACGATGAGGGACAGCATCTCCTGCGGACACATTGCGCCGCCCATCTTTTTGAACTCCTCTATCGCGAGCCCTAGCTGGATGATGAGTTCGTGCTTTCCCTTGGTGCCGCCCTCGATTACTACGCCGAGTTGCGAGACATCGATGAACTCCATCTGGCGGATTTTAACTTCCAGCTCGAGGTCGTATGGTCGCTTCAACGCGCATAGTTTGGGAAATAAGAGGTGATGGACGTTTTCGGCCACGTAGCGCTCAATAAGTCTCTCGACGATGGGACCGGTCAAGTCTGTCGTCGCGCCTATCAAAGCTAGTTGCTGCTTATCCACAGATTGAAAAATGTCAATACCGGCAGTGATGGCGCTTTCTAGAGTCGCCCTCATCACGTCTTCGTCGTCCTCGGCGTAAAAGTTCTCCGTTACGGGTAGCGACCTCTCACTGACATGGTCGGCTTGCACCAACGAGGTGGCGAGCGCAGGCCCTATCCCATTCTCGCGAGCGTTCCTGATGGCCGCAGCGAGAGATCCATCCTGTTCCGGTTCCGCCTCCGGTTCGGGATCTGGTATGGTCTGCGCAGATGGGGGTGGAGGTAAGGGGTGCTCAAAGGCGGCAGTGAAGTCTCGAAATAACCTCTCCAGGCCGGGCTGCATATGCCTAGCGATGATGGGGAAGTGATTAAGGAGGTCGTGAAAGAACTTTATGTCCTTCTTCTTTCCAATGGTCGGTCGATCGCTCGATTCGGCGGGTGATGTGAGGTTCTGCTCTTCGATCTTTTTCTTGCCGACGCCTTCGACAAGGACGGCCGGGACGATGACGTCTTCGACCCAGGTTCCGATCAAGGGTTTCGAAATGTAGTATATGAGCCATTGGCGCGGTTCTAATGCGTCTGAGTACCATAGCGTGTCGAAGAGTAGCTGCGCTTCGTTTGGCGCGCGGAAACCTATCGTTCAAAAGTCATCCACAGTCAGCGCATGCTGTCAGGCCCATCGTCCGTCTCCCGCGCCAACGGGGACAAGGCGCGGAGCGTGGGGTGCTAGATGGGAAGAAACAATAAACCACGTACCCTTGTTGCTGTACACGAAGCCATCCTTTATGACAACATTCCTACCATTTACCGTGTTGTACTGCTTCGCCTTGCCCCTCATATCTCTAAGGTTGGGCAACGGCTCTGGGGCGGCCGCGCCATTAGCCGCACTACCGCTCGGTATCCGAAGGACATGACTCGCGATGAACTCCTCGGACAGAAGGATCTCCTGCGCGGTGGCATTCGTATCGGCTTCGCGATGAGTAAGGAGGATTTCGGTGGTGGGGACGAGCAGGACGTAGTGCTGGGTCTGAGCGCACTGGGCCGGCAGGGGACTCTTGAAGAAGGCGGCAAGAAAGGGATTGAGAGGTGGCATCCGAGCTACATTCGGGCGTCGCGGCGTCCACCGGTAGGCGGATCGCCCTCGGCGAAGCGGGTTACGGGTAGAGTCGGGGCAGCCGTAGTCGACTGGAATTAGAGGGGGGGCGCGTGTAGCTCGGGTCAGCTCCGAAGGTGCAGCTCTGGGGCCGGACGAAAATGGATGACGTAGGTCGATCGTTCGGTTATCGGGACGGGCGTGGGAGATGGAGCTGTCGTGAGCTCAGGAGCCGAGATAGCCCGGTGTAGCGATTGCGCTTGATGGAAAGGGATCGGTCCAGAGCATGGATGCTGGATTCTCAATCTTGCGAAGGCGAGGAGCCAGTTGGGGGATTTTTAGGTTGCGAAGTCGCCAATAGATCAAAGAGACTGAGCAGTGGATGGACCAGGGGGCGGCTCCTTTGGTCGCATCTCTTGCTGACTCAGGGCAAAACTCGAGGATCAGGTCCAAGAGAAGCACTGTGGTGTGGGAGGATGGCAAGTAATTTACAGGTGCTTCCAAGACTATACCCAAGATGGATGTTTAGTGGTCCCAGCACGGCTTGTTCCTGCTCAGGAACATATAGACAGATGAACGTTAAATCTTGAAGCATCAGGTCAGGGACATCGAGAGTGAGAGTGAGAGGGGTTTGTACCACTCCAATTTTACAAGGACGAAGCACTCTTCCTTCAAGCTGTGATCTTTCCAGTGCTGCGGTCTTATCGTTATCAGGGATTTCGGTGATCTGATTGGGCAAGATGCACCATGAGAGGTGATTTGCAGGCTGCAACTTTGTAGCTTTAGTGGTCTCCATCCCTGACATGTGCTTGGTCCGTGCCTGGGTATCGAAACACCTCATCTCCATCTCCATCTCCATCACCATCCATCATCAGCTCCATCCCTCGCAACCTATCTTCAAGCGGCAAGCCTGAAACTGACTCGATTCTTATCTTTGGCGTGGAATTTAAAGACTGCAGAAAAAGGCAAAGGGAGGGGGGAAGGTAAATAAATAAAAGGAAAAAAAAAGTACAAAAAGCTCACCCCAGGCGTCGAAACGACCGAGGCTACGAAAAACCGCAGTTTTTACGGGACAACCATTGAGCAGGTGGGGATGCCATCCCCGAGCGTACCCTAAGGTCCTGCTCGGTTGGAAGCTTTGGACTTGGGGTGGTATATATAACTTTGAGGCGACTGGTGGCGACGCGTGTGGTTGAGGAAGGGGCGAAGGGGAGGAGCGCCTTCGAATTCCCATCATTGACGACGAGGTAACCAAGCATGGACGCCTACTACCTAGGAAGACGGCTACTTTCGACACAGGGAAGAATGTGTTGTTAAACAGACCATCTCTCGATACTTCACCGTCCAATTAACAGATCCCGCCTTCCCATGAGATTCAGCATCCAACCCAAGTGACACCGTCCCGCCGCATTGTCTCGCGATGTCTTATATCAAAACGCTTTTTCTAGTGCGGGTTCAGCATGGAGAAGTCTAACGGCTGAGATGAGAAAAGACTGCGAGAACTATCGTGTGAACCGACTATTCGAGTTCGGATTGACACTCGGTGCTTCCAGCAAATGGGTGCCTGACCTTCCGGATTCTATGAGACCCTCTTCTCTAGAGAGAGCGATGAAGAAAAAGATCTGATCTGGACGCGGAACAGAGCCCCAGAGTTGGTGGTTTGGGGACGTTGCTATACCCGATACCCGAGGGGTGCAAAGCTCGTCGCAAGAGCTACGTGAAGTCGGCAAAAAAAGGTTGCAGTATTTCCTCAAGGCATTGAAGTCTACAAGTGCTATCTCGCAGTACCGCCCTCTGGCGAACCTCTACCAATCTCTCTAAATTCGTTGAACGGGGATCACAAAAGCTGGCAACATCTCTGACTCCATAGAGCCACAGAGATTGACTCTTGCATATCAGATGAAATGAGTGTGCGGTGGAGGGGTCGTTTGCAGATCGCCCGCCACGCCGTAAGACCTTGGTCTCGGGATCAGACCAGCCAACACTCGCAACTCTCAAACGCCTGCATCTACGATTACATCCTGCCCTGGCCTCCGAAGCAACGATAGGGTTCGAGAAAACACGGGAAAATACATTAAAATCAGCCATTCTACGTCTGAACTACAATACTATCTTCGAATCAAGGTCATCATGAAACCCTGCGAAGGCAAAATAGCCCCCTTCGAGAAATTCCTTGGCCCGCATCAGATCGCAAAGATCAAGTGCTCGCATCAAGGACTCAAATCCTGAATTAAAGACCGTAAAACATAACTAGGGACCAGGCAATGAAGAATACCCGTAAAATTGCATCTCAGTGATTTGAGATGTGGCAAGATTAGGAAACCGTGATCGGTTCCAGCTTTACCCGTCACCATTATGCCGCCCTTCCAAACCCCGCTTAATACGTTACAGGCTTCAAAATCCCCAGCTAAGCCACTCTGGCCCGTCCGAAGTACGAGGCAAGAGGACATCAACCGGAAGCTTCCTCCGGTTGACCACTCGGAGACCACCACCGACTCGGTGGGTCCCGGCGATATTAAGATGCTATATGGACCTAGGAGGATACAGCATCTTCTTCCAAGATTCTTGCCAAGGTTGGTGCGCCAAAATGCCCTGTTTAGGTCCTTTTTGTCCATTATGCATCTCGCTCCCGGATCGGAGTGTTAACGACACCTCCGTAGGTTGTCATGGGCCTGTCAGGCACCGACCGACAGGACATCAGTCGGTCGAGCCTCCACAAACGTCCAACTTAGATGAGATACCGTGGATAAAAGATTGAAGCTGCGACGCCAACAAGCCACGCGGATTCGCAGCTGTTTTCTTTTTTAGACTGGGCTGACTAGGCCAAGACTTTTTTGCTCTTCCTTTTACATTCTTTTTTCTCCTATCAATTTCTTTGGCTTCCTTGCATGCCTCATCTCGTCGGTTAATCCCAGCCCGTCTTGGCCACACGATCATCAACAGCTTTTACGCTATCGAGCCGCCGGGTCCTTCTCCAACCCATCATAGTAGTGAAACAGGCCCCATGTCTTGGCTCAACATCTCCCACCATGGCATCGCTTGATTCTGGGGTAGTTTGGGTCCTTTTCTTGGCCCTGTTTTTGATGCGAGGAATCATTTTCCACGTACCTTACGGGCCGCCTTTTTGAAGCATCAATATGAAAAATGGACATGAAAATTGAGAAAAATGAACGTACCGGATGAGCTGTCAACTAGGGGAGGGAAGAGTGCCTTAAGTAACGAATGCTGGGCGCAAGGGCGGGCTCCCCACGTTTTCCCATCTTGGAGGGGAAAGAAAGAAATAGAAGTCTCTTTTCTCCAAACTTGAGAAAGACGTAAAAGAAAGCTTCCATTTTCTTGTCCTCGTTCCTTGGCAGCAATATGGCTCGTTTGTCAACCCTCGGCCTCGGCCTCCTCTCCTCCTCGACCACCGTAGTCGCCTCCCTCAGCAACATCCTAACTTATGGTGATCTCGAGACCGCCGAAGTGACCTCCGGCCACGGCCTCTGCGGCTGGGCGCCCCCCGACCCCCTCAACAGAGCTAAGCCCACATGCAGCACCTCCCTCCTCCAAGGCTTCGGCACCAAGCCAAACCAATGGTTCCCCTGGACACACCGCCCCTACTGCGCCGACACGCCCTACTGCGTCTTCACGAACGCGCACTTCCACGGCAACCAAGGCGTCAGCATCATCACAACCCCCGAGCTCGCGGCCAGCACGCTGAACAAGCTCGAGGAGACCTTCACGGCGCCGTTCCAGCAGCCCAAGAGCAGCGGGCCTCTGTACGAAGTCGTCGACATGCCGGGGAAGGGGAAAGGAGCGGTGGCGAAGCGCAAGATTCGTAGGGGAGAAAAGTTCATGGTGGATTATGCGGGGTTGATTGCTGATACGGCGTTTCCGGGGGCGACGAAGTTGGAGGCTGGGAAGAAGCTGCTGGATACGGCGGTTGATCAGTTGCCGAGGGGGCAGGCGATTAGGAGTCTTGCGAAGAGTACGAATACGACGGAGAGGGTCGTGGAGGATTTGTTGAGGACGAATTCGTTTGGGATGACGTTGGAGAAGAGGAATATCATGGCCTTGTTTCCGGAGATTTCGGTAGGTTCTGCCCTGTTTTTCGACCAACACTTGTTGGTACTGTCATGAATACGGGCTCAAGAGGGCACTAATACGATGATCCAGAGGATGAACCACGCCTGTAGCCCCAAGTGAGTAGCCCCCCTTTTCTCCTCATCTCGGCCTGGCACCGCGATGTTAAACAATTCTCGCCATAGCTCGTTCATTCGATTCTCAGAGAAGACACTAGCTACAGCGGCCATCGCCTTCCGAGACATCGAGCCCGGTGAAGAACTCACCATCAGCTGTACGTCTCCCCTTCAACTAACATCCTCTCCAAATCAACAGAACCAGCGTCAACTGACAACCTTTCCTCTTCCCAAACAGATGCCGACTTCGGCATGCTCCGCGACGAGCGTCAAGACTTCCTCCACGTCCGCTGGGGCTTCACATGCACCTGCGCCCTCTGCAGCCTATCCGAAGAAGACGCCGCAGTCTCGGACGAGCGGCGCGAGAAGATCCGAGAAGTACGCGACGCCGTGCTCAAGCACGTGAAAAAGAGCGAGTTCAACCAGGCCATCAAAAAGCACAAGATCATGATCGACCTTATCGTCGAGGAGGGGATGCTCGTGCCGCTGGGCGAGTACTATGACATCTTGGCGAGGTTGTACGATAGTGTTGGCGATAGGAGGAACGTGGAGAAGTGGGCGAGGATGGCTATTGATGATTTGGAGCTGTTTGGAGGCGAGGAGATTTATGAGCAGGTTCCTGAGTTGAGGGATCTGTTGGACGGGATATAGCGTAGACGATCGAGTGGCGTCCTCGGTGTTTCTTGTGTTGTTTCTGCATATTATGTTCGAGTACTTTTTCTTTTCCTTCCATTTCCCCCTCTTTGACTTTTCGTAAGTTTTGCATATGGCTTGTTAGTTGGAGCGTCCTTACACCGAGGATTATATTTCTCCTCGCCATCCTCTCCGGAAGCTTTCCATCCGCGTAAGGGTCCTCCGGTGACAACAATCGTCTCGAGCTGTTTTTTTTTCCCGCGTCGGCTATAAAGACCTTCAGCGAAACAACACCCTTCCCCGTCTACCTCAGGTATACCAAGGCACCATGCTATCCCCACGAAGGTCGTATTTGACTAACAAGTACACTAAGAGGAAATAGTTCTATGACGGAGTCCCAGAAAAAAACCACGGCCCCACCACGATCCATCACCCGCGGGAGGCTCGACCCGCGACGCGATCTTCCTTAGGGTTTTTCTCTCTCCATAAAAAAAAATCCTTTCCCCAACACCACAAAACACGCCGATAAGCCTCTCATATTCTCTTCCGGACATGGATCTTTCAACCAACCAAATCACTTGGAAGCCCTCGTAGCTCAATCGGCAGAGCGTGAGACTCTTACACCTTCCTGAGTGGTATCTCAAGGCTGTGGGTTCGACCCCCACCGGGGGCTCAATTCCCCTGGCTTCCAGCGAACTTTTTGCCATCCTCTTCGTCCGCCCTGCTTTTCTTTTTGTTCCCTGTTCTGTAGAGTCCTGGTCGGGTTATGGGTTTATCCCTGTCCCATGTGGTCCGATATCACCACCTTGATGACTCCTTTCAAACCGAGACAGGGTGGACACGCGTACGATTCAAGATGCCGAGGTATGACCTCTTTCCAAGGGGGTATATATATAAAATGACAAGCTCATATTCTAGGGAAATAATAATGGTACCCTTCGAGCAGTTGGCGAGAGGCTGAGACTAATATACAAAGACAACTCTCAGGGAAAGCAGCCAAAGGGGGTATCCCGTATATCTAATCCCAAACTCCAAATATTTCTATGCCGATCCTGCCCAACGATATATAAAAACATAAAAAGAAACCAGATATCCATCTAAAAACAACAGTGAACTCAAAGAAATTTCTAGACAAGTTTAGTACAAGCTTCCCGAAAACAAATCTCCAACATGAAAAGGGGTGTAATGGAGAAAGATATCAAAACACATCAAAAAATCAGAGTACCAAAAGACGAGAAAAAAACAAGACAAGAAGAGCAGCAGACAAAAGGAAAGCCACGCGGTTGGGCAAGATAAGCAATGGAGTTTCACGACGAAAAAAAAACACCTAGCTGGTCTGCATCGGGTCCATGAGCGAGTTGATCGCCTCCTTAATCTGGAGCGCCGAGCTCCTCAAAGCCTCCTCTTCCTCAGGCTCAAGAATGAGCCTCGAAAGAGTCCTGGCACCCTTGCTGTTCACCCTAGCGGGCACGCTGAGACAGACATCCTCGACGCCGGCATAGGTGCCGACCCTCGAGACGGTGAGGAGCGAATCCTCGTTCCGCACAATGGCCCTGACGATGGTGGTGAGGGCCGAAGCGATAGCAAAGTCAGTGACGCCCTTCCGCTTAATAATCTCGTAAGCGGCCGTCTTGGTCCTCGTAGCGCAAGCGCGAACCGACTTCTCCTCGTAAGGGATATCGGCGCCGTTGCAGAAATCGCGAAGACGCATGCCCTGGATGGTAGCAAGGGACCACGGCACGACCTCGGAGTCACCGTGCTCTCCGATGACGAAGGCGTTGACGGACCTGGGGTTCACATCGAACATGGCACCGACCTCAGTCTGCAGACGCGCCGAGTCAAGCACGGTTCCAGAGCCGATGACGCGGTGGGAGGGGAAGCCCGAGAGCTTGTAGGCGACGTAGGTGAGGACGTCGACGGGGTTAGTGGCGATGAGGAGGGTGGTCTTGGGGGCGTGGTAGGCGACCTCGGGGATGATCTTCTGGAAGATGTTGGCGTTGGCCTGCAGGAGCTCGAGGCGGGTCTGCCCGGGCTTCTGGTTGACGCCAGCGGTCACGATGACTACGGCAGCATCGTAGAGGTCGCGGTAGCCGCCGGCGTAGACGCGGGTTTGCGAGGACAAGGGCACGGCGTGGGAGATATCCATGGCTTCGCCCTCGGCCTTGGATTGGTTCACGTCGATGATGACGATCTCGGCGGCTAGGCCGCTGAGCATCAGGGCGTAGGCTGTGGAGGCACCGACATTGCCTGCTCCGATGACGGCGAGTTTGATGGGCTGCGGTGAAGAAAAATGGTAAGCTATCGAGATCGGGACCAGGGGAGAAAACGGGGCATGGGCCCTCCAGGGCCAGGGTTTAGCTTTTTACCTTGAAGGGACAGTACCGTGAGTACACGATAACTTGCCCGTTGATGCTTTCGGTTGCGAAGAGGGAACCCATACTAATGGAATGTTGAGAGAGAGTGTGGGTGGTGGGTGGTGGATGGTGGATCAAAAGTCTATATCGCGAACACAACAAACGAAGTGTAAAGCAATGTGGTGATAGAAATACACACTAATATCTTGGCTTGATGAAATGAATCAAAGATGCTAGTCCAAGCAGGCATCAACAACATCTCCAACTCCCACCATATTTATAACTACGACCCTCCCCCCTCTCATCACCCCCTCCTCCCCCTGAAATGGCTATGACTCTTTTTTTCCAGCCCGGGTTAACAAGCCAACGACCCAAACAACGGAAAACCCGACTCCCCGGGTTTACTTCGTAATTTGGTATGTGGACAGCTAATAGAACCCAGATTGAGGCGACAAAGCGAATACATCGATGCCCTGGCCCCAAGAAATCACGAGCAAAAGCGATAGCCAGGGCCTTCCCGACCCAACCACAGTGTTCGACGGCTCAGCGTGCAGGCTTTACGAATGTCGACGTGAGTAACAGCCCCCGGTGTTGCTGGGGAGGCTCTGGGGGGGTTCTGGTGTCATGGGAGGCTTAGGGAGGGTCGTCTCGGTCAGCTGGCGCCGCCGAAATGGCTCGATGGTGGGCCCGCCGTCGGATCACTGAGCACAGCCCCCCGGCGCCCAAATTTTTAGGGGGTTGCACAATGGAGCGTTGATTGAGCTTTGCCCTGCTTGCTTGCTTGATGACCCCCGCCGTTCCTGTCCTGTCCTTGTCTTGGCCCATCCAAGGTGGGAAAATACTTGATACAGGAGTACCAAAGAAGTAAATTTTCAATGTTTCTTTTTGGCATGTGGGAAATCGGGTGTCTATTCGGGCCCTCGTAAAGGAGCCCTCGAAGAGATAAGGCAATCCAAAATCGACTGGTTTTTTCGCCATGGGTCCAAGGCTGATCGGGATCGGTTGGCTCAGCGTGATGCTGTCGAATGATGTGATTGCTCGTTTGAAAATAAGGAAGCTGGAAATTGATTCATTTTTTTTTTTCTTTTTCCACAACTGGGTTTTTTTGGGCATTGCCCATCAAATTTCGCCCTGACTCTTACTATGGCGTGAGGTCTCTCGACGGGCATCACGCTGAGAGCAGGCTTGCGGATCCGCTTCTTTTTTCGGGTTTATTTTTATTTTTATCATTTTTCGCCTTGGGCTATGTTCCCGGTCCTGCTTCTGATTTCGGTCTTTCCTCTCTTCCCCCTATCCCTATCATCAACGCCTCTTACGAAAAGTTCTTGATATGACCCGAGATAGGCTCGAGAGTGTGGGCTGCCTCGTCCTTCCTCTCCCAGCAACGGGCCAGCATCCCTTGCCCTACGCGTCTTCGTATTGTACTAAACTTATGTTTGAGATCAATTGATGATACAAGCGACCAATGAGACACAGATCAAATGGCACCTCGGTTCGCCACTGTCACCGGATGGACCTGAGCATCGATAGACGTCAGGAACCTTGGACATGGGGCACCAACCCTTTTTTCTCCTTGTACCTTATTTTATTTTCGTTACTCCGTAGGGCTTGCCAATGTCATGATCGAGATATCAAATGCGCATAGCTTGAGATCCTGTGCTAATACGAAATAATCCAAGCCATGTTTTCGTACTTTCCTAATTCGGGCTGTCGCCGGGGGTCCGGGATGCCATGCCGCCCCGGGAATCTGCGCCAAGCCCCCGACTAGAGTTTAAACAAAATATCGGGTGAAGCGGACCAGGATCGTTACCCCCACGAGCTTTTGCATACGTTTGCGTATGCTCCGTACTCTATACTCATGTGGGTAGATTCTGATCGTTATTGGCAGGCGAGGATTTTTCGGGGACAAACCGCGAGACTGGGACCGTCTTAGAATAGATACGAGATTGACGGGATCTCTCTTGACAAGTTTAACGGGTTCTTAAAAGCTAAATTAGTTTAATTTGGCATTTAACTATGCGGTGAGATAAAAATCTCGTGATGAGCTTTCGTCAGCGCCTTTCCTCCCCTCGGTCTACGAGACTGTCGGAGAGAAGAGAGGAGATAGGCGAGAGGTGAGGTGAGGTGAGTTGAGATCTTCGTCCTCTCCCTCTTCCCCCTTTTTCCCGGATAATCGAAACGATTGCGAATGGTCTGGCGTCGAGGCTTGAAGCTAGAAGTGATTTACCTATGGATTTTGCCGGACAGTCTTCCATCTACAGTCCGGCTTACATCTATTTATCCAACCGTCTACAGTCATGGAGGATCAACCCGCAGGAGCCCCCCATCCGCTGACGCTTTCTCGATTCCAGATCCGTTAACAGGCAAACCCATGACATAGAGCACAATGAGAAGCGATTCGTGTTTACCCCTTCGGGGAGGTTGACGATTCCCCGCCTTCTTCTCTCCATCACCATTCCGCAACACCTCAACTGCTATCGTCGCGCAGATTTTCACCAACGACAGCTTCCCGAACGCTTCCCCTCCGCGCGAACCAAGATGACCTCGAAACCGTTCCACCCACAAACCTACAACATCCAAACCCCCCGACTCACCCTCCGCACCGCAGTCGAATCCGATACCCCCGCCCTCTTCGCCCTCTACCAAAACCCCTCCAACTGGCCCCACTCCGCCCCCGAACAAGACCTCACCCCCGAAAAACTAACCGCCCGCATCGCCGACTGGTCAACGACCGCCTCCTCAGGCCAAAACGCCTTCCTAGTCTTCACCCTCGACGACGAGATAATCGGCCTCGGGGGCTACAACACCTTCGAGGACTTGGAAGCCGCGCAGCTCTTTCCCGATGCCCCGGGGGGCCGCATGACGGATTTCGGCGTCGTCTTGGATCATAGATACTGGCGGAGGGGTTTCGGCTCGGAGATTGTTTGTGCGCTTGTGGAGTATGCGAGGAGGGAGTTGGGGTGTGTGCTTTTTAGGACGGAGACGGGGCTTGAGAATGACGAGTGGAGGGCGTTGATGGCGGCGTTGGGGTTGGGGAGGTTTGAGGAGAGGGATAGGGCGAGTTACGACGGTGATCTGGAATGTTTCGTTTGGAGGTTTGATGAGACATCTTGGGAGGAGGTGAAGAAGGGGTTGGTGGCCGACGCCAAGTGGCCTTTGTGAGGAAAGTTGAATCAGAGAAAAGGAACAAAAAAAGAGAGAGAGGGTAAAAAGCTCGCATTGCGCTTCTCGGGCTGGACTTCGAACGAAGTAATTCTCCACTGGACACGTAGCTACGAAAATTGCAATTTTCTAACTCTGTGAGCGCTCCAATTGATCGCTAGGCCAACTGGTTGTAGTGTTGGTCCTTGAGCTGCTCGGTTGGAAGTTCTTGCTATAGACTCGTATATAAAGCATATGGCTGGCGGCTGAGATATCTCGAGGAGGGTGCGGAAGACTGAAGGCGCTCTTTCCCTTGCTGGCTTACGAGACATCACCAAGGGAGTCTCCGGGGGGGAGGAGAGACGAATTGCGTGTACATTGATGTTTCCAGTGTAGTGAGAGAGAGGAGCCCGGGATATCATTGGAAATAGACCTTGGAGACAAGGAGAAATTTCTCGACTGTTCATTATCACGGACATCATCGAATTCGAGATCATCCATAGCATCATTTCCCAGAGGCCAAAATGACCGGCAACTTTTAACGACAAGCAGTATCGAGGGACCAAAAGACACAACATACATAACACTTAAGAGTAGAGAAGGAAAAGGGAAATCGAATCTCTATTGCCCAGAGGCTTAGTTTACCGGTTCTCATGAGACCCCAAAGAGGAAGTGAATAAAAGATCGAGGTATTGCCAAACCGAGAACCAGTCGTTTCCCTCCTTCCACCCCCGAGATGAATGGAGGACGAGGAAAAGGCTGGTCTCTCTGTTTTCTGTCACTAAACAATGGGAGAACCCATTGAACCTTTGCAAGTTTCCGGCTCTACTTATGCCCTTCTTACCCTCGTTCCTCCACCTGACAGCCAAAGAAAGATCAAGATAAAGAGAAGAAAAAAGAAATAAAGGAAAACGAAAACGAAAATTGATATATACAACGGACTCCTGGTGGTCAAGACCGACCAGAAGAGTCCTAAAATCCCCTATATATAACTCGTGTAAAAAAGAAGAATGTCCTTTCCAACACAGACGAATGTCCCTCGATCTCGCAGGATGGATTTGATTTCCATCAAAAATCCAAGCAGCGGTATTTCGATCAACCTCATCGTCAACCCACCACAGTCATAGCCGAAGCTTGACGTCTCTCTCGGTCAACCCCTTTCCCTTTTTCCTTCTAGACCACTTGCCCACCTGAAAAAAAAAAGGTTGCCTTAACATAACCAAAACTGGAAAACAAAGAGGAAGAAGACGGAAAAAGAAAGAAAAAACTAAGAAGCAAATCCTTTACGGGAACCCAATCATCGCCTTATCAGGGAAAAGAATAATGTTCGCCAACCGAATAACCTCCGCCTCAGCCCTCGTCGTCGAAGAATTACTACTCAAGCTCTTCGCATCCGCCTCCTCCATCTCCACATCCCCATCCCTCACAGCCAGCCCACCCTTATCCTTCGCCTCAGGCGGCGGCGTTCCCGCGGACTCCCACATAGCAAGACCCATGGCCTGCAGACCCGCCGCGCCACCAATCTCACCGATATCCCTCTCGCTCAACCTCGCCGGCTGAGGCGCCTCGCTCTCGAGCCCGCTCCCCGTGGAATCGAAATCCGGCCCGGGATGACCGCGCAAGAAGGCCTTGCGCTGCCTGGCGAGGTACAAAGCGTTATTTTGCGTCAGCGGCGCGGCGGGCACGTACACGAGCATGCTGACCTCGTCGGGCCGTCCGTAGATGGGACTACGCAGACCCGCACCGTCGCTGGTGATGTGGTACGCGAGATCGGGGTGCCACAGGATGTAATCGCCCGACTGCAGCGTCGGCAACGTAATCATGCTCCTTCTCAGCTGAAGATGGGGATGCCACAGTTCCGTGACGCGCTGCGCGTGCCCGGGAACGGCGCCGTGGATGTAGCTGTTCTGCTCCCTATCGAGCGACCAGTTCGCCGGGGACAAAAAGGCCTCCCACTCGGGACCCTCACGCGCGTTAGGAGGCGGCGTCCTCGGAGAGAAGAACGGCCGTAGGAGGAAATAAGCCGTGACGAGACGGGGCGAGGGAAGAAGGCGAATCATGCCCGGTTCGATGGCCGAGAGGGCCACGAGGCCCTGGAACATGCGGAAGATGCTGCAGGCACCGTAGCCGTTGTACAGGTCGCTCGAGGCTGTGGCGCGGCCGGCGCACGCCCAGGGGTCGTACTCTTCCCACCGGCCGTTGAAAATGGCGTTGTACGTGCCTCCGCGCTGGTACCCGTCGGGCTCCCAGCGCTCGAGGGATCCGTTGTCGACCTGGGCGATGATGCCTGAGGACTGGATGGCGCTGAGCCAGTCGTCGGCCGACTTGGGAGGAGCGGCCCTCTTCGAGGATGACCCGTGCAGCCCGTTTGGCGATGTAAAGTCCGGTTGCTCACGGGGTGTGGCTTCAGGTGTTCCCGAGGCCATGGTGGGTGCGTGGATACGGATCCGATCGGCGTAGGCGATGGGGTACTTGACGACGAGGCGATCGTCGGGGTTCGTTCCCCAAAGACCCATCATGTAGCGCTGGGCCCTCAGCACGGAAGGGTGAGCCCTCGTGCGCACCTGAGCAGGCGTCCAGAAGAAGTCGAAACAAGTAGGATCCTGAGGCAGAGGCGGGGGCTTGGAATCATGGTTAGTCTGGATGTAGCGCACGGTTTCACGCACGGCGGCGTCCGCATCGGCGCGGGGCACGACGCCGCGGACCACACCAACACCATAGCGCTTGAGATCGCGGCCGAAGCGGGCCGTCTGTGCCGGGTCGTCGATGTCGGAAAACTCAATCGACGGGATCAGGTGCGACCCGAGACCCTCGATGTGCTCGACCTCGGCGGCCAGGGCGGCGATCAGGCGCGTCCACGAGGCTTCGAGTAAGGCTTCGTTGCCGGCGATTAGGTTGCGCTTGATGCGGGCGAAGCGAGATGGTAGGGGGACGAGGTCGGGCCCCCAGAAGGAGAATACTGGGTTGTCCATCTCGATCAGGTCCAAGGTGGAAACGGTTTTCGTGCGATCGCGGGACGCCGAGGTCGTCGGTTGGGCGTTATTGCTGGTGCTCGTGCTCACACTGCTGGTGCTATTCGAGATTGTGGTGTTGGCGGTGCTGTTAGTGGCGGCGGGTGCGGGGGCGGGGGTGGAGGTGGTGGCGTTGTTGGCAGCAATGGCAGCTTGAGCCGTTGTCGAAGATTCGCTGGCGCTGGCGCTGGTGCTAAGATTGGTAAAACTCGAAGCTTGAGAGGATGCGGCGACCAACGATTTTAAGGTTGCGACGGAAGACGAGGAGGAGAGGGACATGGAGCTGGCGGCGGTAGAGGATCGGCCCCTGTTTTTAGTGACCCTGCCGGGGCTATGGAGGCTGTGGAGGGGTCGCTCAGCGGCAGTAGCTTGCGCCTGTGCTGCTGCTGCTTGTGCCTGTGCTGACATTTTGATTGAGCTCGACGATTGAGCCGGGTTCAAATTGGTGTGGGAGGAAATGGCGCTGGTATTAATTGCAGGGCCGGAACCAAGTCCAATACCACCACCAGTACCAGTACCACCAGTACCACCAGTACCTGTCCCACCACTAGATCCAAGTCCCAATGCTCCATGTCCATTTCCAGATCCAGATCCGTTTCCACCAGCTCCCTGTCTTGCTCCGGAAGCCATGTTGCTGAGACCCTGTCTCCACGAGGCCCGTGGTCTCTTCCACTGAAAAATGTTACTCACGTTGACTTCACTCCTGTGGCTCTGCGGAGCCGCTGCCTTTTCGTCCAGGTTCATCTCCTCGCCGGTGCCAGTCCCCGTCTTATTGCCGTCCCCCGCCGCCCCACGACTCGCTGTTGATGTGGCCATGCTTGCTTTTTTTTCCCTGCTTGGTTCCTGCACTCCAACCTGTTTCTTGCTTTGCTTTTGATATTGCCGATGGCAGGCAAAAAAAAAAGAGCGAATAAAACGAAGGTTTAGGTGGAGGGTGGGAAATGGACGTAAGGGGCGGGAGCTCCGGCTCCCGTGATCAAAGTTGGGATTCCCTCTTTGGGAGAATGGGAATAGATGACAGGAGTCGTCTCGAATATGGTGTTAGTCGATGAGGTGGGACGAGCCGGGCCATACCAAAATGCTCCTCCCCTTCCTCTTTTCCTTTTATCTCTTTCGTCCTCCTCGAAATCAAGGTTCCCTGCTAGAATCCTGGGTCGTGTTGAAGTGATGTGTTGAAGAATCTCTTTCCCTTATCTTTCGCCCTCTCTCTCCTTCTTTGGAGACCGCCTCTTGACAAAAAAAAAAAGAAAAATAAAACTGCCGTCCCCGGTTGGGTAGAAAAGTCGACGACTCGCAGGCTCTCTCCAGTGTTGCACAAAGGCTGTCGTCGAATGGCGGATGTCTTGTCAAAAGATTGTAGGAAATGTCCGAATCGTCACTCCTCTCAGATCGAGGTTGCCCCTGTCCACCCTCTTCCTTTCCACCCTGAGATCTTCTTTTTCTTTTAAAAAAAATGCAAATCGAGTAAAAGCCGAAAAATCTCCAGGACCAAAAGAGACCAAAAGAAATCACGAAACCCTCCAGGCCTCCCAAAAAGCGGGTAGGATTTCGAATATATAGGTAGCAAATTTACTTACTTAGAAGCGAGAGAAAACAAAATAAAATAAAAAGAGGTCGTTTCCGTCTTTACTACCTTTACTACTGTTACAAAGTGGGTTTCTATTTCGCTTCCCCCAAACTTGCGCCGTGTTGGTCTTCCTGTTTTTGTTTTCCTTTTCCTTCTTTGCCCTCGACTCGTTTAGGCAAAATTGTTCCACCTCCGTTTCCCTTTTGTTACTCCCTCTCTCGTGAGAAAGAGTAATACATCGTACCCTCACCCGCATCCGTACCGAAAGACTGTGGACGCGAAAGGTTAAAAGGGGGGTGTGAGAATGATTTGGGGGGGTCTCGCTTTCGCGGGATGGATGGGAACATGATGCCGCCCACTGTTCATTCTCGCAAGCCGCCAAACCCGCCAGGTTGCGGGTTGGGGTGTGTGTGCGGAGTATCTCTTAGTGTACGAAGTAGTGCCTGGAACCGAAGAAGGGGGTAATGGCTGCAGCGCAAGGAATACCCACACATTCATTCGCACACCACACGCGATAAAAGGTGGAAGAGACGGATTGCAGAGAAAAGTTTCCGGGCCTACGATGCGCCCATGCGACACCTCCCCGCCCCACCTTCCCACCTTCTTCTCGACCCCTGTCAGGTCAAGTCGAGGGCTCAGAATGAGCTTTTGTGGGCGTGGATGATGGACGGTGGGGGCCAGGAGGACTAGAGAAGGGATGGACTAGAAGCACCGGGAAAAAACTTGATGGCGACTCCGGATCCGAAGTGGGTGTTGGCATCTGGAGATGTGTTGCGTGAGAGTAGTATAAATGGGCTTCTTTCCTGCAGCCCTTTCGCCAGGCGGGGCAGGAATCCTATCTATGCGTAGACTGGAGGCTACATTGGATTGGAGGCAGCAGATTATTAGATGGACAGACATCCATTCGAGATGATGGGTAAGGAACGCTGGCATTGAATGGTTTAAACGACTCCACCCCCAGAAAGAGCATCGAACAAGGTATTGAGCAAGGCCCGGCCAGGAGTCCAAGGACCCCCGCCAATCGCCAATGGAAACAACCTCTGTCCCGCCAAGCCGCTTGGAACCAGCACCATGTTGCTCCCGACCGCACCGAAATCCCGCCCGAGCCGGGTGGCGACTTTGGGCGATACAAGGGCAGATCACGGCGTCGTTGCTGAAACTTGCGGTACATGGCCGCCCACGATGAGGTATCCTCGTCATGTCCTGGCCCAGTTCCGTTGCTTGTTGTGCGGAAGCATCACTTTACATCCAATCTCGTCTTTAATACTCGATGCATTTTCCTGGTGTGTTTTGCTATTCTTCTTCTCGCTATTGCCCAATGAATGGCACAGGACCTTTAATTGTGTCTGACCCTTCCGGGCTGCTCCAGTACATGCTGCTTCTGGAACCCGAAAGACCAGACCAGACAAGACCAGACAACAATCAGTTCAATACTCCGTAAACTACTTCCAGTGGTAGAGCCCTCTGCTAATGGCGGAGGTATATTTCCCCATTTTATCCCGTCCCCAACCCAGACTCCCACGATGTATCGCTCCAATCTCCTTGCCTGTCAGGTGGAGTTAGACTTGGGTGCCATCCCCATCCCCCATCTCCAAAGGCGATCCGCCCACCCCCGGGGGCAGACGTTAGACACACCCCTCGCCTTAACTTACAAGAAGAAAAAGTCGTGCCAGGTTCTGAGATGTTCGACGATGCCTTCAATATCTCCAATTTCAAATGAGTTAAATGCTGCGAGATTGTGCGAGATTTGCTTGGCCTTGAGAGAACTCTTATTCCTCGATATACTTTGTCCATCTTTGCCCCAAGCGATGGGACTCATAAACTCCGTCCACATTTCTTCTCATATTGAAAGCATTCCTTCATCTCGCGTAACAGCTTAATAGCAAGATCGTCCACGCGATTCGCATCATCTTACCGAGCAAAGGATTGATACCTTAAGATGGGCATATGTTCAGTCTTCTTGTCTAGTATATACAATACAAGCGGGCGCATATTAATATCCACTGGGCCTCGTAGTTCGCTCTCGCTCCTCTCTTTCATACATCTGTTGTATGAAATAGTGTCTGCTCTAGACCGCACGAGACACACAAGAGAAGCGAGATGCTGCCAGCTTCAGAGATGCGAGAATCAATAAACACACGCCCCTCCTAGCCCGCGTGGTAATACCCCAGGTCACCTCAACTTCAATTTGACGGCATCCGTCCCGGATGGAAGATGACCGAGAGGGAATAACGTTGCACAAAATGGACATAATCAGTTTCGAAAAATTATCCTGCACGCACAACTTTTGCACTGTTCTGTTCATAGCCTGGCATATTTGTACATAAGTCTTATGCAGCACATTATTATTACATGGCACATTTTAAGCCTGGTCACAGAAACATAAGAGAAATCAGATCCCCCAGAGGCAAGTTTGATGGCGATATTCCTTCCTCACATTCTTGATGCCGAATCAGCGGAGAGAAAATGATTGAATCAATCAACGATGGTCAAGTGGCACGCTTTCAGAAATCTTCCAAATACCCATCCACACACACTCTATCCATCAGCTGTCCGCCGGGATGGGACGAAATGGGCCTCTGATCGCAGAAACAGGCAAAACTTGAGGCTTCTATTGCCTTCATCTTGCTCCATTCAGACCAGGTAAATCAAACTTAATAGTTACAACTCGGAAAGATCGCCGCAGCCGGGTCCCCGAGGTTGGGAATCGGATATTTGGATTGATGAGTTTCTTTCTCGGGGATAATTGCGATGTCCACCGCCCAGATTGGGACTTGGATTTGATTTCATGATACCTTACTTCGTACCCTGCTCAAAGATATTAAAGAGGATATCCTTATGAAGAGGAATTAAGAAGAGAGTAGCATAACTGTGTATAATTCTGTGCAATGTTGCATTCTGGAGCATTACTCTCGGAGCACCGGGAGTCCCGGCGCCAGAGCAAACCACGGAACCACCTCTCAGAGCCTGGATGGCGGACCTTTCAATGTGGGAGAGAACCCGGGTGCCGTGTGTAGTAGGATTCCGTGTGGGGGCATCACGACAATTTTAAGTCAACATTTTGAAAGAAACACGGGCTGAGCCACACACATCGTGTTTTGAAAGCGACGAGGGCAAGGGCATAGGGTCCGTTCTTTGATCCCGACTTGTCTTTCCGTTTGTCGTTTGGTTCTCTTTTCCCCCGCAACGTTACGAGTTTTATTTCCCCGAGACGTACATCACGAACCGTTCTTTGGCAGGTTGTTTTAGCGTTTGAGTTTGCGGGTCGATTATTCGCGGGAAATTTATTTAGGGGAAAGCTGATGCCATGAAGATCGACGAACGAGAGGGAAGAAAAATAACCAACGCTGTACGAAAGTACTTCGTATGCTGTCTTGGAGAATGACAGGGGATATTCTATCAAGACGGGTAGTCGTCACATGGTTGAGCTGTCATCTCAAGAGTAGCATCTTATCTCTACACAGGTAGATCGGATGGAGTAAGGCCGAATACAAGCTGAATGGACCTTGTGAGTGATAAGGCGAACAGGGTAGGATCCGATTTTCTTCTCCGCACAGGATGAGCAGCGTTGGAGACGACCACTAAGTAGCAAGGCCTCTGGAACTGGAACGCACGAGCCTCAAGGCATAGGCGAGCGAAATGAAGGAGCACTTCTGGCAGAAGAGGAATGTAGGGTCCTGAGGCGTGCATGAAATGGAGTTAAATGGGAATGCAAGATATCTGGATGTATCCGAGAGCGCATTAGGCCGCAGAGATGTCGTCTTCACCCATGTTTCCTGTAATTGTTCATATTCTGGACCGTTGAAGGTAGGAGCCGCAGCTACGGGATATTTCATCTTAGTCTACGCGATATTGTATCTCCAGTGTCACGTTTCTTCACCATCACGGCCTTCATGCTCCGTTTTAGGGCCCGAATCTTGGTTTTTGGAGATTTTCGGACTCCGGCCCATCGTTCCTCGAGTCTAAGCTCTGCCCGTGTCATCCTTGATATTGAACACATCCGAAGCTAGGATTAAGTGCTCACAAGAAACGATTTATGGGGCCCGAAATAGGGATCTTCGATCTCCCGAGACCGAAACATAGCCATTTCATCAATGTTTTGCATTGTTTATTTTGGTGGATTAAAGCCGGCTGTGGAAGCACTCCGTCCAATCTTTTCCCGCATCTCTGGATTGCAGACAGATCAGATCAAAACACTAGCCATGCACCACAGACTTGCATATCTGCTAGTTCAGAACCAGACACAACCACGGAATAATTCTTTTCTGTTCGGGCTGTTTCCCTCTAATTAGGGGTTTCCTGCATCATATTGGGTACGACTTGATGAAGGCTGAGATCGAGCTGGCTGGATCGGGCCAATGGCTCGGCGTCGTTCACTCCGCCACGGGCATGAAGATGCCCATTGTGACCTCAGATGAAAATCTTCACCGGCCTAGATTCAAGGAAAAAAAAAAAAAAAAAAAAAACATATTCTTTCATTTAAAGAGCCGAGGCAATAATACCAATTGATATGCAGTCGCCTAGACGATATTAGACCATTGCTTATCTCTTATGCCCCCCGGAGACGCGGCGTAAGAAGCCGGATCCAGACCATCTCCGCCGCCTCTACACCAGCCCTGCCGCCGCCTCCTTTGCCACCGCCGCCTTATACTCGACCCAATCGTCACTGCGCGGATACGCGACCTCAGGCACAGGCACACTCAAGAACTCGCATAGAGAACTCCACCCAGCCCCAACAGGAAGCTCCAAGAACTTCCTGTCACCCCCAGCACCTCTACTCTCTGCCACGGCCGCTTCCGCTGCCTTCCTAGTCCGCTCGTTATGCTCTTCGAAAAAGCGCTTTCCATGAGCCGGCAGGTCATCATTCCACGAGTGAGAGTGATACTTGCGCCGCAAGACGGCCATGGGTGACGGGTCGTCCGCTGGCTGGCGGGAGTGATGGTGCCAGAGGGTGGAGAGCATGGAGGCGTGCCATGAGTCGACGGTACGAGTCGTTAAGATGATGGAAGCTTCGGGGTATGCGGCGATGAGCTCCTCGGAGAATATGGCGGCTGGGTAGTCCGCGACGCCCTGGGTTGGCACTTAAGTCAACATGACTCTTTTATTTTAGGAAACATGAGCCTGAACCATTCTTTTCTTCTTGAAGACATTGGGCAAGTTTGGTTCTGCCCCCACCCTTGTGGGTTCGGGGTGTGAGTGAGTATATCAAGGTGTATGTGTGCGTTGGGTGGTGGTAATTGCCAGACATGTAGATATGTAGTGCAACACAACTCGAAAGATTGGGGTCTATTTTTGGTTCAGGATGGGCCAAGTCTATTTCATCATCGTCTACTTGTACGAACCTCATAGTCGGCTAGGATCTTATCAAAGTCCTCCCGGCACCAAGGATCGCCTTTGCCTTCGAATTTCGCCTCAATGGCCTCGACCCAGAGATCCTGGTGCTTGTTCCTGGCTACGTCGCGCATGTGGTAGACGGAGGAGATGCCCAGGATGGCAAGAGCATCGGCGAGGGCTATATAGCAAGGAAAACCTCCTTAAGCCTTTCACAAACATGACGCTGGAGGCACCAAAAGGGAGTTGGACACTTACATTGGGTCCCTGTGCGTGGCAGACCGAGAACGAGTATCTTCATTGCGGGGAGCTTGAAATCCTGGTGCTTGTGCCTGTCTGTGTTGTTTCGATTTCTTCAGTGCAAAAGTTGTGAAGAAATTGACCAACCCAATCTTAGCCCATGGATAATATTGGTGTTAAATTCCCCTGCTATGATGCCATTTTCTTCTAGATTTGTGACACAGCCAGAACCATGGATTGGAATCTCCAATAATACCCATCAGAGCAGAGACCGATAAGTCCCGATGCTCCAGGACAGATTCGGAGGCTTTCCCACGCTAATCCCCTCTGGGATTTTGGTTTGTGGGGAAGCTGGAGACGCTTCCCGAAGTTCCGTTAGTGCTATCCTGGACCCTTGTTGAGAGACAGCTGAAATCAATTGACAGAAACTGGCGGTCGCTCTCCGGTACAAATGGGGAAGGTTCCAATCCTCGGTCGCGTTTTATGACAGCCCAGTGTCGAGCATATTATTATTATGCTGTGGTCTATCTTATTACGAAGGAGCTCGCAGGAGAACACACACACAGAGTGTCGTACGGGATTCTGGAGGGTGCTTCCACCATCCTTGACCCTCGGGATGTTGCACAATTCGGACGCTGTGCCGAGGTGCTCTCAGAGGCGTGTACAAGCACACTAATATTAGTGAACAATATTAATGAAAACCAAACATTGATGCAGCAGCGCATAAAAATCTCCATGCAGAGGGACTCTGACTAAGCGGGCAGCTCACCAGAAGAGGAAGCTCCATTCGTCACGGACACTGGCGACAGCGAACTGCGCGAACAGTTCGATCCCACCTGCCACCAGTAGCAGTTCCGCTCGTCTCCAACATCGTGCTGAAAACTAGAGTTGATCCTGAGCCTGGACAAACTGGAGCAACCACACGATTTGACCCCCTCGATACCCCAGTCAGCAACAGCACCTGAGTCCTCTGCCAAGGCCTCAGGCTGCCTTCAAAAGTCCTCGCCACACGATGTGGTCACTGGATATCGCAACGTAGCTCAAATACATATCCCATAAACAACGGGCATTGTTTTCATTCTCCAACTTAACCTGTCGGCATCATCATCATCGCCACGGACAAATTTCCATCATGCATCACCGACTATCAACCATCCTCTTGCTCGCCGGCCTCGCAACCGAGCGAGCTTCGGCCGCCATTCCCAATCTCACGCAGTGCCAGAGTCGATGCTTCGACCTAACGGCGCAAATGGTCGGGTGTGGTAAGGAGGACTACGCCTGCCAATGCCCAATCTTCAATGAGCAATTCATTCCTCAAATGCAGTCTTGTATGATTGAAGGATGCGCGTTTGATAGCGAGCCGCTCAGTGAGTTTTCCCCCCAATCTCAGCTTGGCCTTCTTTTGCGACACGCCCCAAACTCTCACGTTGGTGGAGCCGACTACACGCCCGTATTACGCTTAACCACTAGCGCCAACCAACGGTCCGGTCGACTCCACCGCATCATGTTTGGACCCTGTGTCAATATTGACCTTGCTTCTTTTTGCGTGCACGCCTCTTTATGCTAACACGGGGCAAAAATATCTAGACACGACGCAACTTCAGAGCACCGTTTGCGCTCTGGCAGGAGGTCAGTCCCAAGCACCGACTCCGACCTCCGGGTCGCCCTCAGGTTCCGAACCCCAGCCCTCTGAAACGCCCTCAGCTACGTCTCCTGGTTCCAGCGAGTCTCCTGGTACTGATACCCTTCCTTCTGCCCCGTCTACCTCTACTACCTCTTCCCCGGAAAGTACCTCGGACTCACACGGCGGTGGTTCAGGATCGACGAATTCCCCGGAGCCCAGTGGCGAAGCGGGAGCGGCATCGGCCTTCCGAGTCTTGGACGCGGGTGTTGTCACGGGCGTCCTTGCTGTGTTGGCAGGAGCGTACTTTTTCTAAGTGCTGCGTGTGAAAGAATGGGGTACTCGGAGAGTCCAGACCCTAGAGCCTGGGGTGTGAAAGCTCAAGGAATGGTGTGAGGTGGGGGTAAGATGGAAAGAATGAGTGTTGGATGGCCCTTGAAAGATGGTGTTCCTTTTTCCTTGCGCAATACTACTGCAGTTTTACAAAGTACCACACCCTAGGTGTAGGATGTGAATAGAAACAAGCATGCACGAGTATGCTTGGGGCCACAACTATCACCAGGACAATGGGTATCTTGTGCATCCATCTCAAACACAGACGGCTTCAATATCCACCATGAGGTGCAGGCAAGCCTCCGAGGTCATGTGGAGGACTTTGAGGATTCAAACTGAGGGGGTTCCCTAGGATTTGAGGCCACTCTAAGAAGGATTTGGATTGGTGGCTTTATAGTTACGCGGAAAGTTAGAAAGGAAGAAATAAGCTGGGCCCCATCATCATTGCATCCTCAGGAGGTACTAGAGGATTCTCCACTGATATTGTGAACAAAAAGCCCCCAAGAGCCAAAAAGAAAGAGGGGGTGAAAGGGAGGATGGGAAACAGGGGGCCTGGAAAGTCTTTCCACACCTGTCACTGGGAGGAAAGCAGAACTGCCAAGGAGCTGGCATGTTTTAAGCAGAACATTGGGGGAAGAGGTACACCTGCATTTTTGTTTGATTCCCACCAATTCTTCTTCTACTCCAGCTGGGTAGATGTGGGGTTTCCGAATGCCCTTCAAAAAACTGCATGGGGTCCTTTGCACAAACAGCGGGGTTTGGATGACGGCTCGGGACGTGAACTCTTTTCGACCATCCTTCAACCCATACTCGTCTCGAGGTTCGACAGGCCTTCCCCGCGCGAGTTCGTACCCCGTCGAGCATGTGTTTGTGTTATTACTCCGAACGAGGACGAGCTGGTCTGAGCCCAAAGATGCTATGAGCGGGAGCTCGCATTCCACTTGCAGTCTGTCCCCGAACGAGCCAAGTTGGCGAAAATATTCCGTCTTTGGCGTTGTGGCCAAAGTGGAAATGGTGATGCCACTGCTTCGTTCGATGTCCCATACTTATTCTTGCCCCCCCCCCCCCCCCCCAAAAAAAAAAAAACTATGACCAAAACCAAAGGATGCTCTCATTACTTGCGCCTGTCCCCAAGAATGGGATCATGAATAGTTCTCTTGAAAACGGGCGGGGCTATGGGCCAGCACGGCTGATGTGAAATAAATGAGTAGCAGAGATTCATATAGTATCTGTTTTCTGGAACCGGTTCGTTTCTCGGCTGAATGCGAGAAGGAATCCTATCAACGGAGGACTTTACATCTGCGACCATGGTCCAAGACTCTGGTCAAGCAAAGATGAACACTGGCCAATTCTGACGGGTTGCCTCCGTCTAACCTGTTCGTTCACGATGCGATTTGGGACCAGATTCTTCTGGTTGACCTTCAGTGTTCCCTTCGCGGAGATGGCCGGTGTTCTCGGCGTGTTTAGGCCCCAGACTTGACCGAGAATTGTGCGGAGCTTGCCGGATTCGGGGGAACGGACCCGAAGTTTCCTTGACTTTACCCACGAGCTCTGCCGAACTTTGTTTCTTCATCTCCCTTTCCTGTACGAATGTCCCGATTCTCTCTTTTCTCGCTTTATTCATTTGTCGTGCCATTATACGGCCTCAACTGTGAATTGCAATTCCCACTGGCCGAATCAGCAGTGGGCGCCAAGCAGTTCAAATGGCATCGGCATGAGACGTAGAAGGTGGGACGGGTGCTTGATAGGGGCACTAACATGCAGCAGCCGCATTGAGAATGTGCCGTTTGGGCAATTTTCTCTGCTTCTATCTTTTCTTTACTCAAAATTATATGTTTCAGCACCACCAGGGAGGGATAAAATGGGGTGAGTTTGCACAATGAAGATCCGTCAACGGTCATAGCCGAACGCAACGGAGAGGGATTTTTAAGTTATCGAAACATGGAGGAACCCTCACGCCGAAGCCCGGGAATAATGAGATCAATTACGCGGAAAATAAAGATAAAGGCTTCTTTCATACTTCAGGGGATTAAGAGAGTTAGGATGAAAGAGAATTATCGTAGATGTCAGTAGACGGGAAAGAGGAGAACAACCGAGACGAGCCGCCAAGGGAGAGGAGAAGCTATTATTTATTATCGCGGATTTCTTCTTCAAAGCTAGGGGTCCGGAGGAGTGTCCTTTGTCTTTGCGTTCTTGTCGTTCTTTACCTTTGATTCTTCGACTTTAGCCGATCCTCCATACGCCTCTCCTCCAGTACGGAGAGTCGCCAAGAGCTAACATCTCCTTCTCTGCCATAATAACCCCAGGAACAAAAGCCTTCGCAAAGATGCGTATCCATCACCTCCTCCCATACGTCACACTCGCAGCGGCCCAGGCCAAAACCGCCTTCCAACTCGAAGAAGTAGGAACATGGTTCGAAAACCTCGCCGTCCGCCCCGACGGCACCGTCCTCGCCACACGCATGGACGCCCCCGAAGTCTGGCACATTGACCCCAAAGAGGGCACAGGCTCGGCCCTCGTCACCGTCCCCTCCGCCCTCAGCACAACGGGCATCACCGAGCTGACCCCCGACGTATGGGTCTTCTCCGCCGCCAACATGTCCTTCCAGGATCCGTTCGGTCTGCAACCCGGCTCGCTAGCCGTCTGGAAGGTCGATCTGTCCGAGGGCGATGAGGGGGCCGCAGAGCCGGAACTCGTGGCGCGGTTCCCCGATGCGGGATTCCTGAACGGCATGGCGACGTGGGATGAGAAGAGGGTTCTCGTCGGGGACACGTCGAATAACGTCGTGTACCTCCTCGACGTGGAGTCTGGCGAATTCACCACCGCACTGGACGGTCCCGAAGTCGCTGGTGTCAACGGGATTCGCGTGCACGATGGCGCCGTATATGCCGTTGCCACGACCAGCCGCACTCTTTTCAAGATTCCCGTGACAGAAGATGTCGAGATCGACGGTGAGGCCGTCGTCATCGTCGAGGGTGTGGGCATGGATGATTTTGATATCGCGGCTGACGGGACGATTTACGCCGCTTCGCCTTCGGATAATCTTGTCGTGAAGATTTCCCCCGATGGCGAGGTTACGGACTTGGCGGGTGGTGCTAACTCGACTGATGTGCTTGGTCCCACTTCTGTGAGGATCGGGCGCGGCGAGGGCGGCGAGAATACAATTTACGTGTCGATTACTGGGAATGGGCTTTTTGGTCCGCCGGATGCGCCGAAGGCGGCTGCTGGTATTGTTGCTGTGAATATTAGCGAGGCTCCGACTGAGGGGGAGGCTCCGGAGGAAGACGCTTGCGAGGAGGGAGAGGAGGAGGAAGCGCCTAAGGAAGAGGTCCCAGAGGAAGATGCCGATGAGGAAGAGGAGGAACCTGTTGAGGAGCCTGTTGAGGAGGAGCCTGCCGAGGAAGAGCCCGTCGAAGAAGAACCCGTCGAAGACGCCCCGGAAGGAGACGAGTAGGTCCCTTATCGAATCCAAAAAGATGAGATGGTCAATGCCCAACGATCATTTTAGCAGTTCATATGCTCAATTATACAAAAATAGGTGGTGTCGGATGATACTTACCTGAGAATAATGTTGTCTGAAGGGCTGGGTAGGGAATCTTCTATTCAGTCTTGTGTGTGCATTGTTAAAATCAAATATTGTCGCAGTCATTCATTCTTGTGCTAGCCGTCCATTTTCCTTTCTTGGTCTTTGTATCTTTCTCCTCGTGTCTCTAATCATCTGCAGAACCGTGTTTCGTCTCTAGAGTCAAATCCAGAATCTCACTCATCTTCCACTCATCCTCGAAAATCTCTTCTTCGGAATCCCCTTCAAAACCATCCTCACCCACACTCACTCAGCCCCATCGGCTATAGCCTATACGTATCCAGGTATTTCTCAAGGCCGTCACGGAGTTCTTCACGGGCCTTCTGCCAAAGATAGCCGTCGTGACAGGGGCTCCCCTTGAACATCCGCCAGATAGGATCGGAAAGGTCCTCCTCCCTATCTTCGAACTGAACGTACTTCCTCCACTGCCAGTCGACTTCGTCATAGCAGAGAGTTCTCAGGTAGTAAAAATTCTGCCAGAGACGGTAGGACTTAGTCCTGATAGGTTTGATGCCTACATCCCTGCTTATCCGATCGAAAACGCGGAAGCAACAAAGGATCCTGTAAGCGTTCCTGTCATCCCCGTAGAGATTCTCACCTCCGGCCTCGATCGCAGGTAGGCCGGGGTATAACTTCCGAACGAGGCGGAGGGTTGTTGGCGTCTGGAGGTTGGCTCCGGTGTATTGGTAGTACAAGAGCGTGTAAACGGCGGCGTAGACCTCCGGGTGACCCAAAAAATGGAGGTGCATTTCTTCACTCATTTCAGAATCATGACTCTCGTCACTCTCACCGCTCTCGTCGCTCTCGTGACTCTCGTGACTCTCGTCGGTTTCGTCGGACTCGTCGTTTTGGTAGGCGGGGGAAGTGTAGACAGCCGTGTCGTCTGACGATGCCCAGGAGGCTGGCGATTTGGAAAGGGATACATAGGTGGGAACTGCTGTCGGATATTGAGGTTCTCCCTCTAGCGGCGGCAGACGGAAGGCCATGGTCAGTTGGAGGAGGTCTCGGGGGCGTTGCCTTTTGGTGTTTCTCCTGATTTTAGAGAGCGAGTGTTGTCTTAGAGAGTGGATTTCGCTGTCCGAATTGGGTGTGGGTAAGTTTGCCGAAGTGAGAGAGTTGTGATGAAATAAAAAAACGGTTCAACGAGGTAGCTCCTCGCTCATTTATAGAAGCCGAGTGCAAACTGTGTCAAAAAACTTCGTAGCTGTCCCGTGTCGAAGAGTTTCCCGAACGAAGTCTTGGAAAATCTGTTGAAGTGTATTGAATCTTCTCGTTGTTGTGAGAGCCCCTGTGGGCAGGCGGGAACAATGCAATGAAACCACAAAAAGAACACGATGGAACCTCCGACAGAATTCTTCGGGAGCCTAATCTGAACCCACATACTGGGCAAGAGTGAAGAGAGTTGCCGGTCTCTGATAGTTCATTGAATGAACACGACGCCATTTCCATCGTCTCCAACTGTAGGAAAGCAACAGAACAAAGGAGCATCGCCAGTTAAGCGATGCAACTCTCGACATATTTCAAGCCTTGATCTGCCAATATACTAGTTCCTGTAAATAGATATCTCTCCGTAGTGCCGCTCATTCTCGAGCGGCTGGAATCAAGCTTCATCTTCGAGCCAAGTCGGGGGGTTTCCTATATCACGCAAATATCTCAGTACTCATGATAAGGAAGAAGGTAAACATCCATATAATCAAGGCAGGTGGAATATTAATCACACCCTCCTTCTCCCCCGTTCCAGAACGCGAACAGGAAAGAGAGCTGTACGCAAAGTATGTCCGTCTTACACCAACTTTGCCCAGGTTTCCCGCAGCCTTTTCCAGGAAAGAAAAGGAAACAACAAGAGTATTCTCCAACAAGATCATTCCCCTCCTCTAATATTCAATGCGTCTAGACTACGTCCATCCAGCAGGTTCCGAGAGCTGTTGCGCGTCGAAGAGTAAGGCGAAACTTGGCATGCAAGTGACCGCAGATCCTCAATCAGTTAGGCAGATTTTTAGCTTCGTATAGATCGTATTGGCACCCGATTCGCCAATCACCTCAGGTCCCCAAACAGCCCTACCTGTTTTAGTTGTCACCGGAAGACTGGATTCCTGCGGTGGAAGGGACAGGACAGAGGGAAATGCAACCCTCGTATGAGACGTATCGGGAGGTTAATTGGCGGGCTTTGGGGAAGCTGGAGAAACCCCAGGTTTTAAGCTTATGCCGAAACTTCATGAGCGAGAACGCCTTCAGCGGTTAACCATGGAGTGGGTGACATTGGTTCTTGGACTTGAGAAGCCGTGAGGCGTCACGAAATTGAGAGGAAGAGGAGTATATAAATGGAATAAAATCCCCCTCCGACATCATATCGCGATTGTGAAGTAGCCGAGAAAATAAAGACTTGGAGCAGCATTTCTACAACAGTCCTCGATTTAATACCCAAGAACTGGCGCATCGCTCCACACGTCTCAATTTGAATTGCACTCCAACCCACTTACACCACAGACCCCAAGATACTCATCACCGTTCATCATGGGTGGAGGATCCTCATCGTAAGCTTCACTTCGTCCATATTCCCAGCGACCCCTCCATCTCCTGCTAACCAAGGTCCCTCGTAACTATCAAAGACCCCAGCCGCCCCAAAGGGTCGCCCAACGCGAAAAAGTCTCCCTCGCCGGTGTTCTCGAGCCCGTCCTGAGCACCACCCGCACCATGGACCTACCCCAAGCCATAACCGAGACGGCCCGCGAAGGCATGCGCCTCTGTGCGGGCCTCCGTCGCCACTACCTCTTCAGCACGGGCAACGACGTAGACGACACCATGACGGCGACGACGCTCGAGATGCTCACCGGACTCATCGCCAAGGCTAAAGAGGCCTGTAACATCCGGGACTACGTGACGCTGCTCATCGAGGATACGGTGCTCAGACTGAGCATGGATCTTAGTCCGCCAACGAAGGCGCTGAGGGATGTTGCGAGGTTCATTAATCCGTTTTTGAACTCGGAAGGGCCGCAGTCGTCAACGGCTACGGCTATTGAGCCGTTTAGGGCGACGGATGCTGCGCTGATTACGGATACGGAGAAGGATTTGTTGGTTCTTCTGTACTACTGCCACGAGAACAACATCAAAGGTTCTCCGGATGAGGCGATTGGGCATTTGTGCAAGTTGGCTGGCAAATATGGCGACGTGAAAGACCTCGATGTTCGAAAAGAGCCATTTACCGAAACGGAAGTAAGCGTCCCCCCATAGCCAGTTCATGTCCACTTACACATCGAAACCACTTAGACGGAAAACGAAAAGGCAAACTAACAATACGACGCAGGTCTACCTCTTCTGGGCCCTCGTCTTCCTCACAACCAACATCTCCACCACCGTCCCCCTCCCCTCCCTAACCCCCGACTCCCGCACCGGCCTCACCGCCGAACTCGGCCTCCAACTCAGCCGCCTTCTCACCGTCACGGAGATGCTCCTCTCCGACGCCCGCCTCGACCAGGCCTGCTTCTGCCTCATGTTCCTGCGACGACTGACCGCCGAGGAGAAGCGAGGGTGGTGGAAGTCGCGGGCGAAGAAGATTGCGAAGGAGTTGACGAGGCGAAGGCCCGTTAGGCAGCGGTGGCATGAGGAGTTTGCGGCTAGGACGGTGAAGGACGTTGTTAAGGGGCAGTTGATTGCTGAGGGTGGGTCGGAGGGTTGGGCATCGAGGGGGTCGCTGTCGTTTTCGAGGGAGGATTTGACTTTTGATCCGGATCCGATGAAGGGATTGTGAGTTGGCAGGAAGGGAATGGTTCTTTTGGGATATCAGGATGAAATTTTGACCAAGAATGAAGCCGGCTAGCAAATGAAATGAGCCCAGTCAGGAAATGAAATATTGGAGTGCCCTTTCAATCATGAGGGACCCGAGTTCACCGAGTGGTCTGTGTCTGGAGCACAACTCATCAATCGGTCTTCTCTTTTACGCCCCTGACTAGAACCGCACACCTCATGCCGACGCCCTGGACCCGAGGGCAGGAGCAAAGCTGCTCTGAGACTCTTAATTCTCCGACGGTCTCCCGACGTTCAAAAAGAGGCCGTCGTCTATGTCACTCCGATATTAGCCTCTAAAAGAAGCCCACCCGGTTCTCTTCCCGTCTTCATAGCTTTCATCCCATTCTAGACAGATCACAGCAGGCATCAGGCCCATCTCCTATTCAGTCTCTGCTTAAGACCATCCACCCGGTTTCAAAACTCATCAGGCTGCAGATCTAATACCCAAAGGATTGAAAAACAAATCCCCCGGGTCAACCGCCCTCTTAACCTCCCTCAACCTCTCCACATTCTTCCCCCAATACACCTCCTCCGCAACATCCTCCACCCTCGGATCCGCATAATTCACATACATCCCCCACTGCCCCTCGCCCAGGTGCCCCGTAATCGAATCTACAAACCCATCCAGTAATCCAAACGGCTCTTCGCCCGAAGGATACTCCCCAAAGCTTCTATCGTAGAACTGGAATAAGAGGAGCTTGTCTCGGTGGGCGTATGAGGTAGAGTTGTGGGCGACTTCCCGTGCGATGTACGAGTTTGCACCGCCGTGGATGTCGATTAGGATCCACCAGTAGCGGAGCGGGACTGGAGAAGGAGAGTCGGAGTCGGAGTCAAGGGCTGGGGAGGGCGTTTGGCGGAGGGCGGCGGTTGCGTTGGTTAGGGTGTAGCTCATGAAGGAGGCGATGGCTTCAGGTGGGAGGGCGTGTGTGAAGAGGGATTTGGCATAGAATGTTTCATGCTAGGGGCAAAGCGTATTAGCTGAAAGAACGTACCAGACTCCCTCCCCTTCCCCAAACTCACCTGGTTATATGGATGCGTAAGGTTAAGATCCTCCGCAAAAGCATACTGCTCCAACTGCCCGACCCAATCGTAAGTCACATTCAACGCAATCTCACCGCCGCCCAACCTCTCGAGCAGAGGCAACACAACAGCCTCCATGTCAGCCTGCCCACCGTGATACAAACCATCCAGCCTCACACCCCTCGTATCAACACTAACCCTCATATTCATCTCCCTCGGCATCTCCTCCTCGCCCCATGCCTGCAGTTCGAGCCACCCACCGATAATGCTCTCGGCATCGGGCCAGTCCAACGTCACTTCGAAGTGGGTATATTCCTCGCTCGGCTCGAACGTGGCGAACTCGTACTCGGCCACGATGCCCATGGACCCGCCGGCTCCTCGGAGAGCCCAAAATAAATCGGGATTCTCGTCTTCTGAAGCGCGTACGGTCGTACCGTTGGCTAGAACCACGGTGGCGCTGATGATCCAGTCGAGCGCGAGGCCGTGGGTGTAGGAGCTCATGCCGAAGCCTCCATGGAGAGCGTGCCCGCTAATACCGACCCTAAATACGTCAGGAGGTGGTTAGCAACCATGCCATTCGTGGTTTCCCATCCATCCTTTTTTACATCCAATAACGTACCCGGGACATGTTCCATGGGAGATGGCCCTCCTCCCCTTCTCCCACAACTCGGTCGCAACGTGACCCAACCTCGCACCACCCTGAATCACCGCCGTCTCCCCATCCTCAGACAGCCTCACCTCATGCATCCGATCCATCTCCACAACCAAGTGTCCATCCTCACCCCCGAGTCCCAGGGACGCATAGCTATGCCCGCCGCATTTAGCGCTCACTTTTACGCCGAACTCGGAAGCGCATTTTACTGCTCCCTCTATGTGCGCGATGGTGCGGGGGACGGCGATGGCGACGGGCGTGTAAGGAAGACGTTCGTTGAAGGGCGCGACATCGAGGTTCCAGGCACAGCTGTTGGGCTTGTCGAAGGGAACTGAGGAGGCTTTGAGACAGGCTTCGAGGGAGATGTAGTTTGAAAGGGCGAATGCGGTGGGGGTGAGGACGGCGAGAAGTCCTCCGACGATAGTGAGTCGACGCATTATTAAGGCATAAACGAGGTTCAATTCAAGCCAGAGGATGGACTTTCAACGACGCATCATGCGATGACCAGAACATGTAAAAATATACAGACTTGAGTAAAATCAATTGAGATCTTCAAAGAACAAAAGAGCCAGATTCCTCTAAGAGGGAGCGCGAATTTAACGCGCAAGACACATATTACAAGTTGCAATTCTCCCTTCAAGTATCCATCATCATCCCGTCCGTAATTCCTTCATCTCGGCTAATACCCAGTATTTGCTCAAGGCCCATGCAGGAAATAGGAAATAGGATAGGAAATAGGAATAAAGGAAATGAAGAAAGGTAGTAAATAACCGCCTCGGGCCGGACGGGACGGCGCCCTTCGTCCTTCGTTTTTGGCCACTGCAACTGGGCGTTTGTCTAGATAAGTAGGATCTCCCTTTGCCTCGCGGAATGTTTATTTCCTCCAACGAGGGAACTGAATCACGCGTTGCTCAGAAAACCCGGGTGCGTGAGGAAATCTGTGGAGTCGAAGCCGAACTCAGGCTCTCCCCCCAAAAGGCAATGCTACGCATACCAACAGCGCAAAGTGATTGGGCTCTCTATAGAGGGTTCGGGGTCGAGCTCGGGGAGGAGGAAAAGACGATTGGACATGGAAGGAGCTGGAAGAGAAGGGACTCAGTGAGGCGAGGCTGTGGCTGGGCAACTATATACCGGTAGTCGGACAAACGATGTAGAACAAGCTGTTGAAATATGTGGTGATATAAAAGTTAGACCAAGACCTAGATACCAAGACTCCATTTACAAGACCTCCATCGGCCAAAATTCACCCACAAGATCCCATAAGCCTCAATACCTCCCCATCCTCCTTTCCTCCTCCTCCCTCAGACCCAAATCTCCCTCCCAAACCCCCATTTCACTCCTTCTTCAAAGCATCAAACTCGGCCTGAGAAATCAACCGTCCCACAACCGGATAATTCCCCGAAAAGCTCTCCTCCCACCCCATAAGCGCCTCCCTCTCCTCCGCATTCAACGCCTCCGGATCATACAGCGGCGCCGTCAAATCCTCCGTCAACATCTCCTTATCGAAGCTCCCCTTGGCCAACCCCTGCGTGGCGTCCCTGCCCGCAAAGTTCTCGTAGGGGCCTCCGGGGCCGTAGAAGTGCGGCTTGCGCGAGACGTCGAACACGCGGCCGCGGATGCCGAGGAGGATGGGTTTGCCATCGCGGCCGTTGTTTTCGAGGAGTGTTTGGGGCGTGAAGGTGCGGAAGACGGTCGGGGGTTCCTGTTTGGGGAGGGTTGGGGGCGGGGAGGATTTGAAGAGTTGGTAGCCTACGTAGACGACAAGGCCGAGGAGGACGGTGTTGAGGGGTGTGATGAGGGAGGTGCTAGAGAGAGACGAGTGCGGTTAGCATTTTTTGGGACGTTTTGTGGAAGGGGAGAAATGGGAGGGGGTTAGAGGCGTACGAGGTTTCCGCGTGCTTTGCGGCCTCTTGGACCATGCGCTGCTGTGTGTACTCCATTGGGTTTATATGGCGGAAGCTAATCTAGCTTGATACTCGAGGAAAATCGTCAATGCTATCGATGAGCGAGAGTCGGATATACGGGAATGTTATGCTTCGGTTTTCTCGTCTCTCAGAATAAATAGCACGCGGGAAATGGAAAAGAAGTCGGGTGAGACTTTTGTGAGAGGTGAGGGTGGAGGTTGGATGCCGATCTTGGATGCGGATGGCGCGGTGGGGATTGGGGATTGGGGATTGGGGATAGCTCGGAGTGCCGCGGAATCGGAATGTGAATCTAGAGGAAAGTTTACTGCGGCAAGCTGTCCAAGAAGAATGGCGGGTAGCCCTGTCGGGAGATGCAGCCAGGCAATAATAGTCCAACTATTCTATTACTGTCGAAGCTGTTCCGTCCGCATCAAAATTGTTGGACTCAATTGGAACTGCCTGCGTCATTCAATTGAATGTACTTCCCCCACAGTCTGGCGTGGGTTGGGTACATCATCGGGTACATCACACGTGACTACCCCACCCAGGACCCTCCGGCATCTGTAACCAAGCTCCGACGAATCGGTAATGCTTGATTTCCGAATGCCAAGTGGAAGCCAAGTGGCCATCACTCGGTCACAACTGGCAAAGTGACATCCTTGGGTCTCAACATTCCTGTTACTTTTTCCCTCCGAGATCCCAGCGATATTCGGCCGGCAGACGGTACCTGCCCTGTCCAAAGAAGTACATCGAGATGGCGACAGGAAGGCATAGCCATTGTTGTTTAAGATCGGATTGGATGGCTTGGGTATGAGAGGCACTTGAGGGCCGTCCTTTCAATCCACAGGCGGAACAATGTCCCAAGCGTCAGGCGCCGATGACGGATGGTTCCTTTTTTTTTTTTTTTTTTTTTTTTTTTTTTTTGCCAAGTTATGGTGGCCAGAGCTGAAGGAGAATGCAACTCTAATCGATAACAGGTACATTTTGGATTTGCTCTTTGTCCTGTGAGAAACTCTTCTTGGACTTGCTTTGCATTGCCGATTTCAAGTTGAGGTTGGAGATATATTTTGTATCTTCTCTCAGAGAGCACTGAGTTTAGATGGACGGGAGGTTGCGGCTACCGCCACATAAATATCCCGACAAGCTTGGAACCCGAATAGAAGTTTGGACAACGACGTAGGAGTCATGAACAACACATCAGCAGTATCTATTAGGTCTTACAGAAGTTCTCTCCGGCATTCCGATACCAGCTGACCATAAATATTCAAATACGGCAAAACTCTAAAATCCAGCCGCAATCCAGCATAAGAAAAGCACCTGCTAGATATCAATATTAGTTCGAAAAGAAAACTCCGGCCCCATCTATACATCAAGATCAGGCACATCGTCAGAGATGCACACTATTTGTTAGCCCGGAACCTCTCCCAATAGCTCCTCATGCGTTGGCTGGTCCATGTTAGTGAGTTTCTCTCTCGGACAAGATGGGGGGAAGACCTACATCTGGCCAAAAGTAAACTCCTCCATACACCGGCTATCCATCAAAGACCAGATTAGCGTTTCGGGGTCCAAAATCTTCATCCCAACTTGAACAGCCGAGAAGGAGAAAAAGGAGGGGAAGGAGGGGCAAGGGGGGAACCAAAGATCCGCGCTTGGCTACTCACTCGTAAGAATAGTCCATGTAGTTATGGATAGGATCAAGTCCCTCCTTATTCGGGCACGAATCCCTCCCAATAGGACATCCATCAGTAGCACTCTCCTGCGCCGGCGTATCATCGACGAAATCACCACCATCCGTCTCCTCACACCCACCATCGAATGTATGGAACAGCCCAAACCAGTGACCAACCTCATGCGTCGTCGTCCTGCCCAAGTTAAAGTTGGGCTCCCTTCCACCGGGAGTCGTCGAGGCAAGGATGACGCATCCGTCGCGGTACCAGTCGTTGGACCCCTGGGTCGCGTCCGAGGGGTAGAACGAGTAGCCGAGGTTGCCGTCGATGCGCGTAAGGAAGTAGATGTTCAGGTCCTTGTAGGTGCCCTTGCGGAGAGCACGCTTCATGTCGTCTGGGTTGACGTTGACGGCCCAGTCGGGGTTGATGGTCCAGTCGGCGCCTTGGAGATGGAATCTGAAGCCGGTGTTGTGGTAGTCCGTGTTAAGGACATTGATCTGATCCACGATTGTAGCATTCTATGGGATGAAATATTAGCAATTGGTATTCGGTGGCATATATATATAGGGCATGTAGAATGTGAGAAGTTGTTGAGGAGCTCACGGTAAGATATCCCATGGCGGAACTGTTCGTTCCAGCCACGACATGAGCGTATACATTAACAGTGACCGGCTTCACCGAGATAACCGCAGCTGCACGCATTGCACCCTCCTTCTCGGCCAACTGCTTGGCAACCTTGTAATGGTCCGCGGAGGGAGGCGCCGTACCGCACTGCCGGCCGAACCCTCGGATGGTATAGCCCAGGGCTGCCCCGACTGCCCATCCTAGGCTTAGTATGGTCTTGAGATGCATGGCGGAACTAGTGAGATGACGATCCGGGGTAGGTGATGAGAGAGGAGGGAGGAGGACAAGAAGAAGGCTGGGGATGAGAGGCGGCTACGCAATGATCATATCTCTACTCTGTATAGGATCTAAAAAAGACAAAAGGGAGGGCCTAGTCTTTGTCTTTATCAAATTCCAAAGACAAATTCCTTGGTTGCGGTTGGTTTCCTTGATGTTTAAAGCTGTCTCGATCCAAGGAACTGGATCCAAAATACGAAGCAGGTCTCTGTGTCCCTGACTAGCAGCTTGCCGATGCAATTTTTTTTTTTTTTTTCCTTTCTTTTCTTTTTGCCTTCGAGTCGTTTGCCTTTCCGGCCATTCAGCGGACAGATGTTGAGTACGAGTTAGGCGAGGATGGGCCCTCGCTGCGCCAGGTTGGGAAACAGGACCCGCCCTGGAATCGAGGAATTTTCGCTGGTGTGGAGATGGGCCAGCTCAGACCCAAGGCACAGAGTGGCTCCTCGGGAATGCTAGTCTGATAGACTGGTGCATTTTGTGGAACTGAAATTTTAGCGACGACCAACATCTTAAGGCGCCGCGATGGCGATATGATATCATCGCGATTCTCTCTTTGGAACAGCCGCGGTGGTACCTAGAGATCTTCAGATAGCTCTTCAGGGGTAAGATTTGAGCACCTCGGTGCATTAAAGTTTAAGTTGCCTCAAAGAGCTGAGCGTTGGGAGCGCTGCGAAGGAGAAAAGTGAAGTCCTCGAAATAGTGCCGTCTGAGGCGGATTTCATTCCACTGCTCCGTTTGAGTTAACCGCCACTTCGACAAAAGTTTCTGGGACGGTACTCCCAGAATGAGCTTAGCATGGCGGACAAAGGCCATCGGGCAAGCTGGAAGCTAGAATCGGGGTTTACAGGAATGGAAATTTTTTAGACTTTTTGCTGTACCCGCAGGCCTTCCATCATTCATCCTCCGAGAGATGATAGGCAGGGAGTTTCCCCTTCCATGGGCACCCGATGTCTCGAGCGAAAACTCCGTTGTCTTGGTCTTCACACGTGGTATGAGATAGACTCAGATAGATGGCACCCGGACCTTGAAACGATAGAGGGTAGAAGACAAATTGATTGGTGGTGGCGCTGATCCGTCCCTGGTTTCCTACTATCAGTCAGGAACTGGCGGACGATCGGCGTTCAATCCTGCGGGGCTAAAGTTTGTCGAAAGAGACAGAGAGATTGTGATGGTGTGGCCCTGCGCAACGCGGTCTATTCACAGGATCGAGTCGAGCACTGCTGAGAAGGACAGGAGCAAGGACAAAAAGCAGTGCTCACTGCATGCATTGCGTCCGTGATGTTGATCCCAATACAAGCCTGCTTTTTCCCTCGGCAGGTTTCGAGCAGTACATGCCTCAAGTTGCGAGAGACTGCCGTGACAGATGTCAATCTTTGGCCTGAGACATGAGGCTCCAAGACACGGACAAAGGGCTCGAGCTTGTAGAGTCGCAGTCGCTACCGATGATCGCTCTTTTTTCGGACCTCGAGACGTTGTCGGTTTGCTCGTCGTCATTAAAAGGAAATCGCCGAGACATTGCCTTTCCTGCGATTTCCGCCAGGCGAATGGGCCTCCCCGAGTCCTCGTTGCATTCACAAAGTTCAATTCGATATTTCAATGTTCCTGGCTCGACATATCCTTGAAGTTGTCGCCATCAATCTTGGGCATTTCTGCTCCAGCCCAACATTCCCCAGTCGGAAGTGAATCCTCACGTCGGCACTGAGAAACCCAGATCGAGTCAATCGGTTCTGTCTGCAAGTGGATCCTCGAACGCCTCTCCCGAGAAATGGGATTCCAATGAGAGAGTTTACAGGCTCCCTCGTAAGAATGCATTGTGCAAGTATGTATGCACTAGTGTTCGAAGTAGTGCAGCCCATGATCCGCACAACTGTCTCACCAAATTAGGCACGCAAAACCTGAGCTAGGCTGATCGTGGAAACTTCTCAGGGCATAGTCTGCCCGTTCAGGGCGACCACCTGATGGACGCCTCCGAATGATCCGTCCTCGTCATTGGTGTTATTTGAGATTGCAAACGACGCCTCGCCCTTTGCATAAAGCTGTACACTACGAACTGCAAAGAGACGTGCCTGAATTGTGCATTTGAAAGGCCAGGCCCTGTCGCGATTCAGCTACTCCCCATGCCTCCTGTCAACGGAGGACCACTTCGTATTAAACTTATTATGTATGTGTCACGCGTCTGGGCGTCCTTGCATCCTTGAACCCCCCCACGAGGATATCGAGGTTAGCTTCGGAGTCCAGGACAGAAAGGGCCGCCAAGCAAGTACCGTTCCCGCGACGACGTAACGAACCTGTACCTACAAGTATGCGTTGTCCTCGTCGCAACCCCATCGCGCAAAATAACGGTCTCCGCTAATCATCTAATCTTCCTCTGCCCAATGGCGTCCGACCTCCCAATCGCGATGCTACCCTGATCCCTGCGCATTCCTCAATGTTCCTGGCCTAGCCCTGCAGCTTGCGTGGTTCCTGAGCCCAAGGCCAAGCCGCCGTACCGACCGAGATGCCCACCTCCGTAACCGCATCGAGGGAAATTTGCTGCCCGTTGATACGTGAGTAACGGTACTGGGATGCCATCGTGCGGTGTGGTGCATATCGTCGAATCTTAGGTGGAAAGCACTTCGTTACATCGCTACGAAAACTGAAGGACATGGTACCTTTGGCGACGTAGCATTCGGACCTTAAAGAGGCAAGGGGTTCGTTCGTGGATGTGGGATGGGGATATGGGAGGAAGCCTCGCGATGGATATCTGATTTCCCCCGTTCTGCGGTATTTCCCTAGCTCCTTCTCTCCCTCCCCTCTTAATTTAGTTCAAGTGGTGCTTCTTCTCCTTTCGCTGCTTGAACCTTCGAATTTGAAGCCATCGTCACCGAAGGTTTCCGCTCGTTAAACCCAATATGAGATTCGTGTGAACGACCGAATTCGATCGATAAAAAAGCCAGTACACTCCTTTACATTCTCGGCATGCTCAAAAAATCGCAAAAAATAAAAAACAAAATATCCAACAATAATTAATCCCCCTCGATACCGAAAACCCGATCCGAATCCAAAGGGAAAATAAAGATAAGAAAAGAAAAAACAGAAGAGAAAAAGAAACCAAAAAAAATCACCAATTCCGACCACCAAAATGCGCATCTCTCATATCCTCGCCCTCCTCCCCCTCTCCCTCGCCTCCATCGTCGACGAAACCGTCCAGCGAACCAACCTCGGAACCCTCATGGCCCTCTGCGACGCCGACATCCCCCGCAACACCCTCTGGATCTCGGCCGAGAGGGCATACACCTGCGCCAGCCTAATAAACACCGACGTCGTCGCCTCCGCTGGAGACTACTGCATCTCGGCCGCGACCTCGGCACTCGACGGCACGGAGGATCTCTGCGCCTCGCACAATGACTGCGGCGATGGCGGCCTGTGTATCGAGATGTCCGATTGGAAGCGTGTCTGCTGGAGGTTGACGTGGGATCAGCGTTGTGCCGACATCAGCTTGTAAGGGTTTGGAGTTATGAGGATGGGCGGCTGCCGGACTTGGAATGATCGAATCCGAATTCCGGGGAGTTTAGAGGCGGATCGATGCTTTGATGTGGAATTCTTCTTCTTTTTATAACCCTTTCTTGCTTTTGGATGATGGATAGATTTTTGGGGGGTTTTTATTCTCACGATTCTTCGCCCTTCTCGACACGACAATTTTGCTAATCCTTTGTTCGAGGAGCAGTTGTTCTCTCTCTCTTCTCGAGGGATTCTTGCTCTGCGCCCCGTTTTGGAATTCTTTTCATCTTCTGATGTATATATTAACTTTTCCCCCTTCGCCCTCTTTGTGTCTTTACCTTCTTGTTCCATATCATGATGCCTGATACCCTGCGCTGCAGCGGCACGATGCCCCCAATAGATTTTTTTTTTCTTGGTTTCCTCTTGTTGGGTTTTCATGGCTCTTGACGCTCACATTGCGAATCGCATCGTTGTCTCTTGGATTTTCATATTCGACAGGTTTTCCGTTCTAGTCATCCGACCGAATCCGATGAAGATCATGGACGGCCGAAAGCGACGGACTAGACCCAGCTCGACCGCCGCGAGTTGATAGAGAGATACTCGCCTCTGGAGTTGGATCAGCGACGTTCCCACACTTAAGTCTTTCTATGTGGGCAAATTGGCGTCGCGGCTCGTCTCGAGCGCTTCGCCCTTGCTTGGGAGAGAACGTGGTTATTATTTATTTCTTCTATCGGTCGCGCTTAATGGGCTCTTGGGAGAGTGCCGGCTCAGGCGCTCAAGGTAAATCTGGTTGCGGCTATATTTGGCTTCGGGAAGAAAAGAGACGGGAACCCGCATCTGCTTGGTGTAATTATGTTTGGAGATTAGGGGACTAGACTTAACCAGTACTATACAGTTGAGGAGACGTAGGGCCTTAATAATTGGAAAGCATTTGAGCCTTGATCCTTCTTCCGAGATCTTGATCCATGTCCATCGAGGTATGTGTGGCCGTCGACGATCGGTTGATCTTAAGATCACAGCACAAAACACTCCCGTCTTTATCGTAGATCTTGTCGTAAATCCCTTCCCCACAACCTGTCAAATCCAGGGTCTCCGCTAAGATGATATTTTCGATGCCGTCCGAACTCCTATCCCGGCCGATCGCTCATGTTTCACCTTGACGAGGTCGAAGCTCCCCCACACAACCTTAATCGTCCATCCCGCTCATCCTGAGGCCAAACCCCATCTTTCCCCATTTTCGTCGCCACATTTTAAAAAACACAAGAAAAGAACAAAAAAAGGCAGCAATTCTAGGAACCCAGATGCGAACCTTGGGCCAAGTGGCAACAAGCCAGGTAGAAACGTCCAAGTTCTCTACCCAAAAAAGGCGAATCTCGATCCGTACCCCGCCACCGAACGCGGAGAGACGACAAAGCCCGAAGGCAATCCACGCCCATCACAACCTCACACCTCAGTGTCAATGACCTCGCGACCTCGTAAAAAAAAAAAATTAAGCGCCGAGGAAACAACACAGCAGGTCTCAAATCCACCAGCCACGGGCAGCCAAGCTCCCGGATTGGAAACCACCTGCGAAGCCGCCATCTCACACTCTGGCCAGCGAATAAATCCAGAACCCACACCCCTCCTTCCAACCTCCTCTCAAAACACAGGCACAAAGGCGTCAACAAAGCAATACAAAGTGGCAAAGGCTCAAAGGGAGAATCAAACATTTCCTTGTTTTCCGCTCCCAATTTCGCCCCTCTCTTCCAAATACTCGAGACAATAAAGAGAACAAGTTCATTCACCTCCGCCTCTGCCACTCTTATCTTCCGCAAGACAATGTCAAACAAATGCATCCTCATGCACAGCTTATAATAACCCCTCCTCTCTCTCACCTCAGCCGCATAAGCTCCAACATCTCCAAGCTCTCACAGCTCTCACAGCTCTCACTTCAAATGACCACACTTGTGCCCATTTGAACTTCCCCCCCAATAGGGAAAAATAGAAAAAAGCAAGGAAGGGAAAGAAAGATTGTCGTTATTAAAACCCACCATGAACCGAAACCCCCGCCGCTCAAACCCCCCGCACACAACAACAAACACCCTCCATCCTCCCCCTCGTCTTGCGCGTCAAGCTGCCTTCGACTACAAGTACCTCTCGGACGCGGATCCTAGCCTCATCGACGACTTTCAGCAAACTCAGGACCCGGACTTATTAGGTGCGTCGCCGACTTTGAGGGAGGTGAAGTCTGGTGCGAAGAGGAGTAGGGAGGAGGACCCCAAGGGCTGAAATTTCGGGGGAACGAGGAGGGCGAGGGGAAGAGAGAAAGCTAGGGGCTGTGACTGGGGCGCAGTTTGTCGATGCAAGCCGCTTCTATACTATGCTGTTGCATAGGCCAGTCCCCGGCGACGAAATCGAAAAGTTACCGCCGTTGAGGAGACGGCACTTCTACTATCCGGCCCCAACCCGAACCTTGAGGGCCGAATGGATGTGTTGAGGGCGGCGACACGGGGAGAAAAAGAGCGGGGTTCATGAGTGCCGATTCCGAGAGAGCCCGCCTTGGAGCCGGACTACGATTTGAAATATCGGCACTTTTCTCTGCTCGCAACATGCACCATATTAAGCTGCCACAATCCGCTTGTACGTACTCGCCTGGCAGTTATTCAACGCTTGTGTAGCTCTCGGAGAGCGTTTTATGACGAATCGGCCTAGAGGATCATGGCGATGCCGTAGATACCCTACACACGCTTCGACGTACATAGAACAATCCTTAGTATTACTGTGCAATATTTATTTCTTATTCTTATTAGCTTCGCCTCTGTTGTCCACGGTTATAGGCACCATTGGGCACGCAACTTCTGATAACTCTGAACGCGAACATAGATTCCAGATGGCAAACGAAAAGCGGCCGTCATAGAACGTAACCCTGAGCAGCTTACGGTGTACATCATTGATTCCTGGTCGGAAAAGTGCGCTAATGCTCCTAGGTGTTAATTACATGCAGATCCACTCAAAGGTCTAGCTACCTTAACATCAAACGGCTCTCTCACCTGTGCTCCGGAGCGCAGAGCCTTCTCGGTCCTGAATCAGCCTCCCGCAGCTCTCCAACACTTCCGAGATAACAAGCTGAGAAACGGCGACAAGTTCGTTGAGCTCACGTGATTAGGCAACCAGGTTCCACCAAGTCAATCTCGCCGCTCCCAACTTTGGGCGTAACCGCATTTATCACCGCTGGATACCCTCAAATCGCCAGCTGCCCTTCATGTCTAATTTAGACGGCGTCGATCCCGTGGGCCCTACTGGAGACTCTCATCCGACGAGTTCCCCCAGTGTTACGACTTGGAAGGACTTTTCGAATATCAGCGAGTTGTTCAATCACGACGAGGAGGGGAATCTTGTTTTTGACCGCACGACCTTTATGCTCAGTAGGGACGATGGCACGGTATATTACGGTAGCCTGAAGGTCCCGAAGAAGCAGATCACATTGGAGCAAGCGAGGGACTCGCTACAGAAAGTTCCTGACCAAGACATCTATCCTCCGCTACCTCAGGACATACTAGTTTTGACGAGTGGGGGTTCTGGCTGCAAAGCCGATACGTACATCAAACGCCCCAAACTCCTGTCATATCACCTGTTCGCTGGGCAGCGCATCCTAGCCGATCGCTTCCTCGAAGAAGCCCGGAACTTGCAACTCGTACACCAGCATCCGCATCCTAACGTTGCCGAATTTCGAGGATGTATCGTCAACAATGATAGAATCATTGGGCTCGTTCTCAAGCGCTTCGCGCTAGACCTCGCGAGCCGCTTGGGCGGAGAACATTTGGACAGGCAGGCATGCTTCCAATCTATCAAGGCCGGCTTGGACCACCTGCATCAGCTTGGACTGGCGCACAACGATATCAATCCACACAACATCATGATGGATAGTGATGACAAGCCGGTTATCATTGATCTCGGTTCATGCAAGCCCATCGGCCAGGTACTGACTGAGCTCGGAACGCCGGGGTGGAATGATGGCTTTGACGAGGTTTCAAGCATCCGCAACGACTATATCGGCCTGAAAAAGATGGCAGAGTGGCTTGGAATATCGTATGAGGGTGATGGAATCATTGAAAAGAAGAAAGACTGAGGCGACACGGATGACGCCGCCAAATCGACCATTTACAGACGCAGAGAGACCTTGTGTCAAATAAAGGCTGTATTAGCTTAGAGCGAACACTCTCTCTAGCTAAATTCCTAGGCAACTATTCCACCTTCCTAACTAATCTAAGCGAATGACTTCTTCTGCGATGGCACCGTATATATTATCATCCCGAACCGGCCAGCACCACAATGGTCGCGTTGCACTTTTAACTTAATCCACATCCATGGCGTCAGGCTTGTAGCTGGTCGAGTCAGAACATCCCTCAGATCCGCAGTCATGTTTAACTGTGGTGGTTTGCTTCCTCGTCTCGCCTGTGGAGGTTGTATATGTTGAGACGGTCGTTGTCACGTATGTGCACCTAGCCCGTGTTAGCTTCCATTTAATGCCAGAAGTTCAACGTCAAGGGGGATTCTTGAAGTCTACCTGATAGCAACTTACATGATGCTGATCTATGTCAAATTGCGATACGATAATGAATTTAAGAAGGCGTGGGAGTGGTGAAGTCGTCTTGGTTGGGGATTCAGGTCAACAGAAGTGAAGAGCTTCTGTGTTGACATTTAAAGCCCTCCCAGCACCCCGCTCTCTGTGCGGGGAAATTTCGCAATGCCTCATTAGTATCACTCGGTCTGTGATACACGAGTTGTTGAGTGGTTGGCTATGGCAAGGCAAGGCGAACACACCGTCTCGCCTTCTCCCCGCAATAATAATGCATACGGCCCCCAATAGACCTCCCGTGGCTGGCCAGAACTGACCAAATGAGTAATACAGATTAGACAACCTGAGTGAGGGGGACGGACGCCGTGTAACAACTTCTGCCTGGATGGGATCCATGACAGAGTTAGGCCCGGCTGTCTGTCCTCGGGCAGGCATGAGTCGCATTGTGAAGGTTGGGAGGCTCCAAACGGTGTCGTGAAGACAAGTGAGAAACTTGTTTATAGAGAAGTGTATATTCGTTCAGAAATCGAGACAATATAACAGATGCAAATTCAACTTGATATAGAGTTCAGTTTCGTTACCGCAAAACAAGCACACATTTTCGGATCGGCACCGAGTGGGTCCACGGTTCCGACAATCGCTGGCTACGGGACAAGTCCAAGATCCACTGGTCCCCACACGCCGCCTCCTCCCCGCCTCCGGTGCTGACCCGGTCCATCGCCCAGATCTTCCTGGTGCGATGCCCTCCAACACAGCCTCCGCCCCTTCCTATCACATACACTCCCCCCGAACAGGTAAACAGTTTTATGTTTTATTCTTCTTCTCTCTTTCAAAATATGATAGGCTCTCATATATGTTATACCTCCTGTAACTCTAAATTACCCTCTCCTCCTCGGCTGCATCCTTCTTGCAGTCTTCCTCTGGCCTTGAAGAGGACCCTTCGCCTTGGACCAGAGCCAGCGCTCCCGAAGGCGAACATCACACATAAAGAACACAATCAGCCATGGCTCAAACAAGGCAAACGAAACCACTGTTGAAAATTGTATATTATCAGAAGGCAAGAGGCATGGGCAACCCCCAACCCCCCATTTCCCCGTTAGCAGTATGAAAAAAATGCAGCTGCTTGCGGTTGGTATGTATGTGTTTTTGGAACTTTTCCCTTCCGCATGTTACCAAAAATCCCTTGTTGAAGTGAAAAAAAAGAGGAAAAAAGAAAACAAAGATAAAAAGAAAACAAGGGCCACTTTTAAAAACCATCATGCAATATACCGAAAATAGCCAGATTGATATCAAGTACAAGTAAAATGAAGGGTGACAATCCCCGTGTCACCCATGGTTTTTCATCATCGGATGGGATGCCGTTCTGATGCTCGCTGTCATCAACATTACCACTCCTCAAATTTGAATCGCTGCCACCCGTCTCGCTCAACTTTTTCTAAAACACAGCCGCCTCGCCTACTCCCAAATAGTCGACTCGTCGTTTCTCTGTTTTAGGTTGTCGCTTATCCGTGAAGACCACAGGTTCGTTGCCTCATCAGCTCGCGTCGCGCCTTGTCCTTCTCTGTGGGGGTTGTTAGCATCATGTCACCGGCAAATTAAATCTCAAGACTGTTAATAAGAACTTACCACTATCCCACGTAAGGAACTCGTGAAGACCCTTGCCAGCCGGCACCATGGGCAAGACAGGGACCTTCTTATCCGTAATCACCTCCAAAAGGGCGGGGCCATCGGTGTTGATGAGCCACTTGAGGGCATCAACAACGTCGTCGGGCTTCGAAACACACCTGTGCTGAACACCCATGGCGTCCGCAAGCTTCATGAAGTCGGGGTTCTTCTGGTGGGTGTGCGCGTACCGATCCTCGTAGAAGAGATTCTGCCATTGCGTCACCATGCCCTGCTCCTCGTTGTTCAGAACGATAACCTTGACGCCAATATTGAACTGAGCGGCAGTCGACAGCTCAGTCAGAGTCATGTTGAAAGAGGCATCACCGTCAATGTCGATGACTAGATCATCGGGCCTCGCTACCTTGGCACCAATGGCAGCAGGCAGACCGTAACCCATGGTTCCGAGACCACCAGAGGTGATCATAGTCCTAGGATACCTCCATCGGAAGTGCTGGGCTGTCCACATCTGATGTTGGCCGACACCAGTGGAGATGAAGGTGGTGTCTTTCCTGTCGGCGGTGAGGTTGCTGAGTTCCTCGATGAGGGTTTGGGGCTTGATGAGACCGGCACGCTCTGCACGTTCATAATCCGACAAGGGCCACTTCTTTTTCCAGGCGTTGATCTTGTCGAACCATTCCTTGCGGTCCTCCTTAGTCTTGGGGTTTACGAGAGGGAGGAGCTGGCGGAGGTTGGTGGCAACGTCACCCTCGACGGCTTCGGTGGCTTGCACGACCTTGTTGATGTTCTTGGGCATAATTTCGAAGTGGACGATTCCACCACGGCCCTCGGCCGCAGCCGCCTTGGCACCGGGAGCGAACTTGGAGACGTTCAGAGTAACGCGGTCGTCGAAACGGGCACCGAGAGCAATGATGAGATCGGCTTCCTGCACGGCCATGTTGGCGTAGGCAGCACCATGCATACCAAGCATGTGAAGGGACTTCTCGTCGAGCTCATCAAAGGCACCCAAGCCGTGAAGAGTGGTGGTCACGGGGAGAGACGCCTTATCCGCAAGTTCCTTCAGAATCTCAGGACCTCCCTCGGAAAGGATTACGCCCTGTCCGGCATAGATAACAGGTCGCTTCGCCTTGTTGACGAGTTCGGCGACTCGCTGGATGGAGGAGCGAAGCTGCTGGCGGCTAAGCTCGAGGGCGGCCTTGGACGCGGCGCTCAAGGAGGGGATGACAACGTCGGTGGGGATAGCCTTCCTGAGGATACCAGCGGTAACGTCCTTGGGCAAATCGACGAGGACGGGGCCGGGGCGGCCGGAGGTGGCAATCTCGAAAGCTTCGTTGATTCGACGGGGCAGCTCGGCAACGGACTTGACCATTACGTTCCACTTCGTGCAGGCGCGAGAGATACCGACAACGTCAGCTTCTTGGAAGGCGTCGCTGCCGATGGCGGTGGTGACGACCTGGCCGCAGAAAACGACCATGGGAGTACCGTCCGAGTAGGCGTCTTGCATGGGAGTGATGACGTTGGTCGCTCCGGGACCAGAGGTGACGAGGACAACACCAGGCTTTCCACTCGCCCTTGCGTAACCCTCAGCCATGTGACCGGCACCCTGCTCATGTTTCGGGAGAATGAAATCGAAGTGTTTTGAGTTGTAAATGGCATCAAAAACTGGTAGAATAGCGCCTCCGGGGTATCCAACTATATAAGGGAGGAAAAGGGGTCCCGATGTCAGCCATTGAACCCGCGTATGATGCAGAAAGACAAATAAAATAGCAATAGACAGTAAAGGAACTTACAAATATGCTTCACTCCGTGCCTCAACATCATCTCGTGGAAGATTTCTCCGCCGGTCTTCCCAATAAAGCTGCTCTACGGTCAGTGGATCCAGGGTCTCCGATAGTCGGGGCAATCGAAAAAATTGAAGGGCTTAGGGTAACGTACGACTCGTCCATCTCCGTCGGACGAGGGTTAACGAGAGGTTGAACATGGCTCCTGTCTTTCGACTCGATATTGAAAGAAGGGCTGGGAGTTGGGCGGGCACGGCTGTTGTGGGCGAGGCATGTGTTAGAGTCGATGCTTTCAACGTTTTTCTTTTGTTTGGAATTTCTGGGTGGCCTTAGCCACCCCCGCCTCCAATTTGACTCGCACAGGGAATCGCGAACTTACGAAGCATTGGAAGTAGCAGTGGTATGTCTCCTCGTCCCAGAAACAGGTTTCCTGGGTGGGGATACGGCTGCTACAGCTGAAGAAGAAATGAAAGATCGTGATGCTGCAGGCTGGGCAGTAGCCCGCAGAGCGGTAACAGCGTGGCGACCTCGGAGCATGGCTGTTATGTTGCGTGGAGAGGGTCTGGGAGATAGGACAGAGAGAAGAAGAGGGTATAAGGAAAACAAAAAAAAGGGCAATTGAACTTGGAAACCAAGAAGAATTGCAGATGAAGAATTTAATTCTCCTCTGGACGGGTGTAGCTCCTCCAACTGTAAACTTTCTTGAGTCACACGAGGAAGGTTGTTGGAGTCAAGGCCCAAGTTGGAAAAGTCGGAAGTTTTGTCCTGTCCTGTCTGGTGACTCAGCGGTGTAGTCAGGCCCAAGGAACTCGAGCTTTGGTGCTGCGGGAGAGGCAAGCAGGGAAGGGAAAAAAAAAAAAAAATAAATAAAGTATCGAAAAAAAAAAAAAAAAATGGACTGCCCATTTTGCCGGTCAATAGACTCTGTGGGGTAGCCGGTACACCTCCTGCGCCTTTGCGTACCTCGTTGACCAATGGAGCCCCCGACAAGTGGCGATATCGGCTCTTTGAGGATCTCTGATTGGCCGATCTCCATCCCATCGTGTGTCCGACTTCGTAGCGTACATTTGTACAGTACGACATGTACATGAAATAAAGTCGATTTCCAGTTTGAACCGCACATTTTCCCACTCCGAAGTCTCCTTGGGTCTGCTTGGTGGAACGAGACTCTTCCATAAGTTGGTACCCAATTGTAAAAGTTATAAAGCTTTACGTCGTGAGTTTGGGATGAAGCTCAGTTATTCTGGCTTTCGTAGATCTGGCTGTCAAATCTCAGAAATCTCAGGGCTCTCCAAATGGATACTACAGAATGCATGCGCTTTTGAACGTCAGGAACCTGAACCTGCAGAGCTACCCACACACGGACAATTTGATTTGAGGGTGAAGTACTTCGTACTGTCACTGGACAGTGGACTTGGACAGACACCACCAAGTTCGACCACCCCCAAGACCCTGGATGGTCTAGCGCAATTATGGTGGGGCAGTTGGACTCGAAGCCAAGCTGCTGTACTTTCCCAATGCGATTCGATGAGTCTGTCCAAGATCCTCTTCTCTCAGGTAACCTCGGTCTTCGCGATCATGACTCCGAGATCGAGACAGGGAGGACGGAAGGGGTCTACGGGAATGAAAGGCGGGGTTGCCATGGATTGATGTCGGAATCGGAGGGGAGAAAATCTTGACAGACGGGACAGATTTTCAGGAGTACCAGACTTTGACTTTGTCAGGACAAAAGGATCGGATGTCTCGCACTTTCAGGGTCCTCACGAGGCGAACGTCCAATTCCCGCCAATAACATTCCCAAGCTACCAAAGCTTCCGACGAACATCAAAATGCTAATTTGCCAGCAAAATCTTGGGACCTTTCCACACAAGATTTCTCTCGAGATCTACCGTCAGCGGCGCCTTCCTAGAGATGCTACTCTTCGTGGGTTACTTTGTAGTTTTTACGTCCAACTGCAGTGGGCGGTGTTGCCGCCCAGAAACTAAAACCTTTAACCGCTTCGGACTCACCGTCTTGCGTTGCTCTCTCGGCGCCGACGATGTGGCAAAACAACCTTTCTTGCATGCCTACTGGCAGACAGCTGCCAGCCATGACACATGCAGCTTTCTTTTTTTGTTCCCTTGCCAGAATCCAACGGCGAAAGTCGAACAACAAAACACTAAACGGGGCAAATTACTCTGTCTTGGAGATGTCCTGGGAGCTTCGGCCGCTATTCTAATGAAACACTAGATTCTCTTTCGGAAATATGCGATGTTCTGTATGGAGCAGCAGGCTGCTGCCGAATGCAGGTCACATACGAAGTATTCTCTCTCTCAAATCACATATGACTCGAGCCACGAGCCAGACAGCGGGTACGACCAAAGGTCCAAGTCCATCTCCTGCGACCCCACGCCTCCCCACGTTCAAAATATAGTTCCCGTCTGCGAGAAACCGTTAATCCCGGTGTACTTCGTCTCAGCAAGGCACATGTTTCGGGTAGTGCAGAGAGAAAGAAATGAGGCAAGCCGGGCCAGCGTCCTGTCTCTGAGTTATTTCAGCCTGACCCGCCAGCAGTACCTCACCAATAGGTATATAGGTATTTATCGTGACTGAACCTGGGCGATTCATATGGGTCTAATCCACTGATTACATTCCAAATTTCCGCGGTAATATGCAAAACTAGCCACAGTGAAGCGTGGACAAACTCCGAGACAGCGGTTCACACGCGTAACAGTCTTTCGCGACTTCTTACGCCAGCATCTAGGGCGTCGGAAGAAAGAGGAAAGGGGCGACGGAGGGCTGAGTACGACTCTTCTATCACCTCATGTTTCTGTACGAAACATTGACGGCATCACTCTGTGGGAGTAAATGCCCGCCGCCAGGTAAGGGTCGATCAAGACCAAACGCCGGGTCTCCCACTGAAAGTCGTACGACACGGTTCCATTCGCGGAACGCATTCAAAATCTTCGCATTGGTGTCTCGTTGACATTGGCTTAGTGTCGAGAGCGGTTGATCAGTCCATCTCTTTCATAGTACCGAAGCCCATCTATCGGGTACCGGCCTGCTAGTTGAGGGCTTCACCGTCAGCCTGATTTACAAAGATCCTACACTCGGAGGAGCTGCGAGGTAGCATGGTTCCTCGAAGCGCTGGGGCAGGAATTCGTGACATCCGCCTTCTTTTTCAGCGTGTCGAAAAGAGGTGTCCGGAGGTGCCTTCTCTCCTTTCTCGCGAATTGCGAATGCGAATTGCGCCTTAGAGGTGACACGAGGCGCACGTGGGTTTCATGGGGAACTTTCCCCTACACCTTGATCACGCCCGTGATCACCACACCAACTTGAGAGATAGGCGGGAGAGACACAGATATTCGCGGGGGTGTCCGGCCTAGCCTGCCTATATTTCCTCGAAAGGGCACGATGCATTCCGTATGAACCTAACGAGGCGATAAGCTCCACGTTGGTACCGACGCCGAGATCGACATATCTAATCTAGCCGTTTGGGTAAACATAAGGTCTGCCATGCATAATAGCGGCCCCTGCGGGCCTCAATGTGCTTCTCGAGGAGATGATTGGACTTCAACGTAAGGCGTGCGAAGGAGCAGAGATGCTTAGAGAGACTATAGACAGGGACCGTAGTTTTCCAAGAGAGGAATAGGAAGGTACTAGAGAGGGAGGAACCGGGGAGGCCGTGCATCGAAGGGGGCAGAATACAGAGCGCAAACGCGGAGCTTGGTGCGTGGATAAGGATAAGGGGATGGAGTGTGGAAGAGGGAGGCGAGATGTTGCGGCCGCGGCCTCTGAGTGTGACGGAGAGTGAGGAAGTAGGCTCGTTGGAGCGGTTCGCGATCTAGCCCGCGCCCGCTGCCCAGCTCACGCCCTTCATCTGGACTGTAGCCTAATGTAACCAAGGTTAGATGTTGATCTTGAAAATATGATGGTAACTGAAGTAATAGGAAATGGAGCGTCCTCGCCAATGGCCGATCTGCACTTGGCTATCAGCATCAATAACACCTCGCCATCAACTCAGCGGTCTCCCGGTCGGCTTCAGCCGAAACATCAGCTCACGAGCTAAGAAAGTCATCAACATTAGTCAAGAACAATCATCCAACACCTACAACCCGTAGATAGAGACCTTAATCACACCGAGAAGTAACTTCTTACCCTCCCCCTTTCGTGTATTGAGTAGAGTATTTCGTCCAAGACAATCTTACGTCGTATTTCTGCCGCTTCTCCTCCTCGCCCCAGAGCAAAGCCCCCCAAAATGACAGGGATGCCGGACCTTCTGGAACATTTCCATTTACGAAACGACGAGGCCTGTGCGACATGACTCAATCCCACCGCGGCAAGCCTCGAAGTGGATCGACGAACTCTACTAATTTGATCGCCAGCTCAGCAATGCTTTTACTTTAATTGCCTAGGCGACGGGCCATCATCAGCTATCCACGAGATCGTTCCTGGGGCTGTGCGGTCCGTGGTTGCGTGCCGATGGTGGTCTATATTTTACCCTGATGGATAGGGTAAGAAAAAAAGAAAAGGTGAAAAAAGGAAGCAGGGGAAGGAGGGTCGGCCCATGTTCTAGAAGGCTTCTACGATGTCGCACATGCCCCCCCGCCAACCTCCCTGCATGATGCGTCTGTAGCTACTTTCCACGAGCAGGATAATGAATGAGGCCGAATTGGACGGAGGCTCATTTTGAGAAGACGGCAGGAAGGGTTACTTCCATGCCGTGGCTCCATGATTATCTTCAAAAAAGCCTCCAGAGCGATGCTGCGCTACACGACAGAAGGGTGTGCCTGCCTGCCTGGTGCTCGACTCAATCGTACGTCGTATTTTGTTGAGCCATTCGACTCGAGCCAACCTCCTGCGATGATGCGAGTTGTTCGAATTCCACAGTTCCAGCAAGGAAGAGTGTGCCATTAATTAAGCCAGTCTTGATACGGCAGAGAGAACCCTTCCAACTTGATCTGTCATTCACCGTCCTTGGGATAATTAGCGAGAATGTCGCAGAAGAGCCTTTGTGGGCACCTTGAAAATGCTCGTGCACACGAGTGTACTTCGTACTTCCTCGATGGCAAGCCCGACTCATCCTTCGATGAGCGGGTGTTAATCCTCAGGGCCCGTCTTATCCCTGGCCCACGCTCTTTTATCTTATTTGCGGCTGAATCGGTGACATCCATGGCTTACAATGTGCTAAAGGGGGAAAAGAAGCAAGCAGATTGTCTCTGGATGAACTGCTCTAGAATCAATCCCGTTTCCCATTCGAATCAAAATTCTGTACATGAGTCGTGACACTTCCTGAACCAGAGCTAGAAGACGGGGAATAATGGGTGGGAATACCTTAGTACACAGGGAGGGCCAACACGACCTAACGGGTGGGGTGCAGGCTGCGGCGTGGCGCCCACAGCTGGAATCGAGGACGCTGTTCAAGATTGCCTCGTCAGAAATATCTTGTCTTCTGGGCGTTGTAAATCTCGCCTTCCCCGGTCTTCCTGTTGCTTTTTTCCACTTCATTTTGTGTTCGTTTTTCGTCCGCAACGTTCGTAGGTAGAACTTGTGGCGGC